TYTRMWKAYRSSGMSMMCWYCSARAKCTACACCACCAAGCAGGAGGCTCAAGGGGAATCCGAACCCAACCAAGAGCAGTCACTGCTGAAACATGCCTTTGACGGCTCGGCATCATGGTGGACGCAAGGCCTTGGCCATGGAAACCCCAAGTTGGCACTCACGGCAGCGAATGCGGCAGGTAGATACGGTCATGTTATGTTCGGCGGTGCTGTTCACATGCCAGCGCTTGACCTTGCTAAAACGGTCGTCGAGAAGTCCGGAAACCCGCGTCTCAACAAGGTGTTCTACTCCGACAACGGAAGCACGGGAATGGAAGTGGCTGTCAAAATGGCTCTCCGTGCATCGATGGTCAAGTACAAGCCGCAAAAGCCTCGCAGTCTTGATGTCAGGATCCTTGGTCTCAAGAACAGCTATCATGGTGATACTATCGGGACAATGGACTGCTCGGAGCCAAGCATCTTCAACGAAAAGGTGGACTGGTACAGTGGTCGCGGCGTCTGGCTAGATTTCCCCACTGTCAAGATGCGTCAAGGCCAGTGGCTGGTCGAGCCATTTGACACAGCTTTCGAGACACGATACTTTGACTCGTTGACAGATCTCCTGGACTTTGGCAAGCGAGAACAGGACTGCGAAATTTACAAGAAGTACATCCGCGATACTCTGCATGAGAAGGTGACCAAGGAAGGTGTGAGCCTGGGAGCCCTCATCATCGAGCCTGTCCTCCTCGGCGCCGGCGGCATGATGTTTGCGGATCCTCTGTACCAAAAGTGTCTCGTGGAAGTAGCGCGTAGCTTCTACTCAAAGACCGTCAATGGACCCGCTGCACGTTTTGACCGCAACTCGAAAGTCCCAGCGGAGAGTGAGGATGGGAACAACTTGGACTGGCGTGGGATGCCTGTGATCTTCGATGAGGTCTTCACAGGCCTCTACCGTCTTGGTCGCTTCAGCGCTGCAAGTTTCCTGGACACCCACCCCGACATTGTTGTCAACGCGAAGCTCCTCACAGGTGGACTCTTGCCCTTGTGCACAACCACAGCCAGCAAGTCTATCTTTGAAGCTTTCCTGAGCGACGACAAGACGGATGCACTCCTTCACGGACACAGCTACACAGCTCATCCAATGGGTTGCGCGGTAGCTAACGAGAGCTTGAAAACGCTCATGAATCTGGACGAGAGCGAGTCCTGGAAGAGCTTCAAAGATGACTGGATCCCCAGATCGGCGAGCTTGGATGCTTCTCACGCTTGGAGCATGTGGTCCTCGTCGTTCGTCACTGAAGTCTCGCACAAGAAACAAGTGGACAATGTCTTCGCGCTGGGTTCTGTACTCGCCATCACTTTGAAGGACCCTGCAGGTTCTGGCTATGCGTCCACTGCAGCGACCGGCCTACGAGACAGTTTGCTTGCCGGGACTGGCAAGGATGACTCCGTGATTCATTCGCGAGTTCTTGGAAACGTACTGTATCTGATGAGTGCGTTGACAACTCCAGGAGAGACGATCTCTTGGATCGAGGAGACCGTGCTGGCAGCTCTGCAGTAAGTGGTGCGAGGTCGATAGGTTCATGTATTCGACAATCGCAATTCTCAAGATTTCCCCGTTGTCGCATCTTTTGCAGAGCCCGAGGTGTCGGTCGTGTTGCCAGGTCGTTCAATGAGGGGGAGAACTGCTGCTGCTGTCAATTTGCTGGCTGCGTGGCTTGAAATGTTCCCTGGACCCATTTGCAATCAACCCCAAAGGCAACTCCCTCCGCAAGATGTGCAGTTAGTACGTGCCAATTCGATATTGTCAGTTTCCAAGAGCCTGCGAGATGGGATGAGATGGGCAGTTTGTGAAGTTTGAAATCTGATTGCTCAATTGAAGCCTTGGTATCATCAATGCTGTCGCCTCATAGCCTTCTGCTACCGGCTAATGTACAGCCCTCAAAGCAATACCCGCAAAAAACACCTGGATCTCATGCCCACCGTTGAAGAGTCCATTATCATCGTGAAACGCCGTAACCATTGCCAACCCTGAAACATGAAGAAACCATCTAAAGCTCTTGAGAACCCTTGCCACCCTTGGTGCCGGCGGTCTTCTTGGGGAGAAGGTCTGAAAACGAATGTTAGTGGAAGCTGGAGATGAAAGACGGCGCAGTGCTTACTCTGGTGAATGTTTGGCAGAACACCACCCTGGGCAATGGTGACGTGTCCCAGAAGCTTGTTCAACTCCTCATCGTTGCGGATGGCGAGCTGGAGGTGACGAGGAATGATACGGGTCTTCTTGTTGTCACGAGCGGCGTTGCCGGCCAACTCGAGGATCTCAGCTGCCAGGTATTCAAGAACAGCGGCGAGGTAGACGGGAGCACCTGATAAAAGGGTCAGTTGATGAAACTGGATGAAGCGGCTGGAAGATGCGACTTACCAGCACCGACACGCTGGGCGTAGTTGCCCTTTCGGAGAAGACGGTGGACACGACCAACTGGGAATGCGAGACCGGCCTTGGACGAACGGCTGTGATTATGAAGTCAGAAATTGTTCAATGAGTGTTGTATGTGAAAAACGCGTCGTTTTGGATGGAAAAAACGCGTCAAAGCGGATGGATTGGGATGCAAATGAGCAAACTGGAACAGAATGGGCGAAACTCACGATTGCGCAGCCGACTTGGCGCCGCTGGCCTTGCCTCCGGACTTTCCTCCAGTCATTTTGAAGTTTTTGGTGAGTGGGTTGGTTTTGAGGGTGTTTTGAAAGTGGTGAGATGGTAGATGAGCTGTGCGCGTGAGATGTTGTGGTTGATGGATGAAAAGAAAAGAAGCGGCGTTGAGGTTTGGGGGGACCTGCTGGCTTTTGTAGTTCAGCGTCGCAGGTGCAAAGTTGCAGATCAAGGTCCGCAGGCGCGACTGGCGCACGGGCCACACAACAAGAACGCGCCTGCCGTGATTTGCAGTGAGAGCCCCGCGACTACTTAAGCCAGGCTCGCCCGCCCAACTTCAACATCGTTTCTCTTCCTTCCTACACCACAACAGCAGCATCCATCAGATTTCATCAACCAAACTCACCAGACACATCCACCACTTCAAACCACACCCAAAAACCACATCAAACCGTCGAAATGGCACCAAAGGCAGCTTCCAAGGTCAGTTTTCCAGTTTTGCTGCGTTTTCGCAGTACCAACTAACGCGTTGTTTTGAAGACCCCAACCACCGCCGGCAAGGCACCTGCGGGCAAGGCACCCGCTGAGAAGAAGGAGGCCGGCAAGAAGACCGCCGCGCCATCTGGCGAGAAGAAGAAGCGCACCAAGACCCGCAAGGAGACCTACAGCTCGTACATCTACAAGGGTATGTCATCTCACCTCATTTGCGCGTCGCATATGATGCGCTTTCCATTCTTGACTCGTATTGACGCGTTTTGTTCTTCAGTTCTCAAGCAGGTCCACCCAGACACCGGTATCTCCAACCGTGCCATGTCTATCCTGAACTCTTTCGTCAACGACATCTTCGAGCGCGTCGCCACCGAGGCATCCAAGCTCGCCGCATACAACAAGAAGTCCACCATCTCTTCGCGCGAAATCCAGACATCTGTGAGGCTTATTCTGCCCGGTGAGCTGGCCAAGCACGCCGTGTCTGAGGGAACCAAGGCGGTGACCAAGTACTCTTCTTCCACCAAGTAAGCGGTACGTCACATGGGGTTTGTGATGGCGGCGTTTGTTTTGGTCTTGATTCGAGAGGCTCATGATGGTGGCCGGGCGTTGTTAATGCGACATGGGATGGGTTTGTTTTAGTTATTTCATTTGCTGTGCTCAAATACCAGCCGCTGCAGCGGCACAGCATGGATGGGAAAGCTGTACAGTAGCAGCAGCAAGAGTCATGAATGCATGATTTGAAACTTCACACACTGGCCTCTCTGTTTCTCATACTCATTTCGATGTCCTGAACGGGCCATTTTGGTTGCTCAATCTGTGGGGATCACTTTTTGAGAAGCCTTCGAGTCGCRGGACCATTGCGCGCGAGTTGCACTCGAGATGGCCTCCTCTCGGTTCTGCAAACTGATTTCACCGTACGGAAAAGGCCTCTGAGTTTGACAGAGCTACCCATCCCGTCGAGAGCACATTCTGGCGAGCTTTCCAAACAGCATTTCTACTCGCAGGACCGTTGCGTATGAGGTGCAGTCGAACTACATGGACGCGAAAACGACACGCTTTTTCTGGTATCAAAACAACGGTGCGGCGGCCCGGATCTCGCTCGGGCCAGAAATCATCGACGAAAGACCAAGGGCAGTTGAAATTGAAGGTTGCCTGCCGGCTCTCTTCGCAATCAAACGACGACTACGCTCACGGACAGGTAGCTGTAACCACCAAACCAAGCAATGTTGCGGATCGCTAAGTATATTGCCCGAAGATGTCTTTTCGATCCTGCTGTTGTTTCCAGGTACAATGGACAACAGCCCGACCTTGTAAACCGTCAAGAAACAATGCAAGACGGAAGACCATCAGCGTGTTCGTACTTGAGCAAAGAGAGTGAGGTCTATACGATGCATCGCAACTCAAAACCCCGTCGACTACCTTGCTATGCATCCCAAACCACGACAAAAAAACCAAATCATAACCTCATGAATCACGTTCCAACCCTAGCATCATGCATTCCGTATCGTTCGTGGAGGAAAGAGAACACTACCAACTCTCATCCTCATCATCCATCGTCTCCACCTCGTCAACCGCACTTGCACGCTCGTTACCCGTGGCATACTTTGGCTCCGTATCGTGGATGTGTATGATTGCCTTGCCGGGCATATCGGTCACGGCCTTGCGCCAAGCCTCAAACTCCTCCTTGGAGCGGACGAGAAAACCCAGGAGCATGGAGGGATCCATTTCGGCGATGTTGATGCGTCGAATGCGTCGGGTGTGGCAGGTGTCGATATCCTCTGGGGAAGGTTGTGGGGATAGCATGGGTTGAGTGGTGTGCGGGTCCAGGTAGAAGAAATTATCTCCTTGGTGGCCTACGAAGTAATGACTGCTGCTAGGTCTACCACCTGCGATACCGACCGACTGAGGGAGTTCGAGCACTGACTTCAGGGCTGCACGGTAGGCGTGCGTGACTTTCTCGATACCGAGTCTGATGCCTAGAACGATGAGAGTCGGCTGGAACTTCTCGTCTGCGTCATGTTGTGAAGCTGTCTCTAGGAKAGCGTCGATGTAGACGTCGCTGTCGTTGGGTCTTGCGTACACTCTCAAACCAACATCGTGGTACGTTTCTGTAAGAGCGCTGCAACTTTCTCAGTACTGTCGGACAACATACAACGATCGTCATGACAAACTCACCGAATGCTTCTGGCTGTGGCACTGGGCCCAAACCATTCGCCTGGATACGTTCCACAAGCCTTTGCACCGTGTTCCACAAACTTGTGTATTGAGAACGGAGCCTCAGGTGTGTCTGCAAATAAAGAGAGGATTTCGGAGTGTTCCTTCTCTTGTTGTCCTCTTCTCCACTCTCTTCCCAGCCTGAGCATGACCACTGTATTCGCCAAAAGAGACTGTCCACTCCGGATCATGCATCCCCATCCCGTATCCGACGTGAAAGCACCTTGGTTTGCTATGCTGCGTAGCTTCGTAGCAAAGGACATGTTCGTTGCCGCAGCAGGATCYGAGGATTTCTGTATAGGTGGAAAGCCGTTCCGGTACGTCAGCCAGAATCGGGACTCGAAATCATCCAAGAACTCTGCAGGCCATCCTAGATCCTCCTCTTCCATGGATTTAGACATCTGAACTTGGTCGAAGCTCTTGACGAGCTCATCATCTGCGACATCCTGAGGTGAGAGTGACGGTTGAGTCACAACGGCAGAGTCAGCATGAGATACGGCGGAGTCTGACTTTCCAGAGGGCGAGGTTCCGGGAGCTGAGGATGGTCGTTGTTGGTTGTACTGCGAGTCATACGTCCGTCCCAGACAGCATATCGGCGAGGGGTCATCGTTGTGGACTTGTCGATCCCACAGATAGTCCACAGCCCGCTTGGAAAGGCGAGCGAACTCGTTCATTTCGATGTCATGAAAGAGGAGACTTTTGCAAAGAGATTCGATCGTGGTCTGCCTGCGCCTGGTGTTGTGCCGTGCTCATGAACCATCAGCAGGCTACGATCATGTGCATGTGAGCTTGCGACGGCCCTTTCGGAGAGATCCAGAGCACTTGATTACTCCCAGTGCAGGAGGACCTAGATGTAGAGAAAAGGTATTAGAAGGGCTTGGTTGGAGTAAGCTTGCAAGGTCTCTCTCTGCGTGCTGTAAGTCAGAACCGATTGTTGTAGGTGTTGTCGCCAGTGATGGAGCGTTCCAGCTCCCTCGTCGCATGCCGGAACGTCGGCGGGAGACTAGCGTTGTGGAAAGCAGGGTCCACTGCCCCACTTCCGAGTCGCGCATCTCCCGTGAAGTCATCGATGAAAGATGCGGCGGATGCATTCATTTCTTCTCTTCCTTATCGATCACTCACCATAGCCACTCTTTGGGACTTCAAGAGATCAGATTACTATTCCTTCGTGAGAGGATAGACCATTCGCACGCGTTGAACCCGTGGACTGCTTGGTAAATACTGCACACCTAATAGCCAACGTGGGGGCAAACTACAATGGCGAAGAACAAAAAGGGCAAAGGGAAAGTGCAGAACGGCAGGGCCGCGCAAAAGGGGAAGGCACAGAAAAGAGCATCGAGCTTGTACATCCAAGATGATGACTATGGTTCGTGGTCAAGACCGCTCATACAGTCTTTTAAACCCAGCTGAGACATCGCAGAGGAGGTTCAGAAGAACTTTAGAGGATTCYCAGGTGCACAGCAGAGAGAYCCACGTACTCACCCAGAAGGTGCAAAATTTAGACATTTGCCCATGAGCTTCGTCAGCGCTGGAGCATCCGGTAGTAGTGCCGCCCCGCCAGGGAACGAGAACCGCAACGCCAGCGCATTGAACGCCACCGCAACCGCACCACCTGCCGATACCACCCACGAGGACATTGCCAGCGAGGACGACTACGACGAGGAAGAGAATGATGACAACGACGACGACATACAGACCAACATCATGATGGACGTTCATCTTAACATGGACATGGACAACATGCAGATCGACGCCTCCAACAGCAAGACAGCTAGCAACGGTAGTAAGAAAGCTGCGGATGAGGATTCTGCTGMGTTGGCCGGTAGTCCTTCTACAGAGATGGATATTGATGATGAGCAGCCGTCGTTCGTGGTTGACACAGTCGGCGACAGCACGTTGGAAGCTGGCGGATTCCATGGCAAGCTCCCAGTCCGCCGTGCGGTCTCGCCAGCAAGGTCTGACTCAAGTGGAGAGGTCATCTTCTCTGGACGCAACAATTTGAGGAGTACGGTGGTGGATGATGCGGTGGCACATTCTGAGGAGACCTCACCCACCAAATCTCCCTTTGAGAGAAGCCCTGATGTCCGGTACGCTACCTGGAGTCAAGAAAGGCCTAGTCATGTAGATTCCCAAGCAGATGCCACATTCACCAAGCCAGCACCTCCCCAATACAAGAATGGCTGGGCTTCTGGACCGTCGCCAAACGATACCTTCGTGTCACAGGATATATGGAGAGCAGCACCAGCAATTCCATACTGGAAAARGCAGCCGAAAAAACCCCGTCCAGATATGAATCCATCAGCAGCTGAGGTGAAGGCATTCACAGAGGCACCAGCGAGAGCGTCCAGAGTACAGTTCGCTGAAGCTACTTCATCCGGGTATGTCAAAGGCAAAGATGCCGAAATTGCCGCTTTACAAGCTGACTGGAGGTCCGTTCTAAGGGATAAGAAGAATGCTAAGAAAGCTGCGGTCGAATCTGAGGGTGACGCAGCACCTGCCGCCGCAAAGGGTAACCGACGCGGCAAGCGGGGACGAAAGAAGGACAATCGTGCCATACGGAAGGCGATCGACTCGGAAGAGACCGACTCAGCTGGAGAGGCAGCGTATGATGACTACATGGAGAACTTGCAAGCACAAGCAGAAGATTCAGACGAGGCAGGTGCTGAAGGGAACACGTCGTTCAAGTTCGCGTTCGGGCAGAAAGGATCCGCCAATCTAGGTCCATCCATGGTCGTTGACGGGAAAGAGATTGGAGACGACGAGCTACTTCCTAAATCGACGAAGAAACTTGCGGCGCAAGAAGCGGCAATCGATGCGGCGAATGATGACTCCGAGTGGGAAAGCGACAGCAGTGCTCTCAACCCCAATCCCGACGAAATCTCATCTGACGAGGACCTCTCGTTGGACAGTTCGGATCTCGAGGAGGACTTGGAGTACACCGAGCGCCAACAGTGGGAGGACGAAGAAGACATTCGCCAACGCCGCCAGGATCGAATGACTGACGAGCAAATTGCACGGCTGCTAGCCAAACAAGAAGAATTTGGCATGGCTGGAGATGAACTCCTGATTGAGGATGATGGCGCGTTCCCGTATACGTCAGAAGAGGGTGTTGGTGATGTCGAAGCTGCGCGTGTCGGTCTTTGGAACATTACCAACAATTCCTTCGTCGCACAGAAACCTGGCATGCGCCGTGGACGCGGCGATCGCAAGCACAACTTCCCAGATGCCTCTGCGTTGGCGGACACTGTTGAGCAGTATGGAGAGCACGGTTTCGATATCATGGACTTTGAGCGACCGTCTTTGCGACCTACGAAGAAGGGCCGGAAGGGTAAGTTGCCGCCAGAACTCGAGCTGCTCTCTGACGATGAGCTCAAAGCGGAAATGAGCAACGCCTGGCAGAACGACCGTTATAAGAAAGCGCAGAAGAAGCTTGAGCGTGAGCAGCTCCGTAGAGAGGGATTGCTAGGATCAGCTGGCCGCCAGGGCAAGCCCAATCTGAACGCCAAGTATCCGTTGGGCATGACGATGGTTGAGGTTCACCACGAACTTCGCATATTCTTGCAGGATGAAGACCTGTATGAGCGGGCGTTCCCACCTCTGGCTAAGCTCCAGCGGAAGTCACTGCATGAGATCGCAGTGGCTTTGAATCTCAATTCGAAGTCCGTGGGCGGTGGCAAGAATCGCTTCCCTATCGTATACAAGACGTCGCGAACTCAGGAGTACTCGCCGGATATGTTTGACCGGATCATGAACGCTTCGGGACATGGCTTTTTGTCTAGAGGCAAGGCGAAGAAGATGGCAAAGGGCAAGGCTGGGGGTGCCGGCGGAGGTCCCTCCAGGGGCAAGCCAATGATGCATGTCGCCAACGGTCAAATTGTGGGTGCTGGTGCTGCAGAGATTGGCCAGGAATCAATGGGCMACAAGCTCATGATGAAGATGGGTTGGTCGAAGGGCCAAGGATTGGGAAAGGAAGGCGAGGGTATGAAGACTCCCGTCGAGCAGAAGGTCCGTCTGGGCACTGCTGGTCTCGGTTGAGCTCTCCCTTGCCGATGCGACACTCCTCCCTTTGGGTGGGTGTGGCTTTGCCGATGCGATGTTGCTTCCTATGGGTAGTGACTGTTGCTTGGACGTCTCGACACTGCGGTTTGCGATGGAGACTGTTCATGTTTATGTTGGCAGTTTGACTTGCATTGTCGGTGTTTGGTACAGTGATAGAGACTAGGACCTCAGCAGGTATCCCACATAAGACCCGATGCACACTCAGTACTTTATTATTTCATCTTGCCCAGTTCTCGAGTACCAAGGGGTTCGATCTTTGACTGAATTCAGCTTGGCTGCTGGCATGTTTTGGAGGGAGGGTTAGGGTTTGGGTAGTAGTACCGTCGACGGAAACGGCGACAACAACTCGGATGAAAACTTGACATCTTCCAGTCCGTTGTATAAATGTGAGGAGACGTTATATCAGTCGTTGGCGAGTTTTCATCTAACACAAGGTCTTTGTCTGCGTATCGATCTGCTTTTTAAACCTGTGCCCGGATTTTTGGAGATCGTGCTCTCGCAACCATTCACCTCCCTCCTCCAGAGACTGCCAAGTACTGGCAAAATGAAAGGATGCGACCACTCACATTGACGTGTCCCGTCCAGCTACACATACTTACATTCATTATTCAGCAGCATACCCAGTAGTTCGCAGGAACCAGATTTCAACACCCGACACATGGCATAAGATACACCACGCAATGAGCGACGCGTGGCGCATGCACAGCCACAGTTTCGCCACAGATACTGTAACTCACCTCACCTCGGTGAGGACTGATCGACATCGTGACATCACCCCGAAGGAACGAAAGTGCCGCTATCCAAGTTTGCCGCGCATGATGTCGGAGTGCAGGATGGACATCTTGGATCCATGTACATTTGTGCCTCCGAGCCACTATTGCTTATATCTACACCCTGCTCGTGCACGAGACAATGAAACTGCGAAAGGAGCGACCAATCACACCTGAACCAGTCATCATGGCACAAAACGAAGAGAAGAAGAGACGTCTGAGCAGCATCTTTGGCAAAAAGAAGGTCAACAAGAACGGAGATGTTGTTACAGATGTTACGCCACCCCCAGTGATTCTCACTTGCAGCAGCTTCAAGCACGTGGACGCCCACGATTATGCTCACGATTCTGCGTACGCAAGCAGTGACCCAACTGCTTCAGCGACATCTTCCACGAACACGAACACCATCCCGATTGAGAACTATGGCCAGATCTCCGGGGTCGATCAGGATCGGAATCTGGCGTTGAACAAAACCACAGGCGATGTGGTAGACGATGATACCGGCGAGATCGTTTCGACAGTTACGACAACGACAACAACCACGACCACGACCACTACGAGAGCAGGCGGGAAGAAAGAAAGTAAAGTAGATGTCATTACGACTCCCAGTTCCCTCTCCGCCCAGCGCCCCGACCACCACACCAGAGAGAATAGTGGGATATCAGGTGTCTCCGGTGCATCAGGTGCATCAGGAGTATCAGCAGAGAACGGTGTGGTAACAGGTATATCAGAAATGCCAGCAGATTCCTTCCACCTTCGACCTGAAACGAACGCCACCACCCCCGTGGCGACGACACCACCAGAACCAGTTGAGACGGGTCTTTCGGCCCCATTCGTTCCCATCAGAAATCCAGGCAGGAGATCCAGGGACTTTGAGCATCCATACAAGAGCATCCCCGAGATCGAGGAGCCAGTCAGCCCAGTCGCTTCCGTAAACGATCGAACTCGACGTGGAAGCATTGCTGGTGTGACAGACGCACCTCCTCCAATTCCAGAACGACCAAAAAGTACCACCCCTGTGATGTCCGCGACAGCAGGTCCTGAGTTCCCGGCACAACCATATCCCGAGATGCCAGCGCGAACACCGCCCGAGCTGCCACCACGAGTGAGCCCAGTCATTCCGGCACAGATAATCACAAGACCACGCGAGCGTAGTATTCCACGGAAGCCTGTGGGTGGCAGCGTTACTCCTACTGCAGACTGGCCAATGTCACCTGAGCCAACAATGTACCCCACGCCGCCGATGCCCCAGCCGATTTTGTCTCACCCTACACCGTTGTCGCCCAGTCTGTCTCAACCTCCGCCATTGACGCATCAGACGGGTCTGTCTCAACATCCGCCATTGACGTATCAGACGCATCAGCCGGGTCTTTCTCAACATCCGCCATTGACGTATCAGTCGCACCAACCGGGTCTGGCTCAACCTGTACACCCGACGCTACAGCCGAGTCTGTCCCAGAACCTCAAGGCTGCTGCTAAAGGATTCCATGTAAGTCTAAGATACTAGTGTGACGGTCTTGACCCCTGAAGCTAACGTACTGTTCCATAGGGCATCGGCGAGAGTCTACGCGGAACTCTTAACAATGAAATCGACACTCGTTTTCCCCGGAAGAATCCTCAAAAAGCCGCGGCAGCGAATGCAAAGAATCAGGCTGCCCTCAATACTGGACGTGAAGAGATACAGGGTTTGCACTTTCGTCGTTCTTGAGGGAATGGCATGATGCTTGGCACGTTATATATATATTGGGATTTGAGCTATGAAGTCTCTACGATTGATGAGAAATGAACTGGACATACGAAAGGCGGTTTGCGGGTGATACGGAACCCAAGCTTGCAAAAGGAGGATAGTCTTGCTTAGTATGTATAGAATTGCGATTTGTTCCTTTACCTTTCGCACGTCGAACAGTCGTCGCGCAGATTTAAGTGATCAAAAGTTGTCATTCTAAAACGTCAATGCCTAAGAGAGATCAGCCAATATTGCCCCCACACTCCAGCTTCGGGCACTCGAACACACCATCCTCTTGGGAAATGGCAGATGTAGCAGTCAGATCTTTCGACGGCTCGCAACCTCTAGCTCGAAGTCAGAGAACTGCTCTGTGGTGGTGGGAACGGGGGCATAGCAATCTGCAGAGCAGGGGATCTCTTCCAGGTCGGATTGTTGATCGAGCCGCTCCTTGCTGTACTCGCGACACGACCACGAAAGGTTGTATCGCTGCTTGAGGGGCCCTTACGATTCCAGACAGCGTCCACTTTGTGGTGCATGTGTCAAATTTGATAGTTCACCGTGTTGCTGAACTTGGCAATTTTCGCTGAATTTCCAATAAGTGATGTTGGATCTGGACTTGGCGGAACATGTGAAGGGGAAGCTGGGCGGAATACCTAGTGGGACAATGGCTTGGAGTCGTGGAGGTCCTTTTCTTGGTAAGGGATGACGAAAGTGATGCGATTTGATAGAATCATTCACTTGGCCACATTATTTTGATCATTATTTCCTCCTTCCCCTTTTCCTTCATTACTATCATCAATCCCATCCCATCAAGCCCCACCAAGCGCCGGCAGAGGACACTTCCCCTCCCCATAAACCATATAATTCGCCAACATGCCCTGCTGATGATGATCTCCCACATGACAAATCACCTGCCACAACCCCTGATTCGAAGCATTCATATACAAAGTATGTCCCGCTCCATCATTGATACTATTGGAAAACGCCTTCAGTCCATTCTCCATGAAAGAATGGCCGTGCATATGGAAGACATGACTTTCCCCTCCAAAAGCATTGACATACCAAATCACCTTGTCGTTCATGCACATTTCGAAGGTCGGGTTGTTGGCGAAGAAGTACCCGTTTAAAGAGAAGAATTGTGGAGCCGAGGGGAATTGGCCTGAGAGGCCTAGATTGGTCATTTGAGGGCGCCAGATGGAGGAGTTGGAACTGTAGAGGTTCATGTCGGGTGATCCGAACGAGCTTGTGGAAATTGTGTGGTTGGGTAGCAGTTTTCTGGCGTTTTCGCCGGAGAGAAAAGAGGCGGATTCTGAGTAGCCCATGTAGAGGAGGGGGATTTCGCGGTAGGTGGACATTGTGGAGTTCATTTTTCCACGGGAGTAGACAATCTGTGGGCCGATGAGGCCGGAGTTGGTGTCGATGCTGAGGTCGATGTAGGAGTGGTAGCTGTGGGTCTGATTGAAGAAGATGGTGTTAGTGGCAGGGAGGAGGTTGAAGGCCAATGGGACGTACTCTAGCTGGCTCATCGCCATTTGGGCCTGCAATGTCGGGTACGATCCATTTGTATACAACGCAGTCTCCTGGGCTGACGCCAGCTTCGACAGGAGGGACTGCGTTTGCGGTGTTTAGTGTCTCATCATAGCCTGGCATCGTGCTGTTGGGATAATCTGATCCCTCGCTGGTCTTGCTGTATTKGAGACCCATGGAATGCATTGTTGCATATGCTTTGGACAGCTTGTTGACGAACATGATCTCTACCAAATCACCCACTTCGCTGCGTAGTGTCGGTCCTTGGGTTCCTTGCCATTGTGGCTGTTCGCTGCATGTCTTAAAGGTGCTATCGGTGTAGCCACGGTATAAGGCTTTGAGGTAAGTTGTGTTGTATTCAAGTAGAGGCATGGCTCTTGGCGAGACGTTCAAGGGAACCTGTGTGAACTGTCAGTATTGAGCAGAGTAAGTGCTTCATGGTCAATACTCCAAGCCAATTGTCCCAGCCGGTCGGGCCGTAGTTCCACTCGACCTCTTCGGCAGCGACATAGTAGCGTCGCACATTCCCGCTGAAGTTGAAGCTCTTAGGTGTACCGGATGGTAGTTTACCGTCCATCTGCTGTGCGCATTGCTGCAGACTCGGGGCAGTCGAGGCTGCGGTTGGAGATGCCCACACTGATTGAATTCCCAAGAGGGACGCAACGAAAAGAAGAGTGAGTTGTGCCATTCTGCGATTTGATGGATGGGGTTGTAGACACTCAGGAAAGACCAACCTCTGATTATATATGAGGCAGACTATACCYCGATTGGCTTCTGTCTCTCGGCCTTCGATCATACGCTCCATGTCCGTAGAGTGATTTCACGTCATGGCCTTGCGATACTGATCTCCGCGGCACATGCGCTGCAGTGTCGCTCTATCTCACATTCTAGGCCCGAAAGTCTAGTTATCATACCATTGAGGAATGTCAACGAATCAAAGGCGACCTATTCTCAGCATGAAGCTTCGCAAGTTCGAACAAGCTCATGCGCATGGGTCGTGAACACGGGCCGCGCGACTCATTAGCATGGCTACTCAATGGATTGGTGCCAGCGTAGGTGAGGACTGCAGAGCCCTAGAATCCTCGGGCAGTAGTCTGCCTTCTTTCCGATCTTCCTAGCCAATAGGGAAGGTCAAGATGCCACAATGAAAGTTTGAAGCCTCGTGCACATCTCTGTGTCCCAAGCTTCATGATCCGCCGCGTGGACAGAATTCAGGCCTCGTCGGCGTGGTAAGTGGCATGTCGTTTGCAATGCAGAATCAGGGACCCAATAAGCTGGGAGCTGTGACATTTTTCTGAAGTTTTCTTGGGTTGAGCAGCGGATGTTGCGGCACTGGTCCGGGACGGCTCCTGCACGGTTATGCGCCAGCCATGGCGATAGTCTGAAGGGACGTCACCAGTGTACACATGATTTGAATGCCCGTGTCTAGGATGATTTGTGTTGTGGTAAAAGATGCGTCTTGTAAAGTCCAATCCATTCCAAGCAGTGACATGCTTTCAAGGGCACGTCGGATGTTACCGATCGACTGTGGGGACCTTGGACGACGGATCAGAGCCATTCTCAAGAGGTCACCGTCCGGGACGGTAGCGTTGTCGGAGCTCACGGTATGTTGAGAGGAAGAGCAGGAGATGAAAGTGAAGAAAGAGATGATTGCGTGGGTATTCCCCGATGAGCAAGTATTCAGTAAGCAGACTGTTGATAGGCGGGAACCATATGTCCCGACCCGAAAAGGTCTAATCAACAAGATCATGAAGCCGTAGACTCGATTCTCAAACTCATGGAGATGTAGTACTCATGACTAGTAGTAATCTGACGATACACAGGCGGGTCGACGCGTCGTAGTTACAGATCTTTGCAATCTGCTCATGAGTCTCTGCTATATCCACCGTTCCTCTTGGAAGGGGACACGTCTGAGAGCATCCTAGACAAAGGCCATCAAATTTGGAGACGGTCAAGTCGAAATTGCATAACAGAACAGATGGATAATTCATAGGTAGAAGATGTTTAATCCTCCGGCACTTTTACCGAGCCATTGGTTGAAAGTTGAGACCTTGTAGTTCTAAGGCGGGTCTTCCGAGCAGCCACAGCCATGCAGGAAACAACAAGCATGCTGGTCGCATGGGAACATATTGTTTTCCTATCCGCAAGAAAGATTGGCGTGTCATTCCGGAATAAATGCGTCGTCTCAACAAAGGAATTGATGTCTTCCATACACAAGCAGCGACCAAAGAGGGCGTAATTGATTGAAACAATGCGCCTCTTGCGTAGCCAAGACTCAGACAACCGCGGTGAAGGGAAAGTTTGTCTTACCCGATCGACAGTGTTTAGTCCAAGTCTATCTTTCGTTCTAGACGGACTCTGGTCAGCACACATCTTCCCCTCCTCCATCGACGACGACGCGGATTGTAGGAATCAATCCACATCAAAGATCTCTGCATCGGAAAACAAACACCCGTGCCGAGCGACATCGCCGCCCCGGATTCTTGGGAAATTTAGGGAGCTCTTGTCAAGATTAGATCCATCTAATCTCTTGTGGCTGGCATACCAAACCACATCTCATCGCATACGGACGAAGTCGCGCCGGCAGAGATCTTGAGAGAGCTCGATCAAGAGAGACACATTGTCGAGCGTCCGATGGAGACGCACAGCAAGTTCATAGTCGATGAGGCCGAGGAATACGAGTGCGTATACATCTACCATCTTTCACGAGGAGAGGAAAGGAAGAAGCAGCGGGCTGGACATGGGGACAACCTTTGGACTGACGGTGGATGGTGATGCAGCTATGAGTCCCTACCTCCCAACTTCTCCCTCGCTGCCAACATGGCGGCGGGCGCCTTTGCTGGGATTGCGGTATGTTGACTGAAGGAGGGCGAGATGAATGAGAGACTGACGGACTATAGGAACATTCGGTCATGTACCCGATCGATCTCCTCAAGGTGAGAAGAAACCGCTATACCGCGCGAAAAGGCGACAACGACTGACATCAAGACGTACAGACGCGAATGCAAGTCGTGAACCCAACTCCCGCGGCGATATACACGGGCATCGGCAACGCCATTTCCACAATTTCACGCGCAGAGGGCTACATGTCACTATGGCGAGGTCTATCCAGTGTCGTAGTGGGAGCTGGTGAGATTTACATCCGCGTCCCCCCAAACTCGCGCAGACTCTAATCACACCTCTACCAGGTCCGGCGCACGCTGTCTATTTTGCCACTTACGAAGTCGTCAAGCAGGCCATGGGCGGGAATGCCTCTGGACACCATCCYGTAGCAGCTGGTAAAATCAACCCTCCCTGATACCCTCTGTCGCATCTCTAACATGATCGATTACTCACAGCCTCCTCTGGAGCCTGCGCAACCATCGCCAGCGACGCCTTTATGAACCCTTTCGACGTCATCAAACAACGCATGCAAATGCATGGCTCCACATACACCTCCCTCGTCGACTGCGCCCGCAAAGTCTTCCGCGCTGAAGGCCTTCGCGCGTTTTACGTGTCTTACCCGACCACCTTGACCATGACAGTCCCGTTCACCGCCCTTCAATTCACCGCCTACGAGTCGCTCACCAAATTCATTCAAGCTCAAAGAACGACTCGCTTTGGAGAAGTCCCCGCTTACGAWCCCTTCACACATTGCATGGCTGGAGGCTTGGCTGGTGGTGTGGCAGCTGCGGCGACGACCCCTCTGGATGTGATCAAGACGTTGTTGCAGACAAGAGGTGGAGCTACGGACATGGAGATCAGACACGCAAGAGGACTGTTCCCTGCCGCGGGGATCATTTGGAGAAGAGAAGGAATGAAGGGATTCTTCCGCGGAATGAATGCCAGAGTTGTGACCGCTGCACCAAGCACGGCGATTTGTTGGAGCGCATATGAGTTGGCCAAGGCATATTTCATTCGGGTCGAGGGTGAGGCGGCAGCTTGAATAAAGTTCCTCATGAGAGAGGAGGCGCGAGTTGCTGGTCTGTTAAGAGGTGGTGATGTTCCTTCACGGGCATCATTCGGAGCGCCGACCACGTTCAGAGAGACGCGCTCAGAGGAGTAGCTTGGATCCTCTGCCAGCTGAATCAACCAGGCGGAACACGTCGTCAGAGCAGCCAGCAGGCGGGCACGACTTATCCGCATCGACCGCTTGCAAGTTGGACGTTCCAGCCAAAAGCGCTTCTTTCGAGAAGGCGTCTGTTCTAGGAATCTATCTGCTCATCCGTCCGGACCAGATGGGAAGACCACCAGATGAAGCGAGTTAAAATGTGTAATAGAGCAAAGTGAAATGAAAGAAAGGGAGACCCTGTGTACATAAGCGCAATACCTTTGATGAATAGATCAATCCATGCGAGATGATGTTCACTTTGAGATTTCGCTTCCAGATTGACGGATTTGTTCAGGACTGATGAAGGTTGCGAGTACCTACCATTTACTTCAATATGGCAGCACATTTGAGACAAGAAGGAGGCATATGTCAAGCCATCTCTGGAGTATTGCTATTCTTCGTTTCATATTGGATATACATAAGTTTTCTCTCTTGGTCTCGCATTGTCTGATACCAGCTCAACTCTTCCATCCAGTCCATCCCAAGCCCTCCCAGCAATGTCCTGTCCTGTCCTGTCCCGTCCTATCCAGAGACAATCTCTCCCCCTTTCGTCAAGATCCATCCCATCAACCGCCCCTCTCTCCAAACTTCTCGCTCCATTCCTCGAATTCCTTCAATCCCTCTTTACTAACACTCGGTCTGATGTTTCCCAAACTCGCCTCAAAATCTCTCATACTGATCGGCCGAATCTCTTCGGGAGACATCTTCAACAAAAGCTCTCCGAGACTTCTGAGAGGTCCCATCGCTGCATCTTTCGCTAGAGCGGTGATATCTGAACCAGAGAATCCTTCTGTCAAATCGACGAGGCGTTTGATATCTCTATCAGAGAGACCTTGGCCTTTCCCACCAAGTAGAGTTCTGAGTTGAGATTCCCGGACATGAGGTTCCGGAAGTGGGATGTATTGACGCCTGACGAAGCGGCGCCGGGCGGCTTCGTCGATTGCCCAAGGGAGGTTTGTGGCTGCTAGGACGAGGACGCGACTTGCGTCACCTGCTGAAAATTAGTCCACAATACTGTCGGCTTATGAGGAAAAGTAACTCACCTTCACTCGTCTCCCTCCCCGCTGCAGCCCGCTGCAAATCACTCCACTGCACCAGAAACTCCGTCTTAATTCTCCTCGTAGCTTCGTGCTCTCCATCCCCTCTGGCACCCAACAAACTATCAATCTCATCCACAAATATGATGCTAGGAGCCAGCTCCTTCGCCAGGACGAACAATGCCCTCACCAACTTTTCGCTTTCTCCAAGAAATTTACTTGTCAGTGAACTCGCTGAGATGGCGAAGAACACAGATTTACTCTCCGTAGCAACAGCTCTCGCCAACATCGTCTTTCCCGTCCCAGGTGGCCCGAAGAGAAGCATGCCCCTTGCCGGCTCGCGCAGACCGAGGAAGAGGTCTGGACGGAGGAATGGATAGACAACAGTCTCTTTCAAGGCGGACTTGGCGATTTCGAGACCTGCGACATCGTTCCAATGCACTTCATCACCTTGAATGACGACTTCATTGAAGATTTGTTTGGCCGCATTTTCGTCTACTCCGGCGGGGAGATTCTTCATCAGATGCTCCACACGGGTGGACCAGGCTTGTTTCTCGGAAGGCGTGCCGGGTGGGGAAGTGTTGTCGGAGGATGGTGATGTCGTAGGAGGGGTCATGGCACGGGAGGGAACGGGTCGTGACTCGATTTTCCGTTTGGAGGTTCTGCGTTTGATTCCATCGGCGGTGTTGTTGGAAGGCCGGGGAGGAGGAGTGGGAACCGTGCGTGATGTGCGGGCTTTAAGCTGCGATTGTACGTTATCAAGCTTCTGACGTTCCGTCACGGCGGTGGAGACGCCCACGGCTTTGCGTTGRATCGTTCGTGCTGGTTGTGGAGACCCATTTGCCAGATCGAGGTCGCTAGGTTTCCTTGCTGGCACGGGTGGTGGCGATTGCTTAAGTCCGGAAGATGGATGGTTGGGAAATTCCTTCATGTAGGAGATCGAGCTGTGTCCGAGATGATCTGCTAGAGAGCTCGCAGTGTACGCTGGTTGAGGTGAAGATCGGTGAGGTGGAGGTGGCGGGGGATAGACATTGCCTACTGAATCTCCGCTGTTGGCAAATGATTGGTGGGAGTAAGGGTCCAAGACTGGGTATTCCGGGTATGGCGGAGGATATGACTTTGGGTGGACATCCTCGACGGAACTTTGATAGCTGCTTCGCTGTGAGACGTATTCAGAAGGGCTGGGAGCGCGAACAGCCGGGTTTGACGAGTCTCTTCTTTCCTCTACAGATGTGCGTGGATGTGGGCGAGCTACAAGCTGTCTCGTGTACGGATCCCAGGTCATCTGTGGCATAGGAGCTGGAGTAGGGGTTGTGGTAGTAGAGACGTTGGTAGAACTTCCATTCATCTGCAAGGGAGGCCTCTGCCCATTCCAGACTTGTGCCGCAGCTCGAGACGCGGCACTTGGAGGCTTGCTCCTCATGCTCGTTGCCATCTTTCCACCACTGGACGCCGAACGATCCTTGGTTGCTGTCCTCAGCGTCTTCAACATGCCCGCCTTCTTCTCAGGACTCGGAGTTCTGCCCCGTGGCTTTTCGACGACTGGAGGAGTCAGACTTTTCCCAGGGATCGGATCTGCCTTTAGGCTCATCGTGCGCGGAGTCTCCTTGCCGGAGCTCTTCCTGCTGGTGTACAGCGGGCGTTGTGAGGGTCGTCGTTGTTCGGAGAGCTGTGGTGGTCGTGGAATATCTGCATACGAGGTTTGAGGAACGGTGTCCTGTCCAAGCCAAGTTTGAACACCACTGTGCTGACTGTGCTTTCCATTCAACGACGGCCTCGATGACGACGAAGCGGCGGAATCTCTGCTCTTAGTGAGCGGTCGCTCCGCTTTGATCTTCAACTTTGACGACGACTCTGCTTTCTGTGCCTTTCTCAGCGCAGCTGCCTCTTCCTTGGCCTTTTCCTTGGCCTCTTCCGCGGCCTCTTCACGAGTCTTTCTCAGCGCGTCCAGCAAGTCGACGCGTTCCTTGCATTGTGTCTCCATGGCTCGGAGCGAGTCCTGCAGGGCCTTTTCCGTCTCGCTTCGCGGTATGTAGTTGCTGGGCATCTTGTAGGCATTGTGATAGWAGATTTGGTCGAGAGCATTGCGCCACGACCGCAGGGCTTCGGCCTCGTTGTTCTGGCCTTCAAAGTAGATTGCCGTCGAACAGRTGAGGTAGCATTCGTCGTAACATTTCTGCATGGACGACGCAGGCGCCTTGCTGCGCATCATTGTGGGCCAGAATTAATTGGGGTTGATACCTTTGCTTCCTCACGTGTGTGTTGAGCGAGAGGAGAGATAATGGCAATTCAGAGGGATGACGTGCGTCGTTGCTCTTCAGCCACTTTGGGTCGCATTCGCTCGCTAAAGTTTCCAAGGTTGGGGCTTCAGCAGCTACTTCGGGACGGCATTTCAGAAATCAGCACAGGCCACTCCAAGAATATCTCAACTGGGGGAGACAGACGAGACGAGACGAGACGAGACAAGAGGAAGAGAAGCAGCTTTCTGAAGATACTCGATGCACCCGTGGCGTCGTGCAAAATGTGTCACCCGCACTCTTGACTGCGCCATCTCACGCGCCTACACCACCTCACGTGTCCATCAGGCTCAAAAGATTGGCATCGACAAACTCCTCCAACAAAATGCCCCTTCAAATGAAAAGGTGCAGGTCAACGGCTGGATTCGATCCGTGCGCAAACAGAAACGAATTGCGTTTGCTGCTCTCGGAGATGGCTCCACCATAGACTCTCTCCAAGCCGTACTGAAGCCCGATCAGGCTGCAGAGTGAGTCCGCCTATTCTTTCTAGCTTGAACATCAACTCACATAATCTCCAGCCTTTCCTACGGAACAGCAGTACAACTCACCGGAACCTGGCAAGCCTCCCATGGAAGTAAACAATCCCATGAGCTACAAGTCTCCTCTCTGCAAATACTCGGTGCCAACGATGCAGAATCCAACCCTTTGCAACCCAAATACCAAACTCCAGAATTCCTTCGTACGATCCCTCACTTGCGGTCAAGGATCCCTGCGAATGCTCTGCTCCTTCGTCTTCGCTCCCAACTCATTGCCTCCATTACAAGATTCTTCAACGATGAGGAATTCATCCAGACTCATACGCCCATCATCACAAGTTCAGATTGCGAGGGTGCTGGAGAAGTCTTCACCGTCTCTTCCAATGCCGTCACCAAGGAAAGTGGCGAAGTTGAGCACTTCTTCAAGACTCCCAAGTATCTCACCGTATCCGCCCAGCTTCACCTCGAAGCTCTAGCACAATCTGTGGGAAAAGTTTGGACACTCTCCCCAACATTTCGCGCTGAGAAGAGTGAGACACCGAGACATTTGAGCGAGTTCTACATGTWGGAAGCCGAAGTCTGTTTTGCGAGTGACATGTCTGAAATCATGGATGTTGTTGAGAGAATGCTTCGAGCCGCAGCGAAAGATCTCCTGGATTCGCAAATCGGACAGCAACTCATCAAAGTACGAGGCTCACCACATCCGGATGAGGCAGAGAACACATCTATCGACGCAGAGACGTTAAAGAAGAGATGGGTTGGTCTCGCAGCCCCATCCTGGCCGAGGGTTACTTACCACCAAGCAATTTCACACCTCCAGCACGCCGTCTCGGAAGAAGGAGTCGACTTTCAATTCCCTCCAGCGGTGGAAGATGGTCTGCAAGCCGAACACGAACGCTACCTCGCCACTTCCCTGGGTAAAGGCTGTCCGGTCTTCGTCACGGACTACCCCATCGATCAGAAACCCTTCTACATGTCTCCATCGTCAAATGGAAAGACAGTAGCGTGCTTTGATCTTCTCGTTCCTGAATTCTGCGAGCTCGCGGGAGGGAGCATGCGTATCCATGACCCCGAGGAACTCAAGATATCAATGGAGAAGAAGGGTGTCAAAGGAGGTGACTTGGATTGGTACATGGATTTGAGAAAGTACGGGAGTGCGAGCCATGGCGGGTTTGGGTTGGGCTTTGATCGACTGGTGGGGTATCTGGGCGGCGCAGGGAATTTGAAGGATGTGGTTGGGTTTCCTAGGTGGGTCGGAAGAGGTGACTGTTGATGATGGACGAGGATGTAGGATATGTGAATGAGGAGAGAAGGGAGTGTAAGATTACCGAGGCGAGGAGAAATAACGATGCACTGTTGTATGGAAAGGGCAATATCATGGGTAAAGATCATGGTCCTTTTGCACACCTCAAGGTTACCTTTGCTGTCCTGAGTGCGTGTTGCGACATCTCGATACTGTGCTTACAGCGGAGTAGAGAGAGCGTTGTCTATGAAAGCATTGAAGGAGATTGAAGAGCGAGGGAGAGGGGGATATGTCGGTGCTGTGCCGCTCCAGATGTATATACGCACTGCCGTTCACTATAGACTGCCCAACCTATCGCCTTGACTTCGTCGGGGCAGTACTCTTCGCCGATCAACCTGACGATATGCGGCAAAGTGTCGATGGACACGAGGACCAGCTATTGGCCAGAGAGCTCTTGAAATCACGGGTCTGGGCAAGAAAGAACTTGGGTATACTGGTGCCTACTTTTGCTATTTTTCAAGTAGAGAGAGTTCTTTGTGAAGAGATGTAACGCGGTAGAATGAGAGCCGAGAATGAAGGTCTGAGCTTATGTGCTTGTCCCAATGTTGGCCAGCCGGCTGATGGGACTTTGCTCGATTGCTGTCCCAACCGTCCAGCATTGCCCAGGTTAACGCCCTTCCCAAAACTTGGTCTGATGCGCCCACAGGCTGTAATCTCAGAATAGACCAAAACAGGCAAAATGAACCCCAAAACCTGCTTCGCAATGCTCAGATCATATACCTAGATGATGATGGAGGACAAAACCCATGCAGTTTCGATCTCTATACCTTTTCTCTGAACCATGCACTTCGTAAGAACATGGCCGCGCCCGCCCAGCTGATGGATGCCTGTGCACATACGACCCACAGAGCTTCGAATCTCGCTGGTCTGGAGTCCCAGAGCAGTGGCAACGAGCTGGGCGAGCATACCGGCTTCTTATCTCGTCCAGACTCGCATTCGAACCATCTCAAGCCGATTGCAGTGAATATAGCCGTTCACGATCGACTTGCAATCCAAGGCGCTGACGCGTGCAAAAGGGACCAGATATCTGTCGCAGGTAGCACTGACAAGGTTGCTGCCCGCAACAACGACAGCATTCGATGAGACATCCGACCCTCCGTATTTGACTCTCCGCAAGGCTGCTGCTTTTCGTGCTTGTAGCTACCTATCAGTGAGCGTTGTCGTCAATTCTATCCCAGAAGAGGCGGCAACCATCAATCTCATCTGACCGCGACTGACTACGTTGAGGCGGGTAGGGAGTGAAGTGAGGATGGCGTATGGCGTCGTTTTCCGGGATCGAACAAAAATGTTGGTATGAGGTCGCTGTGAAAATCGAGACTGATCGTCCGGCTATTGTCGTATCCGTGTACTCATCCTCTTCGTTCAGGCTGGCGCATAGCAATCTGCTCTTACGTTCCCCCACACCCCAAGTTGCAGATATCCTGTTCATGGCCCGGTATCCTCAGAACGGCGCGAGCCCCGTTCAGCAGCAGCGCAGAAACCACAACGCAACATGTTGCGATACTGGCAGAAAGTGGCTATCCAAGCATCCCTCAAAAATTGCAACCGTAATCTCCGAACCGCGTGTCTCAAGCAGGTTCCCGACTACCGCTTCCCATCCCAACCATTTCGTAGGTCCCCGCTCCATCCCGACCTCTTCCTCTTCCACTTCCCATCTCATGACCGGCCTCAAGATCTTCCGGCGCATTCCCTGCTGCCTGACTTTCCGCGGCCGGTTGCTTTGTCGCACTTCCTCCAAACATCATAGGTCGCAACTCTCTCCACTGACACGCCCATATCCCCAGTGAGCACATCAAGGTCACGGAACATATCTGCAAAGCCCACCATGCGATCGTGTTGGGAATGCGGTGGGTATAGAGGGATGTGACGATCAAGTGGATGAAATGAATCGTGAGCGCAAAGTCGGGGACTAGTTTCGAGCGGGCGATCAATAGTAGCAACGGAATCACGCTGTACACAAAACCGTCAGTAAGAAGCTCCGAGGTCAAGGTAATGTAGCATGACATACGTAACAAGCGCATCCAGCATCCAGCACAACCCCAAAGTCCATCCCGTAGTAACATCTCCGCGTACGTTCCGCCAATCAAAGATCTCGCCTGGTGCGGGATGTTTGCCGGCGACAAAGGTGGTGAAGACGATGAGTATGAGGGCGATCGCGTAGTAGAAAGCCTGCAAGAGCAGCATCTGGGAGAGGATATTCCATGGGCGGAGATCCGCGAGTGCACCGGGGCGGGGAGGTCGACGACGGCGAGCCATTATGATTGTGCGTTATCGTTGATTTAACATGTTAGTTGCGGAAAGGAGGAGGAGTAGTTGACAGAGTGTTAGGTTCCATGTTAGGTATGCCTATTCCGTAGATGAGCGCATGCAGGAGAGCTATCCACGTGTGGAGGTGTATTACAGCGTATTTAGCCTTAGCGTGCTTGCTTACCACTCTGCCATTGAGACCTCACGTACACCACCAGAACACTCCTCCACGCCGGAAGCCCCCATATCACACGTCAACATGGCCGAACACGAGGAGGACCACCCTTATCATGCCAAGGATGCCATCGGCCAGGCCATCAAGGCCACCCTCATCACCGGCGGAGCAGGACTCTTCATTTCCACCATTCAGAACACCCTCACTCGCCAGAATGTAGGCATGATGGGTGTTTTCACGCGGACTGGAGGCACAGTCGCGGTCTTTGGTATGGAAAGATAGGACCAAGAGATGACCGAAGCTAACTGCGGATGTTGTATAGCTGCAATGGGCGGCGCATACTCCTTCACCTCCGCGGCTTCGGCAAACTTGCGCCAAAAGGACGACACATGGAACGCGGCAGTCGGAGGTCTTTTCAGCGGCACAATGTTAGGATTGAGATGTATGTGGAGCATGATTCGGGGAAGAGACGAGATCTGGCGCTCTCTTGCACCTCTCTCGGGATGTGGACTATGGGTTGGCTGACAATGTGACAGTCCGCTCGGCACCAGCCGTACTTGGCTACGGCTCTGCCATGGCCGTTGTACTCAGCGCATTCCAATTTACTGGTGGCCGCCTCGATGGCTACAAACGGGATCCTGAGATTGACGAGGTCGCGAGGAAGGAGCACATGCGAAAGAACAGGAGGCGGCCGATCGATGAGACCGTACACCAGTTGGGTGAGGGGCGAGGTGAGTGTGATCTGGAGTAGCGCGGTGGGGAGCGGATACTGACGTACGGTGTACAGGAATCTATGGACCTGGATACCCAGAGCGGAGAGCACAGAGAATCAAGGAGGCTTACGGTATTGATGTACCAGGTGCGAGGACCGAGTAGATGGAACACGGGTTGGAATGTCCTATCGGAGGCATCGGAAGGTCTGTATGTTGTATATCGCTCACGGAACAGATTCCCCAATGGAGTTCGATTTCTTATGTTCTTGGAGAAAATGCGACTTTCGTAACGGTCGGTGTAGGAATAGGTTTGCAGATATGGCTGATGAGACAATTCTCTACTACCCAGCCCAGATCCCCGGTGTGGGCGATATAAGACGAGCTTTGAAGGAAAAAATCAAGAGTTGAGACTGTGTGCGGGCCGCATTCCGGATTAGTATAGGAGCCGATCGATTCCATATTCTAGCCATCGAGACTAACATTTTGCCTGCGATGCCGCGCCACGCAGCACGACACCCGGAGCGAAGCGAAAGGCTTCAGCGCTGTGTTACTGGTCACCGCTTGGACGACAGGGCTCTCGTTGTGTCGAGAGCCTGAATGGAATCAATTTTATTGTGACAATGTGGTTGTGAAGGCGAGTGAATGCACTGCTGCGCGACGAACTTCCATAAGTTCGACTTCTACAGCGTGGGACGACGCTTCTTCCTTTACACACGCAGGTACCAGTACGGCTATCCGCACAGATCACAGCCGCAGGAATCTCTTGAGATACAAACAACTTCCAGCTTACGCATCCTGTTGTCGTCAGTAGCTACCAAAGGAGATCGAAACGAAGCCAGAAAGTCACCACACCTTCATCATCGAAATGACTGGCCTGCGGCCCTGGTACTTTGTTATCAAGCCGTTCATGGGATTTTCCAACGAGATCACGCGACGAGACATCCATGAGACTATCCAGAGATACACACCCGAGAAGTACGATGCTCTGAGTTACATCCCAGAAGAGCTGTCAAGACCTTGGTTCGAAAACCACGATGCAATCAAGGTCCCCAGCACAATCTTCGACTGCTTCCCGCCCAAGCTGCTAGATTTCCTCCATTTTGCGATCTTCTATGCAAAGGGCGATCAAAAGGCTGTACACTCGGCCATCAACGAAGCATACAGAGAGCGCTTGAGACGGATACCAGGAGACACGGTTCTTGATACCGAACATGTCTTCCAGGCCGCGGCTATTGTGACACGGAAACTTGCGGAGGTGAATTTGGCGCGTGAGGCGCACAGGAAAGGCGAAGAGAATGTCCTGGCTGCTCTGAAGAAGGTCCTGCCTGCAAATGTGTCTCACAAGGGGATGTTGAAAGTCACGCCGGAGGAACTGTATATCATGGTTCAAAAGGCAGTGAGAGACCCTCAACAAGATGAAGGACTGGAGGGTGATGGCGTGATGCAACATGATGACGATCTTCGAGCTTCACTGCTAGACGCTGTCATTGCTGATTCTCACAGCCCGTCTCTCCGGAAATCTGTCCCCGGGTCAACATGGCCACCTGGAAGCTTCGCTGCCCCTTCTCGTACAACGGGTTATAGCGTCACATCGCCTCGAGAGCCACCCCCATTCCCAGCTGGTAATCCTGAACATGCAAAATACTCCCCTGTCCGTCCTCAAACCTCTCATTGGCCGCAAAACTCTCTTTCACCTGGCATCTTACCGAATGACATTGCCCCCACTGTCAAGCAGATCTGCGTGAAGAACACACATCAGCCTTCCATGAGCGCCGAAAGCGACGGAAAGCAGCCGTGCAGCCTGGCTTCATCCTCAGACATTATTCCGGATGCTTCTTCTCGCACTGATACAGCAGCAAGCAATGCTGTGACGGAACATCCGACATCAATGAAAGGGCGCAACGGACGGATAGAAGCAGGAGATGGCACGGTCAGTAACTCGACAAAGACTGTTGAGGATGCAAGGACCAAAGCGGCGGCCCCCAGCTCTGCACACGAAGACTCGGAAGCAACACACGCTTCTGCTTCTGATACCGCATTGGAGGCCAACGATACTTCTACTACCGTCCAGACTACCCATGTGACGATCAAAGCGACAGAGCACATCAAAGATCGGACAAGTACCTCTCATGCTGAACATGGCGCCAACGTTCACGATCAACCAATCTCACATTTCAGACGCAACAATCCCGCCTCGCACCCTGATGCAGTCAGCGGTACAGCTCCCGCAGATCTTTCTCCTCTTGGCGTATCAAGTATGCCAGAAACAGGAGAACCTGAATTGACGGACACAGCTGGAGAAAGCGACAGATCAATCAGTACCGCTGCTTCCGTTAAGAAGCGGAAGTTTTATTGAAGAGCATTTTGGAGGCCATGACAAGGTGGCAATGGGCTGACACTGCACGTGTTTGATAGCAAGACATGATCGACTGTTGATGGATGAGATCCGGTCTCGGTTGATTGATGGGCCACTTTGCTAGTGGCAAGGATGTCGGCAGGCCCAGAATCGTCGAGAGCGAGGTCTCGGGACAATGTGGGGATGACTGAGGATGTCTTGTCCTGATGAATGGTCCTCGTATCGACAGCTCTGAATTTGGCGCATGGCTTTATGCTTCGACTGAGTGTGGAAGAGGAGCGTAATCTTTATCCATGGCATTAACCTTGCCATACAACAGCGCACACTGACCGTAAGACTGCATTGAACCAGTCAACCACGAGACGCTACGTGGTCCACCAGATATAATCCTTGGGAGCAGCTCCAGCCCACGTTTCCTTTCGACTGGTTCTTCTTGATACCTATTTATGTGACGCCTTTGACGCGGGCTGGGACAACAAGATCGAGCCAAAGCAGAATATGCATTGAACATATGATCACCCGGTGAAAAGAAGCGGACTGGTGTGACGGTGTATGTATCTGCAGCTTGCGGCCGGTGTGGACCCAACTACGCATTGACTTCTTCACAGCATATTCACCTTTGCGTTTTCGGACAGCAAACGGCTCACCACCCGACTACTCGTTTCCTTCATGCCTTCCGAACAGCTCGCACGAATTACGAAAGCCCGGAGTGGTTCTATTTGCCGTCTTCCATACTATGATTAGTTTCGGACATAGATCATGGGGTTTTGCCCAGATTTTCCAAAGAATCATTCCTTTGACCAGCGTCCAATGTCCAAAAGATCGGTGTCGCTGGTTCCTGGCGGCATCGAATGCGAGTCGATTCGAGAAGGTATGTGAATCTCTATGGTTCTTTTCGTGTTCATCTAGCATCCTTAGCTAAGGTATGGCTTCTAACAGCATGTGAATTCAGGCTATGGAACGAGTGATCGAGGAAAATGCTCTGAGGCAACAGCAAATTCAAGCAAGAAGGAGGATGGGCAGTGAACGACGATCTAAATCAACATCAGCATCGATAGAGCAAGTGCTGAGGGAGATTCAGGAGTCTCAAGTGGTCATCACCATTGCGACCGATTGTCTCTGCAAATACTTTGCGACCAACAAGGATCGAACTAATGCCTTGGATTGTGACGAGTCGTGCATGGCCCCAAAGAGGCCAGTCCTGACGCGAAGTCTGCGGAAAGAGAGACATCTTGTACCTTATAGAATCACCCGACACTTCCATACAATGGCACTGCCACTTGTGATTCAAACCTGCCCTGTGTCATTGGAGATCATAGTGTCACACGTCGCAGCTAGCATGCATTCGAGTCTCTTCATTACCTCATGCTTACTGAGAGTCACTCGATGTTGTAGGGCGCGAGGCCTGCTCTCTCGGACAATTGCCGACATTAGGTGGCATTTGGGGGCATAATGCGTGATTCCAGGGTTTAGGCAGACGTTTGGGTAAAATCATTGATGGTGAATTTCGCAGTTGCGGCGTTTGTAATTGTTGGCGGCTAAACCCGCTTGGGTAAGGCGCTCTGGCGTGAAAGTCAGATCGTAATAAGGTAACCCACCTCACCTCACCTCATCTCACCAACCCCTCGTTAATGCCGCCCGAAAACCTACGACAGCAGACCGCTGCGTGAATAAGCGTACATCAGAGAATCGCGGAGAACCAAATACAGAGGATTGCCGCCTCTCCCTGTGGCGAATTGACGACAACGCTCACGAACTGGTGGCTACAAGCACAAAAAACAGCAGCCCTGCGAGAGTCAAATACGGAGGAATCGAATGTCTTGATCATGCAGTCATGGGTGCAGAAACTGAAAGATTTTTGCCTGCTAGAAGTAGGGCGGCAGTCTTCGATTTCACCGGCCCTTGCTCGTCAAAACTGCCACTTCCCCTCTCGTTCTCCAGCCATCTCACTTTCAATCCCCATAATGTTACGATCCGAGCTTTGTGGAAGTCTGTTCAAACCGCTGAACCAACAAAAGTTCTCGTTTCCAATAGCGCTGTCGATATAAGAAATCATCAACAAGAGCCACGCCCCGAACTGCTCTCTTGATTGATTAACGGCCACTCTGCTAGTAGCAGGTATCCTAACAGGCTTCAAGTTATCGAGCCCGTAGAAAGCGAGGTCTTAGGATATTACGGAAATAACTGAGGATGCCTTGTCCTGACGAACAATCCTCATATCGACAGCTCTGGAGCCTTCCAAGCACCTCCACTTGTCGTTTGCGTTCGGAAACCGCCAAGGGCCGGTGAAATTAAAGATTGCCGCCTCTCCTTGTGGGGAACTGACGACAACGCTCACAAACTAGCGGCTATAAGCACAAAAAGCAGCAGCCTTGCCGAGAATTAAATCGGAGGATTGCCGCCTCTCCCTGCGGTGAATTAATCACGACGGTGCGTTAACGACAATGCTCACGAACTGGTGGCTATAAGCACGCAAAGGAGCAGCCGTACGGAGAGCCATAACCGGGAGATGACCGCCTCTCCTTATGGCGAGTTGACGACAACGCTCACGAACTGGTAGCTACAAGCACAAAAAGCAGCCGCCTTGCGGAGAGTCAAAATACTCTTCAATCTCGCGGGCCCTTGCTCGTCGAAATTTCCATTCCCCCACTCCCCCACTTGTTTTCTAATCATCTCGCTTCCATCCGCGACACGCGCATTCACACCTCAACAACCATCACAGATGGACATCACTGGAGACAATGCTGAGGCGGTCGATGCAATGACCAATGTTGCCGTCGACAAGGACCATGAGAAGGACGACAAGGTGCTCGGTGTTTTCATTCCCAAGAACGTGGACAGCCGCACCTTGCCTTCGGCCGACGATCTTCGCAATGGCACCAAGGAACAGTACGGTGACTCCCTGCTTGTTGTTGTTGATCGAGAGGACGAGAAGAACTCTGGCGTTCGTGGTCAACCTCCATGCATCGCCTTCATCCGTATTGGCAAGAGCAGCGAGAAGGTCCTCCCGCTGCGCGACGATCCCCAGAAGCAGCTCGGCAGATTGGGTCATCCCGACGTTACTGTCGACTTTGACAGCACCAAGATCGCTCCAGGCCTTCGCATCGAGTTCAAGTTGTACGAGAGTGTAGCCATGGCCAAGGGCCAATTTCATATCGGCTCACTCGGCTTCTACTTTGGTGCTTTATGGGACCAGCAGCGACAGCGCGACTACTTCGGCATTGTTCCCGGCAGCTTCAAAGTCGTTTGCGACCCCGACGACCATTCCATGGACATCTCCTTCCGGTCGCAGGGTGCCGTGGTGTATAATTTTGATCCGCCAGATGGCCACGAGTTGACCGCAGCTGAGGCCCACCTGTACAAGCATTTGCAGCGTTTCGCCGACAACAAGGATGAGATCGAAATCAAGCTTCGGCTGTTACCTTTCCAGAAGGACATCGAGCGATTGATGTCTGATCGTGCAAAGGAGTTGAATCCTGAGAAGCAGCTTACCTCGCACATCCTCGCGCAGAGTTTCATGAGCACAGATCCCATCTCTCCCGTGCGCTTGCCAGCTTTCTGGCCTTACAAGAAGACGAAGAATTCCAGCACGGGCTCGCCGAGCGTGCCAATGCAGTGGGAGCAGACGCTGGATCGATGGGCCATCATCACTCGCGAGCCACATGCACCTTTCGTGGTTATGCCTGTCTATCCGAGGTTCTTGGACTGCCGACATGCGTCGTTGTCTCTCGGGTACGGCATGCTGAATGAATTCGAGGAGGCCAAGCGCAAGCTCCTTGCTATTGAGCACGGCGATCACGTCTGCAGTTACACTCTCATCGGCGAAGTTATTGTGATCTCGGTCAAGTTCTCGCACCCTCCCCGCATTGGATTCGGCGAGACAGAGCACTACAGTCTACCGACCGACACAACAATCGAGCTGGAGATCAAGACCGGTGACAGCGAGCAGAACGCAAAGGTCACCGGCGTCATCAGCGAGAACATTCTGGCGCAGTCGAATGCCGACATGACCGTTTTGGTTGGCCGCCGCGCTGACGTCGAATCTCTGCGCCACACCGCGAGCAAATTTCGTACGCACGGTACCTCTACTGGCAAGCACTACCGCTGCAAGCTCAAGGCGGACATCAGCGTGAACGTGATCCAGGCGCAGATTGACGCTATCAGCAAGGCTTACGATCCAATCCGTATCGACGGTTCAAAGGGCCGCCTCCTCGACTTGCTCTTGTTTGATGGCACTGCCCACAACAAGATGACGGATCCTTTCGAGTGTGTCGGCGATCCAGCCCTGAYGAAGAAGGCGAAGGAGGCCCTGATGAATCCATTCCCAAATGATCCAACGTTCGCCTGGTCGTCGTCTCAGATTGATGTCCTCGATGCCGCACAGGATCTCACCTGCTCAACAGAGATTGTTACCGGCTGTGGCGGTTCAGGCAAGACAATGATCCAACTCGTCAAGATCAACGTCACCACCGCCGTCCTGGGTCAATACGCCCTGGTCACTAGCGACAAGAACYCTGTGGTCAACGATCTTGCTCTGAAGCTGATCAAGATGTTTCCCGATCTCAATCCTGTTCGAGCATTCGCCAAGCATAAGTCGTTGGCGCAGCTGTCCGAGGAGCGATACCCCAAGAAAGAACAGAAGGACTCCAGCGCGACTGAGGAGGAGGCTGCACTCTACCAGCTGCTGTACGCCAAGTTCAACGCCCCTCAGGTGAAGCATCGCGATCGCGGTCTCGAGGATATTTCTGTTGAGGGTCACATTCAGAGCCTTCTCAACGGCAAGAAGAAGATCATGGCGCAACTCACGGATGGCGAGATCTCTCCAGGTGTACCAAAGCCGCATGAGGATTACCCCGCTCCACAAGACATGGTTGCTTTCTTCCGCGCTTTCCTCACAGATGTCGCGATTCACCCGCTTGGCGAGCGTGTCTCTGCGAGCAGTGCCAGCGAGGTCAAAGTCGAGACCTTGACAGCGGAGGAGAAGAAGACAGAGAACGAGCGTCTAAACCCCGAACAGAGACAGAAGGCCTTCGACGAGCGCCGCGCTGAGCAGGTCAAGCAGCACGCTGAGTGGAAGGAGCTGCCCACGTATTGGTCTCAAGACTACCTTCGACTTGTTCAGCAAGCTTTGGACTTCTTGCGCCAGTATGTCATTCGCAATGCCGACATCGTGCTCACTACGCTCAGCAACTGCGCATCCGAGGAGCTTCGCAAATTCTTTGCTCCTGACATSAAGCGCCGCATCTTCCACGAATCCGACGAGGCTTTCACTGCTGTTGAGGCGAACATCCTGATTGTCCTTACCATGATGAACTGCTCGGATAGAATCGTCTCCAACGCATTCTACGGCGACAGACAGCAGCTCGGCCCGACAATCCTGGGTCAAGCCAAGGACGCCAACACCAAGTCTCCTGGTCTGAATGAGCATGGTGGCCAGATCCGCGTGTCTCTCACGCAACGCCTGATCACTGCAGGCTTTCCCCTCCAGCATCTGACCGAGCAGAGCCGCATGTCATCACTCGTATTCGAGCCCTCGAACAAGTTCTTCTACGACAAGCGCATTACAACCCACCCCGGCATCAAATTCGACCTCCCCGACGGCTGGCTAGACCTCATGCGCAAGGTCCGCGGTGATGGGGAGGACGTGATCTTGACACCAGAGCAGCAGCGTCTTCTCTGGATCGAGGTGCCAGGTGATAACACACGTCGTACACYCACTGGCTCCAAGGGCAACTGGGCTACTTTCAATAAGGTTGTTTCCATGATCGTGGGCCCTTACCACGACCTTTTCGGCCACAAGATGAATGAGCTTGTCACCATCCACGTGCCATACACTCGTCAGCGCTTACTCTACGTTGATTTCCTTGCTGATCTCCGCGCGAAGCGCGGCTGGGAGCCCAAGGAGCTGCCACGTGTTGTCACCGTCGACAGCGCCATTGGGACTGAGTGCAAGTTCGCCATTATGGACCTCACAATCGACAGCATATCCCTTCGAGGCCAAGGCTTCCTCTCCGATGCTCGCCGCATGTGTGTCCTGATGACCCGTGCTATTCTGGCACTCACCATTGTCTCGGGCATGGCCTCCGAGAWCGAGCCAGATTATCGTTACCAGTACATCAAGGATGAGCTTACGGCAGTGGCACAGACCATCCAGGCCATCCAGTACAAGTTCAAGGATAAGAAGAAGCGTACAACGTTCGACAAGCACGGTCACGTGGTTCATGAGAAGGCGCTTCCGTTCTTTATCGCCCACTATCGAAAGGAGCAATGTGTCGTGCAGCCAGAAGTCGACAAGGACCTCRATATGCTCGACGCTCCGCGGGACCTTTGGGATCGCGTTGAGATTGAAGCCCTCAAGCGCTTCCAGTCTGACAACAACGCTAAGTTCAAGATCGCGAAGCATGGCAACCCCAATACGCCAGATACTCGCGTTCACGCCGATGACCTCCACGGATCTCTCACTTTGACTGACGAGCAGAAGGCCGCGATCCATGTGCTCATCAAGGCAGTCATTGTGGATGAAATTGCCACGACCAAGGCTGCAGCCGATCTCAACGAGCACCATTAGATGCTTGCTCAACAGGCTGAATACGGGAATGAGAACGAGGGTGGTGAAGCTGAGGAGGAAGCCGAAGACGAGAATGAGAACGATGGTGATGAGGCTGAGGAAGCCGAAGACGAGAATGAGAACGACCCTGACGACTGGTCGTGATGGTGGTGTTGCTTTCAGGTTGGCAACTCACACGCTGCATAGCAGCGTAGAGGAACACGACTAGAATGTGCGAGTGCAAGAATGGAAACGGTGTCGAGAGAATAACATACCAGCTTCTGTGAATGTGATTTGTCTAACAAGCCGCAAAAGATCACCACAATGCACCGGAATGCCGAGTGGCTAGGCTCGTGCCAGGCAATGCTTGATAATGTCATTGATTAACCACGAATGACTTGCACTGTAGGARAATGGTCGAGCTGTCATGTAGGCTGTAGAATGAGCTCTTGACAGTGTGTGCAAGTGAGCACTCAAGGTTGCTTCCATTCCAATGTTGGGTTTGGCGGACGCTTTGAGCAATAACAAGGGGCGCGGGCGCGGGCGCGGCGATGATATGAAGTGCCTCTATATACGCACAAAGAGCGAAAGCTTGAAGGTTGATTTCCGGAGCCGAGACGGCATCAACACTGTCATTCTCGTTATTACCATTCATACCGGCCACTCTTCACACCGGCTTCAACAGTGGCTTTCGGTTCTCATTTGCACAGCTGTCGATGGACAKAACAGCTCCCTCAACTACGCTCTCTGTTGAACGACGGCCCACTGCGCTAGTAGTAAAGGTTCTGATAGCTCCAGAGTTGTCTAGTCTGCAGAGAGCAAGGCCTTAAGACGTCATAAAGACGACCGAGAATGTCTTGTCTCGATGAAGAATCCTCATATCGACAGCTTTGGGGATCATCATGCATTCCACCTCTGATGGAAATGACAAGGTTAGTACCTGCGCACCTTCCAACCGGAACTGCTCTCGAGATGCAGGTTCCCGTCAAACGAATGACGGATTCCTCYGGCGACAGCGGCAGCAGCCTGGACAACCCACATGAACACCCTGCACCCCTGATGCTACCCCCGTCATCAAGAAGAGAGGCTGGCTCGAAAATTGTAGCAAACGGATCTGCTGGAGAGGTGGATTCTCTGCCTTTGTTCGATTGCCGCAGTGTAGACGGCGTACGATGCTATCGCCTATAGAGCGCCACAAGCCATCGCTGTCATTTCATGACAGCATTCGAAGCGGCAATGTCCCTTTCAAATAGAGATCGTTGGTGGTATGCCCGTCCCCGACCTGGATAGGTTGGCTTAGGTGGTTCCCAAAGACGAAACACTCCAACCCGGCGGAAAAGATTGTCAAAGATATCGCCGCGACGACAGCCGCACGCCCTCGCTCATTCACTGGCTCTGGCATCGCTTCATGATCCCTGCTCTAGTATATCGGGCCGCGCCCAGCGACGATACGCTGCTTTCGCCTTCCCTGGCGAGACCTGACATAAGCGCTGGCATGAGGTTTCTGCCCTCATTATTTTGGAATTTGGAAGCGGTCCTGAGACACATTCGTCTCGTTGATATCGTCAGCAACGGCCAGAGCTTTTGACCTCGCTGGCCACTCCAGCATGTTGTGTGTCTCACACTTGCAGAGAGGATACTGGCTCGATGTTCTCGTCCATTTCTTCGTCCGTTCGTCACAACTTTACCAAAATTGCATTGCATTGTTTCCCTTGGTGCTGCGATATACGAATTTCAGCGACGTACTGATGAACTTCCCGCGATATTACTGCCAAAGTTGAATCCTTGCAACACCGTAAACMTGACTCTACAATCATTGTTGATGAGAATCTAGGATTGAGAAAATACACTAACATGGTGATGGTACCGATAGCAGCGACGGTCCCAATTCCATGGAGCCACCCACTCAGGGGCAAGGTCCCATAAGGCCTGCTCCCTCCAAGAGCATCTTACCAGTGCTTCAGCAGAACGACAGTGCTCCCGGTGAAAGCCTACTGCCAGAGATTGTAAGCGATGTGTGCGAAGTATGATGGTGCCCACACTATATCATGCAACGACAGACTTCCCTTGGCCAAGACTGACGCAGATCGTACAGACAAGCACAGATGTACCGACGCGTTTGCCAGACCCGGAATCGTTGTCTTTCATGAGAGATGATGACTGCTCGCGCACCAGTAAAGCGAATGTGAAGGCCATCCAGGAGATTTCAGGCCTAGACTGGTCGACCTTCATCCCAAAAGATCTGATGGGTCCGCTAGGAGCCCGGTACGGAACAATCAGGAGGAGGAGTAGTGTTCGTCGCAGCTCTATGCCCGAATCAGACCTCTTTTACAACCAGCTTCCTGCAATGCTCTTGACCATGCTCTACACACTGGTCCATGCGGCATTCACCTTTGGCTACGACGCAGATGATATCCAGGAGTTCATCGGAAGCGCCCACAAAGCCCGATCATCCAGGGATAACCTCCTCCGAGCGGAGACCATGGTAGAGGCCATATTCCTCCTCTTTCAACGAAATGCCGAAACCGAGAGCTATAATAAGGGGTATGCTGCAGGCAAAAAAGACGGAGAGATGCGTATCTTTAAGAAGTTGGAGGAACATACCAATCCGGATGAGCTGTCCCAATTTTTGGAAGTCTGCGCTCAGCCAGACATGTGCGAAGGAGAAGGAGAAGGAGAAGAAGAACAAGAACAAGGGGAAAAGAGCGTCAGCGAGGCTGGAAAGCAGCAGACTCCAGAGTCGGAGGACGACGGCAGACCATGGCCTATCACACCGCTAAGCGTGAGGCCTCCTACATGCCCACCTAAGTTCTCGCTGCCGCAATACAACTGGGGCATCCGGCGTCAGCGTAGTCAGGAGGATGTCGGCGACGAGTCTCCTTCGAGTAGGAAAGTTAGTCGTCGGGAGTAGGTGTGGCCACTGCGGCATCAGTTGGCCAAGCGAAGAGCATGGTGGAAGTATTGCGCTCGGCGCTACGCGGTCATGATAATGACTCCGCCTCGACATGAAGACTGATGGCTCTTCCGTTGCGGCTGACCGTCGAACGAGGAACGCTCATTAAGAATGCTGTGGATTGAGTGGTTGTAATGACGAGTTGGAAACCATGTATCCAGTCAAGCTTCCTTTTGTATCTTGTCAATTTGTGCGTCTTCAGCGCGCGCAGGAGAGATAATTTCCAGTCGCGACAATCTGTATCAGAGTGTACCGCACCGTAGACGATATCCCTTTTCGATACCCTTGAATGAAAGGCCTTGGATTTATGGCAATTGAGCTCCAATGTTCAAGCCAAAAAAATCTATAGGACTTCAGAATACCGGTGCACGTACAAGTCCATGCCATGCGCTTTCGGGGTTTCACGCCGTTGTCCCTTTTCCCATCTAGCAGACTTGTAATCTCAGTGCCATTTAAGTAGACCCACACCATGAGCGACAACAACTGCAGGTGGATGCCTCCTTCGAAGGCTTGAAGACTGGTATTCCGGGCCGAATGGCATGCGAGGCACATCCTGTACGTCAAACGAGAGGCCCTCAATCTCCAGCACTTCTGGATCACGGGCCGTGGTCTTCCACGTCATTCGAGTAGCCCATAGGCTGGGCTGACCACCTGGCCCGTTGAACAGGAACTGGTACGTTGCTCACAGTTCCGCATGAACCGCAACTTTGTGAATTCTCGAAACTGACACCGCATGTAGTCTTCACCGCCACTGTGGAGGTTTTCGAAGTTGACGCTCGCCCCTTCCTCCTCGTATGATTGAGCATCACAGTACTCCGGCAGCTCATCATATCCAGCCTCAAAGCAAGCATGCCGATCTTGGAATCGTGAAACGTTCCGCCAATGTGAGAGGCCGCCAGTGCGGAGGATGGTTCTCGCCACAAACTCGAATATGAATTTGCGGTAGGTCATGCTTGCCCTACGCTCGACCCTAGCCACCATGGTCTTCTCGTTGCGAAAATGCTCCTTGTCAAAGTTGAGGTCGACACCATCCCACTGATGGCGCACGGTCATGCTACCAAAGCGGAAGATGTAAAAGCGGGCGCAAGCTATCGGGTCTGGATCCATGTGGGCAGATGGGGTAGCTTGCTCCTTGAAGGATGTATCGCGGGCAGGGCGATACGGGAGTGGCTGCATTGATTTCCACTGCTTCCGCTCGATCTCTGTGTTGTGCTCGTRTCCGGTTCTGCATGCTGCATTGATGAACGACCTCTGGAGTCTGATCTTGAAATGCTCGTTGCGCTCCTTGTGCGCGTCGTGGATACCCTTGAGGAAGTCGTCCATGTTGTGGTTTTGGAGTGTGATGATGTCTGATCAAGTGCAGATGTTCAGGTCGAAGAGCAAGAGAAAGGTGAATTCTTCGAAGAGCAAGAGAAAGATTACTTGAAGCAAGAGAAAGGTGAATTCCTCGAAGCAAGAGAAAGGTGCATTCCTCGACTGGCAGTGCAGTGATTCGATTTGAATTCTAAGAAGGTGTTTCACTCCAACGGCCAATAAGTTGAAGATTGCCGGCTCTCCTTGGAGTGGATCGACAACAGCCCACACGAACGGGGAGCTGAAAGCATAACAAGGAGCAGCCTTGCGGAGAGACAGATACGGAGGATCGAATGTCTCGTCGAAGAATGTCTTTTTAATCGTGCTGTCGTTATTGCAGGAAATACAAGAATTTTGCCTACTACAGGTAACATTAGGGCGACGACCTTCAATTTCACAGGGCCTTACTCACCGTTCCTCTCAAGTCTTACTATCCACCCATAGCATCTTATAAATGGTCGGTACCACTCTTCCTCTTCACCACAAGCCCGCAACGTACACAGCAAATGACATCTTGAGTAGCGATGTGAAGACAACCGTCGCGCGACGCCAGATGATCGAGGAGAAGGACAAGCKAATTCAGAACTCAGCCATCGGACTCAGCGCTCAAGACGGTACGGCGATCGGCAAGCTTCTCATCAATGTTGATGTCGTTTGCACAAAACAGGCGCCAAGACCTCGATGTTCTAAGCGAGAGCTCGGACCYAGCTACGGATCCTACTGAACCCCAATCCTAGGGCACAGCCTTCAGCAAGCCACTTCCCCCGAACTATACCACCTCAAGCGATGAAGGAGCCTATAGACGTAGAGAGCTCGATACTAGCGCGGTCCCATAATAGGCAGGATCATGCTAACAACACCGGTGAGTGGTGGCGCTGCCATGAGCATTCAAATTGAGACAAACGCGTGATGGCGGTATAAGAAGCCGCGCTCCCGCAGCAAACAACAAAGCAGTTTGTTTTCTTTGTACAACACGAAAAGTTCATCTTCCTCGAACATTGAACGTCCTCTTCAAGCATCTTTAGATCGCAGACTCGTTGTCAGACATTCAAAAATGTTCACCTCCACACTCGCCCTCACCGCCAGCTTGGCCATTGGTGCCTTTGCCCAGAACATCACTTCAGCAATGAGCTCTGCCGCGGTTACTCGAAGCGCTACATTGTCCGGTACCGGCTCAGCTCAGACCACTATYGCCGCTATCGTTGGAGAGGCAGGTGAATTGTAAGAAACGTACCCCTAACCGCTGCTTCAGAATACGTACTGACAAAATGCTAGATTGGAAGGAAGCATCATCGCCGCAGACGCCTGCGCGACCACCATGGCACTATCTTGTGGAGCAGACAGCTATCTTTGTGACAGCATCTCTGACGTGGTGGTATGTGCTCCCATAGCCCGATGAATAAAGAACCAAACGCTAAACTTTCGCAGTTCACGGTCACTCAGGGACCCGAAATCTACGAGATGGCCTACGAGACCAGCACAGCCGGCGGAAGACTCACCGTCTCGCAGAGCTGCGATCTCGATGGTCCAGTTGGAAGCTTCACCCGCGCGGTTTGCGAGTACTCATTCCTGGTCTCCGTGGCGGGGACACAGACCAAAGAGTCGTCCACCACGACCATCTTTGGCACACAGTCCGACTTTCAATATGCTCAGCTTCCCATCACTGCTGGTGCCGAGAAGCTACCTTCCGTATCCGCTGCCTGCACTGCCACTGCCGCAGCGGCCACYGATACTTCTTCTGGCGGCGCTGCAGCTCCTACTGGAATCAGAAGCGAGATCTACAAGGTCATGGTGCCTGTTGGTGCCGTACTGGCTGCTGGTGCTATGCTGTAGAGGGCATGTTGGATGGAGTCAATGACGAAAATTGTAATGCTTGCTTCTTGGTGTTTCATGAGCGCGAGATACCACTTTGAATGAGATCGGATTAATGTCACTCTTGGCTGCGAGGCCCCCTCAAATCTCGATGTGTCTGAGTCATTGAATGCAAGGATACAATGCTCGACAATACGCCCAAGGGCGAGGCTCATACCGCCACGAGTGATGTGAAGTTTGCTCGAGGGGATCATTCCTTTGTCCTTGCTAGTTTGTTCAAGCACGTCGAATGCAGTGCCGGATGACTTCCAATTATCACGCCGTATGGGCCATTACCTGCAAGATCGATACGTTCCAGTTCCCAATACACACTGTAGAACTGGTCGCGCGCACCAACCAACTCCACAGACGTACTATACACAAGCATACTACAGACGTATACAGACAGTGCTCYGACGCTTCAGAGTCATCGAAATAATAGCCTCCGTGCCTCGAGAGCAGCGAGTATGGAGAGCGAATGCGGGTTGGGAATGCCAAGACATTTTCATTCACTTACCACCTACCCCTCGATCTTCATGTGACGCGTGCCGCGTGACGCTTTGTTATGACTAGTGCGAATCCTCGAGACGATCACACACTCCCGATCCCGAACTATAAAAGTCCGACATCTCAAGCCCCATCTCAACCTCAACCACGACATCTTCGACAACAAACATCAACGAGCACCATCGGCCTTCAACGCCAACACACTCGCAACACCGTCAGGATGCCTGGCTTCCCTTCTTCTGAGCAGTTCAGCCTGTCCTTCCGTCCGAAAGGAGCCAACCAGTTAAACGGCACAACACCACAGTCCAACACCTTCGCGCACAGCAACTCAGATGCGCGGCCTACATCCGAACAGCATGTAGATCACGAGCAGGTGTTCCAAGATGTATCCTGGCTTGCAGCTCGACCCAGTGATCAGAGGACTCTCACAGATGAGATGGACCTTAAGGAAGCGAGACGGCTGATCTGTGTTGAACTCGCGAACGCCGCTGCGCGCGGTTACACACGCAGGGGCGCCAGGATCTCAAAGTGTCGCCGGAAGGAAAAGCTCGGCCGCGGTAGCCGACCGCGCAACGAACGATCCGATGGAGACGGCCTCGACGATCTAAACCGTCTCCTCTCGACAGTAACCTACGATCCTCACCCGAACGAGGGATTCGACGGAGATGGCCTCGACGACCTGAATCGTCCGATCACAACGACCGAGCAATCCGTGGATGGAATCGCCGGTGAGATGGACATTGAGTGGGGTGGCATGCGCGATGCCATAGCGACAGAGAATGAATGGACCAATGCGTCCGATGCTGAGCGCGCAGCCCTCGAGAAGGCCATACGCGCAGCCCGGAGTCATGGTGACTGGTTCTCCCGATTCGACCCACAAGCAGTCGAACAGCTTGCGCAAATCCAACAAGACCTTCTCCAGAATGACGCAAAGTACAGTCCATCTTCTCAAGTACAGGCTACATTGGACCCATCCCAACAAGAGCAGGGCATGTCGGCGTTCGGAGGCAGCGATGAAATTGCTGGAGCCGGCAATGCGATGGAAATTGACTGAACATGGCAGTGTAAACGTAGCACTGCAGAGTCGGTTGACGTGGAGCGGTGTGTGTTGATGACCCGATGACTTGATGATTGATGACTGATGATGGATCTTTGGCGTTTGACCGTGGTTTTTGACGTTGGTCCTGTGAATGATGTTGCTGAAAGTGAGCATGATACTCAAGAGTCGTAGTGGTTGCTGTGATCGCGTGTGGTTGACATCGATAACGTTGAAGTCTCCTGACCCTGCTGGCGGTGGATGGCCGACAGAAGTCCCTGATGACCATAGCTCGCTAGAACCGTATCTCCATGCCTCACTTTGTCAATTCCGTATGCTCAATAATAGTTGTAGATGATCGGCTGACCAGCTCGACCTCCCGACGGCGTCTCTCGTAGCGACCCAGGCAGCTGAAAGGCGCGAGGATAATGACCAACACAACACTTGCGCCTAAATAACCAGCGATGGCAAAGCTGATATAGTACCAATTTCCAGCGGTTGTATATCCAATCGTATAGTAATCCGATATGAAAACTACTATCGCTGCGCTAATGGTTCCGGCCTGGGTCAACCAAATGAGCAGATTGAAGAGCTTCGAGCTGTATAGTAGAGATCTTAGTTGACGTCGTTTATTTGCCCCGCTTGCTCGAGGCACGTCAAAGGTTGTCAGGAATTGCAGTAGGGGGAGGCCTGGATGACAGTTTCGCGAGAAGTTGTGCTGAGTTTCTTCATTTGATGAGTAGACTCGTTCATCATCCTCTTTCACGAGCCAGATATGTTCGGTGAGAGCGCCGATAGGTTGTATTAATAGGATGAGAGGCACAAGTTGTCCAAAGGTCAACATCTTTTCGTTTTCTTTCAAATTGGAGTCGTAAGATTGGACTAGGGCCCGCGGGACCAGGATCTGAAGCATTCCATAGATCAAACCGAGGAGCGACAGCCACAGACTTGCCGAGAAAGAGTCCAATGCTTCAATGGCCGCAGTGACGGGCAAGTATACAGCGAGGCACATCCTGAAAACCCATAGATCTACACGGCGACCTTTTCGCTGGATTCTTGAAGCCAGAGTAGCGAATCCGTGCTTCGTTAAGCGATCCAAAGGATCCCATGTCCATGCTGCGAAAGCTGAGTTCGCGGAGGGGAATATGCCACACACCTTCCAGATGTAACTCACGCCGAGAATGAAGAACGAGATTACTGCATCTGGGCTCACGCCATCGCCCCGAGAGGATCCCCAAAAACACAACGCTGGAGCGCCGAAAGAGGTCTTCTCGGAAGGTTCCCATTCGCTGAGAGGCAGAGGTGTCAGGATACCCCATTCAACACTGAGCGTTGGAACGAGTGATATGAAGAGCATGACCAGCAATGTCAACATTCCCACGAGTCTCCAAGCCATCACAGCTCGATGATGCTGTAGATAGGTCCCCAAGATTGTCAAAGCACTGAGATGAACACTCGAGCTCATCCAGGCCAGATAAATGATGATCTGGAAGTGATATACAGAAACATGGCCTGTGCGAAGTCCTTGGAATCCAGCTCCGAGAATTGCTATACCGGTCACGATCTGCTGGTCACTCAAAGCCAGGATGAATTTGCGAAGTGCCAGGTGCATGGTAGGATGCTTCTCGGCTCTGGATGGCACTCGAAACACCAGTCGGTCCATGGGTCGGAGTAGGCCATCATCGACCAGGCCGGTAGCGTACGCGACTATGACGGATATGAGTGTGACTGCTCGATGCGTCAGCCTGTTGGCCCTTTAGAAAGTCCCGTAGCAGAAAGACGACGGTGCTTACCTCCTGCGCTGAAGGTGAAGGCGATGATGACTCCTGGAGTAGTGATGAGCACGACACGCTGTGTGCAATACCCGTGACGATGACAGCTCACCTATCCCGGCGATGTCCGCATCGGGTTTCGTTGTGACTCCATCGTATATCTGCTCCCAGCAGTTCAGCGGCTGCTTCATCGCACCGAAAGAATTGGGGTGCTGGGGAGTTGAGTTCATGAGCTCCTCGTCATGGTCGGATCATTTGTCGCTCCCTTCACACGAATAAGTGAGCATCTCGGCAGATGAATGTCAAGAARCGGAATACGAGGGCCTGGTCAAGAGAGACTACCATTTTCACCGGCTTCGGCTGACATGGAAGTCTAATCCTCAATGAGACTTAACCGATAGCCGTCATAACAATAGTGGTGATCATTGTGTGAGACACGTTCGTGGTTTGGTAGCGAATGGCATACCGGTCAGTGGGTCGAATGGAGGGAGAGTTTGATATGGAGATCAAGGCCGGGGGAAGGTTGTTAGTTACGTGTGTCGATGGTTGGGGGATGTTTGTGCACAGTCGAGCTTGCACAAAATGCTTAGTGAGCGGCGCTACTGCAACTTTAGATTATTGTACGCATCAACATCCTCATCGATCGCCTGTTCCCATTGTGCTCGGAGATGAACCCAAACAGAGCAGCGACCTGGATCGCCTTCCGCTCTATAGTCAAGCGAACGCTTACGACCTCAACGCCGAAACGATATAGCCCAATATACCGCCAACAGAGCCTACGACAGAATCTCACCTCGACGGCAGTTCACAGTCGCAAGATACCTAAGAACCACTTCACTAGCACCAGCCGATTACGACTTGAGAATAAACAACCAGAAAGCAGCGCGATCAAAGGCAATGATGACCTGGAGAGGGATCCTACGAGCAAGAAGCGTAAAGCTGCTGCCAAAAGACCAAACTCCCTGCGAAAGGTAGCAGTTGAAGCTCAGAGATCCCAGCAAGGTCTAGTACGCGGGACTGGCAAGGGAAGACATCTCTCTCCTGGAGCAGAGACCAAGGACGTCTCTGCTTTTTGCGCAGCTGAGATCTACGATCTTGGTATCGCGAGAATTGAGCTAGAGAAGCTGGGCTATACGGCGGATCCGTTCAAAACAGGCTTGTTCCCTCAAGTCTTGCATGTTCAGAAACCGAGAAACACTGGAGCGAAAGAGAGCGGAGATGTATTTGTCTTTCCGAGCGGGTGTGCAGTATTTTGGAATGTCCAGGAACGCGTGGCGAGAGAGATTGTGACCAAAGTGTTGCCTGCTGCATCTGGAAATACTTCACTAGTAGCGGAGAAACTGGAAGAGGAGGAGATGGAGTATGTCGAAGATCCAAACAAAGAGACGAGCAGGATTATAGGAGACACGATTATCCTCGGCACAAAAGCTGCGTCCGAGAACCCAGACTCGAACGCGAATGCCAGCGTGGAATCCACTGGAGAAAGGGCGGAGGTGGACACAATTCTTGCCAAAATCGCATTCTCATCTGCGCTCAGCCGATCCACCAAACTCGCTGTGCTTGAGAACAGCCTCTCTGCATACTTTGCATCTACGCAATCAATCCCGCTCACTTTGGCTTCTGGAAAACCACTTCGCTTTACTAGAGCGGAGATCCTACAGAAGACAGGCGAACTGCTCTTGATCCGCGCTCAGCTCAACCTCTACTCCGAACTGACGGACAGCTTGCCTGACCTCTTCTGGGACTCGCCCCACGAGCYTGGACTGGAGGGATACTACGAGATGGTTGGCAGAGCTTTGGATGTTGGCGTTCGGATCCGTGGACTGAATGAGAAAATGGACTACGCGGGCGAGATCGCTGCGGTGCTTAGAGAGAGACTCTCGGAGAAGCAAGGATGGATGTTGGAGTGGATGATCATTGGGCTTATTTGCATTGAAGTGGGGTTTGGGGTGGTGCATCTTTGGCGAGAGGGAGAGATGGTCGGTGAACTGGAAGATGAGAGGCGAACTAGAGAGCTGTTGGAAATTTGGTTAGAGAGAGAGCTAAAGACGGAGAAGTGATGCGACTGATCCACCATCACCGTCGCCATCTTCACGGAGGACGAGATATGGCAGTCATACTTCTGCAACCTCGATGTTCATCAGAAATGACGACGTCACGGGCGCAGTCGGAGTCGAGATTCGCAAGGTACTCAGCCAAGACGACGACTTGCTGACCAATCACGACTCACTGTTCGTGTCATCATTCGGTCAATCACAAAGTATTTCGGGTTGGAACCTTGGAAACGATGTGCATAGGCTCATACTATTTGTAGCCTTCCCAGCATCCCTCCGACCTACCAGACTGCAAGTCATCAATGTTACTGCAGCCTCAGCCACTGGCGAGGTTAGCATTGGTGAGAATGCAATGTCAAGCATGGCACTGGTATCTGCTGTCGTGGACTTTAGACAGATCCGTGCCTCTACCGTGGACCGATTCGGGACGCATCCAGCGGGCAGAGTCACCTGCCACGCCGAGAGACCTCGACAATGCTCATCCCATTTACTCACTTCCCAGCATTCCAACATGCTGGAAGTTACGCCCGCTGTTCTGATGCAGGTCTCATCCATTCGAAGCCGTCGGACATACAGTGCCTCGAACCTTGAGCGGTGATCCCGGCTCCAGTTGAATATGTCTTCTGCAGAACCGGAGTAGATCTCTGCGTCAGGACAGCAAAATGGGTGGCGTCAACTCAAAAGACTTGACAGAGAACTACCTGGTCGAGAGTCAAAATGGAAGTGGAGTACATGACTAGGTTGTGCATGACGTTCAGGAACAAATGTCATTGTACAAAAGTGCTCTCCACGGCACTTTCTCCTCGGTCGGCGTCTGCACCCTTCTTTACTGCCTCTCATTTCTCTGATCATGGTATCGCATTTCCCTCGCTCCCAGCTCCATCCCGCCAGGTTCAAGGCCCGGTGAAATTGAAGATTGCCGCCCTACCTTACCTACACACGGCACCAAGAGATCTTCTGCTCTTTGAAACAATAACTGCACGAAAAGGGAGACCAATTACCTAAGATAATTACCTCTCCGCAAGGCTGCTTCTTTTTGTGCTTACGGCTACCTGTTAGCGAGCATTGTCGTCGATTGACTACAAGGAGAGCCGGCAATCTTCAGTTTTACCGGCCCGTGGTTATGCATCAGGACAATCTGGAGCAAAGATTGTGCCCTCGTTGCTTAATCGTCAACATGAGGTAGATCGCGAATTACTCGCAGCAAATATCTGGAGAAGTCGCCGCTGAAATGGTCATGGCAGATTTGCTTGGCAACAAAATTCATTGGATGTTCACCGTCAGCAGTTGCCCTCGGTGGCTATCGCTGACCTCTGGACGAGCTTGATAAAGTGAGTAGCCTCATACAGCATTTCTGTCCTTGGACCTACGTTTGGTTGGGGACAAAATGTCATGGGCGACCTTGTTCGTCCAATTTGAGACATCAGCTCCATCCGCCATGCTCTATGGGCATCGTAATGGTCACTAATCGGGCCGCAATACGATCATAGGAAGAGGTAGGTACCGGCTGTTTGCTGCATCAATGACCACTGGGCTCGCATGGCTTGACGCCTACCCAGGTGAGCGGGCACGGGATAGCCCCACCTCCTCCATCTACCTACCACGAAACACTCTCGGACTTGTTTTTTCGTTCCAAGAATTGAGCGAACGAAAATTCGACCATTCCTTGTGTGTTGCTTATCCTTTCATGCCAGATTGGTCTTATCAATCCCAAGTATGGGACTTCTGGAAGCCCAATCGGGCACGATCTTTGAACACATCATGACCGTATCATTTTCGAACGGTTGAAAAGCAGCCCGTCATGGCATTCCACATACTTGAGCGAGATAATTTCCGCCGCTGGCACAATCCTGCTCATCCAGAGTCCTCACAAGAAAGCCACCAAGATGGTRCTCACCCGATTTATTGCGGCAGCCGTATTACTCCATGTTGGCGCAGGACTTGGAGCAGTCCCTGGAAGACACCGACCCGACTCTGCCCTCTCAGCCCAACATGCCACCCAGGCGCTCGTCGCGGAAGTCGCTAGCACTAGTGCTACGGCTACGACTACCGCGCCTGCCTTGGTTGAAACAGACCAGCCAACCCGCACGACTTCGCAAGACAAGCACTCGAGCAAGAAGAGCAAAAGAGGAATTCTCACTCCCAGACAGCAGATGCACGAAGTCGAATTTCTACGGAAGTACCATAACAACGACGATTATGCCAAATGGTCAAGCGAACCCGATCACGGCAGAGGACCGGCATGGACCAAAGTCTTTCGAATGACACTGTATCAACATCCTAGTACGTAAACTCGTCCACCTAACATTGGGCTTGTCCATGTTCCGAATCAAGGCTGTCGATATGGAGATTATTCGTCGAGACAGGATACCCCAGCTTCGATAGCATGTGCTAATACAATACGCAGACAAGACTCTTTTGGATCGTGGAATCGGCCTGGGAAAGGCGTGGTCAGCGGATGACAATGGCTTCATCAGCGATCGAAGCCATGATCTTATGAAATTGACCAACAGGGAGAAGCAGAAACTCGGCCTCTTGCCAAAGCTTAACAGGAGACTCCGTTCGTATACACCAGTATTGCGATTGGATGAACGAAGCTGATTCTTGGAAGCCCCTCGAATGAACCATGCAGAAGACCCCACGGTGACAGTGGAACCTCTCCCCGAGGAAACAGCAAAACCGATTGCACTGCCATGGTCCATGGTATTGGAAAAGGTCAAATCGAAGCAAAAGCCCAAGACTGCCACCACTTCCGCGCCCTCCTCGATTGTTACCGTTGACGGGGTCAAATTATCCGTTCTCTCGGGGGCACAATCCGCAACTCCGCCAAATCAAGATCGTTCGCTCGTCACCGTAGACGGAAAGACACTCGCCATTGTCACTACAGACGCGCCCAAAGCTTCGTCCACGACCTCGGCAAAAGCTACATCGGGTCACTCAGCGCGAGATGCATTACCCTTCATCGTAGCACAATCCTTATGGGTTGCGAACTCATCTCTCTCTGCAGTGTCGAAAAGAGGCGCGGTCTTACCACAGCTCGCCACGMTGGTGGAAGAGTTCTCAAGTAATGCCGTCGGAAAAGTCATCATCAAAGCAGTATCGTTGTCTGTCCGAGCCGGAGATTTCACCATCCAGGAATCCATACCTGTGGTCAAACTGTTTTCAGCGATGTTTCGTGGTGTTCCAATAGATGTAGGGGATGCAGCTGAGGTGTACGGTGATTGGCTGGTAGATCAGCTACCATTGTATCAGGAAGCAATGGAAGTAGAAGGAAAGACCATGATGGAGATATTGGAGGGAACGCTCGAGGAGATGGGTGACGAGGAGGTGGTAGCCGCCATCGCCGAAGCCGGAGAAGCCGCCGAAGCTGCCGCCGCCGAAGCCGCCGCCGCCGAAGCCGCCGCCGCCGCCGCCGCGAACGCAGCTCCTCTTGTCCCCATCGAAGGCTCTGCGTTCATCGTCGACGCAGTTGCAGAAGCGGCATTAGAGGCCGCAGGAGAAGGTATTGGAGCTACTATTGGTGGCGAGGCCATCGGAGAAGGGATTGCCATTGGTGTGGGCGAGGCAGCCGCTGAGGGACTGGGCCTTGCTGTGGGCGAAGCTGCTGCAGGAGCAGTTGTGGGCGAAATTGCCGCAGGAGCAGCTGTTGATGCTGCAGTTGCGGCGACAGAGGCGACAATCTTTGCAGGAGAAGCCGCCGCTCTCGCTCCGTTGCAAGTCGTTCCTGTTATAGGCCAAGTGCTTGCTGGTGTTGTTTTGTTCGCGACGGTATGTATTGCATCTCCTCCCGCAAGGGTCAGTCCTAATATCTGGCCGTAGGTTCTCACCGAACTCCTGATCCACCTCCTCCACCACAGTGAGTCTTGGCGATTTGATCATGTTAATCGGCGAACCGATCGAGCTAACTGAAACTTAGAGCCTCAGCACCCAGCTAATCCCGGCGGCAAACTCCATTTCGCTTGGTAAGAGATCGGAATGTCTAATGATTGTCTGCAGCAGCAGACTATGCTCAGCCATCGCTGACCAAATGCTCGCACTTTTAGGGACTGGAATGGCATCCCATACCAGTACGATGACCTGCACCCAAAACTAGAGCAAGGAGAACCTCCAGAAACCACTCCGCCCCCCACAGGCTGTGATACATTCGACATGGACGACCTTGAACGAAGGGGCTGGACAACTACACAGTGAGTTTCGAATCAGTGGGGACGGTCGTGAAGGGCTGTACCATGGCCCCCTTATAGGCAAATTCGTAGACTGAGCTGAACATGCTGACTGAAATTCGTCTAGGTATGCCTTGGCGCCTTGCAGCACATGGTTGGCGAAAGAATGTTCTCGAGAGTGGTACGAAGCATGGAGGCCAAATCTCGGGAGACATGATCGTCGGAACCCCGTCTACTGCTTTGAGACCGTTGATTTCAAGACCAAAGAAAAACACGCTGATGAATACACTAGCGCATATGAAGAATGGAAAAAAGTCGCTGATTCTGGTCAATCTTTTAGCCAATACGCTGGCCATGAGCTCGCTCAGCTGGAGCAGTGCCTGGGGCCTACTAACAATGACAAAGAGTCGATGGTCGATAAGAAGCGTTGCCGCAAGAAGTTTCTCCCCACGATGAAACATCACAACATCGAGAACGCGGATTGCGGTTCGAAGGAAGAATGCGCAAAGCAGACTGCGAAATGGATCTATCGAACGACAGGGTGGCCAAAGGGATGCAAGCATAATGAGGCCTCATGTTGGGAGTGATGAACACGGGAAGAGTTCCCCTGAGTTAAAGGAAACAACGGAGTGGAATGAAAGATGGAATGCGTGATGGGACGGGTCTAATGTTCAACCATGAGATTGACGAGGGATGACTAGCACATCGAAGCCTCAGGCTTCCGGAAAAGTTCATGGTTTGCGAGAATACTAAGACGAACGTAGACAAGGCAATAGAATACGTACACAATGATAATGACAACGACGCATATAACATCACTTCCTTGCGATGATGCCGTAGGAACATTTCTTGCTTCAGCTTGGCAGCCCTCGCATCGACGTGCAAGGGCCGGTGAAAGCTGCCTCTCCTTGTGATGGATCGACGACATCGCTCGCTAACGAGTAGCTATGAGCACAAAAAGAAGCAGCCTCGTGGAGGTCCAGACGTCTTATTCATACTGTTTGCAAAGAGCAGAAGATCTTTTAGTGCTGTAGGAGGTGAAAAGGGCACTTTAAATTCTACCGGGCCCTCCTGAGCTTCCTATCCAACAACATCTCGAAACCCACTTCACCGCTCGAAAACATCTCCCACACTTCCAACTTCTTCTCCTTCACATCCCATCCCATCCCATCAGACTTCAACACGAAACCCAATCTCACATCCCCGCGTCCCACAGTCTTCATCAACATACGTCAGTTCTCATGTCGGTGGGGAAAAAACCCGATATAGACACCACTACCACCCATCAAAAGTTCAAAACTGCGCCATCCCCAGGATCTTCCCCCTGGGGTTGTCTCGGATAAACCAAAAACAATGCCTGTCAGACAGAGCAGGGATGTTGATTAAACATGGGACCGATAAGGGTTCCGTCTTGTAATCTGCGCTGGGGTGATGTCAGATCTTTACGGAAACGTCACATGTCTGGATACATCTAAGTATCAATGTACCTCCTACCGTAATGTCTGTCTCTTGCTTCACCGCTTACATGTCCGTAATTGTGATGATCCGGGGAGATAGATGGGATGTGCGTGTTCCTCTCCCTTGGGACTGTGAGATTCGTTGATCATGCACGAAAATGTAGGCGGTCACGCGAAGAGCAGGTGGGAGATTCTTTTTTCAGGCCGTTAAGTTCCATAGCATTCGTGCCTCGCTGTCTTGTTCAGACGTTGTAGCTTCACTACATTCTATGCYCACCTAGCGCCTCAATAGCTCTGTAAATCCCAACGCCATCCCATCCCACCCTATCCCATCCCATTCCATCGTTCCCATCCCACTCGTGACAAAAGTGAGGTATCCGTAAGTTCATCCCATGCAGCCAGACTCCCGTATCAAATTATGCATCATCGCTCGTCGCATCAAATTTCTCCAAATTTCTCCAAATTTCTCCCTCACGCAACTGCAGCGATCGGAATGCTAGTGACCAAATCTGTTGTCGAAGTGCACGCTTTTTGAGGTTCCGGTATTCGCTCGCTGACTTGTCCAACAGCCCTGGTCACTCTGTCCTTCGAATGCGAATCTCCATTCGGCAACTCCCACATTCTCTCAAACGCCGGGGCATCTGATTCTTCATGACAGGAACAGCTCCTGACATTTTCATACATTGACGCTACCAGGTCGCTCTCCTTGCCCTTGACAGCTCGCTCCAGGCAATCATGATCTGGAGATCCCGCAGAATAATCAATCAAGAAGTCTTCATCGTAATCATCGTCTGAGGAATCGTCCGAGTCGAGTTCTGGCGGTTGAGGTCTTGATGCGCCTGAAGGGAAGCGGGATAGTGATAGGTCATCACCTGCGTCTTCGTCGTCGATGAGCTCTTCGTATTCGTCGAGTTCGGATTCCAAGTAGGTTTCTTGCAAGTGTGAAGGTTCCTGTATTGTTTGGCCGGCAGAAGGTTTGTGTTGGAATGTGTGATCAATGTTTGCCGATTTCCTGCGGCGGTCCTCGTGGATGTCGTGTTCAATTTTGACGATCCGGAGTCTCAACGACTCATAATGCATCAGGTGGCCAACGACAAATCGAAGGTTGCGATCTGGTCGGCTGGCTTCGATATTTAGTCGACATTGAGCTGTGTGTGCCAGATGGTAGGCCTCCTTGAGAGACATTCTTCGAAATGGTGGTGTTGTGTAAAGGAAGAAAAGGTTGATTCTCTTTGCAAGATAAAACAATCAGCCTGTCACTCGATTCAACCGGCGCYGATGATATCGCCGAGCCTAGTAATAGTACACCGCTCGGGTTTTGCAGGTAATTCGCCAAGGAACGCGTGATGAGATTGCCGAATGAGGCGAGTCAGAGATCAGAGTTTTACGGCGTTGCAAGCTAGGTCTGTTTCRGGATGTTGCAGGCTTGCTGTCAGCTTTGCGCATGTGAAGCGTGTTTGGATGTGTGCGTGGTTGTTATCGGGTCATCATCGAAGAAAAGATGCAGACCATGCCGGGGTCGATCGATCATAAGAAGGTGAGATGATTGCTCATTACAAGAGATGCTTACGGACCATCTTGCGTGATACTCCGTACCTCAACTTGGCACACATCTGCTGCTTACAGTATCAAAGTGGGGATGATCCCGCTTTGTCCTCGATTCACCGCGATGGAGAGGCCGTGAAAGAAGTTTTTTTCCTTCGATGCTCCCGGCGATGCGAGCGGCGTAATTTTGGCTGGAATGCTGGACTTTTCGCCGCTTGCACACACCACCGCTGCCTTCGCTTCCGGAAGTTGGAAGACACGGACATGGATGTGCTCTTCCAGTGGTGAATCGATGATAGCTTTTGGGCGACGCGGCGCGGAACGATGGTCTGCACGATCCGATGGAAGGCAGGCGCTCAGCTTCCAAGGCGGGCACTCCCGAACTACCTTACCCGACCTTCAACCGGCGGGGTTAACGAGGCAAGCAGCCCCCGACGGGGACCTTCACATGACAGGACCGCCGCTGGAGTCCAAGGGTGGACAGAGCGTGAGGCAAGGTAGCACCAAGATAGCAATTCCTCGATGTTCGCCGCCTTACATCGTCATATCGCTGCCCAAAGTGACCAGCCAGGCCTTCTACCAAGTTTGTTGCAATTTCCCTCGCCCTGTAAGGTAGCCCATCTATTGCCCAGCTACAAGCAGAGCAAGCAGAGCAAGCAAAGCAAATAGAAGGAACGACTGCTCACTGGTCCTCGACTGCTGGGAGCGCGGATTCATTCCTGGAACGCTCCTCATGGCCAACTCCACCGCCCCWCAGCAAACGCAATCCCTCCCACTCCGCACAGCGTCATCGTCATCTGTAAGCTCGTCGCGTGCGGGTTCCATTTCGAAATCATCGACTGGCAAGCCGCAATCGATAAGCACATCTACATCAAACGTACAATTGCACACCCCTCGCTGGGACGCGTCGACGGCCAACGCATCTCCATCGCCATCGGTGTCCAAACGCTCTTCTTTCGCCGACAACTTGAATCTCCGCCACCCAGCTTCGCCGCGAGCACATCGAACTCTGTCGTTCTCCGGCTCGGCGCTGACGGAATTGCTCATGAGTCCCACGAATAAGCCCAACGGGGCCGATGAAAGATTCAAGGGAAAAGACTGGCGCAAGATCCAACTACATGAGATTGTAGACTCCAGCGAGGTTCGCTTCGTGGAGCTGGACACAAGCATTGAAGACACCACCAAGCTCTTGATCCGATCGGGGTCTCCCAATGTGGTTCTCGTGAGGGAGTCAACCAGGACGCAGACAGTGATACAGACCTTTGATTACTCAGATCTCAATGCGTATCTTCTGCTCGTCTTGGGACTATCGCAACCAGATGAGCTTGCCGCAAAATTAGCTGATCGGGCACGGAGCGGCGATGTTATTCCTCTGCGCGATGTGACTGATCATCTTGGTGCGAGGGAGGAGCCGGCGTTTTTGCCACACACAGCGACATTATCGCAGGCGATGGAGGTGCTCGGAGGTGGACACCACCGGGTCGTCGTTTGCAAGGAGGGCACAAGCGAGGCTGTTGGCGTGCTGAGCCAGCTGCGGCTGGTACGGTTCTTCTGGGACAACCATACAAACTTTTCTGCTACCGAGAGGCTATACTCGCTAATGTTGAAGGAGCTGGAAATAGGAGCCAAGGAGGTGATCGCCATCAATGGAGACAAGCCTTTGGCGGACGCTCTGAGGCTCATGCACGCAGAGGGCATAACATCCCTACCTGTGTTGGATGCCCAAGGACACGTCGTCGGCAACATATCTCACGTCGATGTTCGGGTGAGTTTCATATCATGCATCAAAAACTTTCCGCTAATTCTCTCCAGCTGTTGACGGACACATCTGCGATTCCTCTCCTGGGATCTAGCTGTTTGCACTTCATCTCCGTCATTCTCTCCGAGCGCGGTATGCTCGATGGCAAAGATTCTTACCCGGGTATCTCTCTACGAATCTCCGCTCCCTGATTTGGCTAACAACTTTTAGTCTTCCATGTCACGCCCTTCTCGACGCTTGCCCACACCGTTGCAAAGCTCTGCGCCACACGCTCTCACCGCATGTGGATCGTAGACGCACCTTCACCCGGCTCGAGTGTCCCGCCTTCTCCTGGCCTGCACCACGTCTCGCCACCATTCAGCCCATCCAACAGCGCCACCTTCCAACATCAGACCCCTATCACAACCCCGAACCGACATGGTAGTACAGACAACGGGCTAGCTTCTATCCGTCATGCTCCCAATGAGGGTAGCAATGCCAGTGTGGCAGTTCCAGCAGGCACGCTGCCCGGTACAGGCATGAGTGGAAGWTTGTCGGGCGTCGTGTCTCTCACCGACATCCTCAACCTCTTTGCTCGTGCAAGTGGTCTGTCTCCTGGCGATCCGGAGGAAACTCGTCGCCGTCGTAGGCAGTCCAGTAGCTCGAGCGTRCGTCCAAGTATGGAAAGCATGCGGCCTAGTATTGAGGCGCTTAGGCAGAGCGTGGAACTCGGCCGGGCTGAAATGGGAAGGAGTGCTAGCAGCAGCCGTGACCGTGGCAATTCTAGTGCTAGTGCAAGTGGCCGGTGATGGTCCCGTGCGCCTGGTGCGTGGGACGTGATGACCATCCCGTGCGGCTTGGAAGCTGACTGAGGATGAAGAGGATGACCGACGAGGTAGAGTATAGCCTTTCAGCAATTGTTGCATTTTTGTAGGTACATGACAGTCGTGGGGTAGGAGCTGGTCACAGCAGACACGTTTGACTGTTTCGAATGTAAGGTAGCGCTGGCGCTGGTGGTGTAAATTGTTTGCTGCTTCGAGTGAATGGTCCACGGGTCCTTCCTCACCTCACCTCATTTATAAGAAACTTGTCGCGACTTCTCTCTGTGTCCTCAACAACAACAAACTTCTCATCATGGAGGACGGTCGGGAACACAATTCGCACGGCAGGGTTGACCTGACCCTTCTCAGCAAAGGCGGCACCGAGCACTACGTCCACCAGGTTGTAGTCTGCCCTCAATCGCCAGTTCTCTTCGACACATGTGCGGCGCTCAGAGTAAGTGCGAGCTATGTGAATAAGAGATGAACGAGGAAGCTGACTGTTTGACAGAAGGCAGACTGGGAGCCGACTACACTTGTCGCCAAAATCATCAACGCCATAACATTCTGGAACAACAAGGCACAGCACCACTCGATCACCATCGAGGGCGAGGATGTCGCGGTGGCGGCCATGGTGCACTTCTTCTACCACGGCAATTACTATCCGGACAAGTACGGCAAGGACGCGGCCGTGACGATGAAATTCGACAAGGATCTCGAGTTTCACACGAGTGTCTTGAAGGTGGCGGAGGCATACAAGGTCAAGGTGTTGGTGGATTTGGCTCAGAAGTCGATGAAGAAGGCAGGCGGCGGCGAGGAACCCCATCAAGGCGAGCACGCGGATTCCCAGGGACCTGCCGAAGGTGCTCAGGACCGTGTCGACAAGGCTCGTGGAATTCGGGTGATTTGAGGCTGTCTTTGAAGGTCTTCCTGTCGAAGGACATGAATGAGTCAACATGGCGTGTCACATACGACCGCGCTGTGGGTTCACTGGTATGATTGCGTGCGCTACGAAAGGGCGAGCGAAGGCACTCGGGAATCATCTCTCATAGCCAGATGTACCAGTCACAAAATGATTCATCAGCAACTCATGTTAGCTGGAACCAAATTTCAATTCGACGTGGCATGATGTCGAGTTGTATGAAAACGATGCGAACACAGATGTGCAGAGCGTACAAGAATGAACGAACGACTTGTAGCATTTTGATCATCACAGCATCCCTTCGCATCGGAAGTTTTCCTTGTTACACAGAGGCCTGTATTCGCCACAGTCTCGCGTAAGGCTCAGCTTGCTGCCAATGCACGGCCATCTCTACTTTACACTGGAGAGAACTCCGTGATCGTGGAAGATCCCCGATGCAAAGAGTTCTAACCGCTCAACATCAAGATCTGATGGTCGTTAAGAAGTTTTTGTGACTCATCTTGATAGGCGGCGCAGGCGTGGAGATGCTGATGGCAGACGAGGTGTGGATCCCCACATGCCTATAGAGAATGCCTATTGGCATGAAAAGAGTTTCAAAAAGCGAGCTACCTTCCAAATATTATAATTACTGCATCAATCCCTGCGTAAAGGTCACACGACGAGAACAAAATCCTGCATTCTTTCGATAGTGCGAGATAGCCYGCAGGAGAAGCAGCCAATTGATCTGGTTATTTCCATGTAATTCGCTCTTGTAATAGCTATATCATTGGTTATAGATAGAGCTTAGCTGTATCTTGCATGACTGCTAGCCTGGATGAAGACTAGACTAAAACTTAGAGTTTGAGGAGGGCATATAATAATTAGTCGTTTATTGTCCCTTGCTTCCTAATTATCTCTTCCGCATATAAAAAGCAGTAAGTCGTTCGGTTCAACTTGTTTCTACTTCCTCATCTTCTTCGCAACCTTTTAAATCCCGCTTAAATTAAAATAAAGTACTACGAGAGTAGTAAGAATTCTTCTAAGGATGCCTGTACTAGATCAGGTTCGTTATACCACCAAGCTTCATTTACATTTATACTAGCGTCATGGCCTATCATCCTCCATACTCGCCGTCCACTACGGAGTCTGACCGCTCTTACATGTACTGACCAACAAATAGCACAGAGACAATCCTGCGTTTGTTCAAAGTCTCACACGCAAACGCAGCAAACGTCGTATCATAGCTCCTGGCAATTCTATACAAAAGCCCKCTGCTGAAGTTGCTCGCAAGCCATCCTTAGACTTAACTCCCAAGGCTATAACTGCGCCTGATGCTGGTGTCTCCGAGGTCACAACTTCTTTAGCAACCCTGTTCTCTCAAAGCAGCCTTACTCCTTTGCAGGCTGCTGAAGATCTTGCCAGTCAACAAAGAGCTCCTGCTGCGGACATGACAACGGCTCTGTCTCAGCAGCGGCGACTAGATGTAGCTGAAGTAGAACCGCGGCCTAAGTCGCCGGATACGGTACATTCCACGAATATCCAACAAAGAGGACCATTCTATGATGATGTTAGCTCTGGTGATGAATCTACCGATGATGACACTCTAGGGAGGCAGTCGTCTAGGACCGTCGAATCCTCTGCTACCCAATCTGGAAGCATTGGTGCGGCTCCTGGAGGCGTGTCACAAGATACTGGAATGGTTGATGAGGACGTGGAACAAAGCTTGTTTATCCGGGCCAATTCCAGCCGAGCGTCGCAGCAGCCACAAGAAATCCAAGCGCCGACACCAGCGGAGACGCCAGCAGGGCTGACGCAATGGTATGCGGACGATGTTGAGAGAGTGAATGCAAGGCGTGACGAACAGGTTTGTACCCTTTTTGACGAAGCGACCTGGCAAGCAGATGAGCTGACGTTTGCTTATTGTAGGACCCCGACTTCTGTCCCGATCCAGAAGTCACCTCACAACCCGAGGTGGTCAGCAGTGCTCAAAAGGTAGTCGATCGACCAGGGAGGATGCAACAACAGCCCTCACCTCCTCCTAGGAAACGTCATTCGAGCGAGATCAGACGAGAGACGCCTAAGAAGCCCAAGGGAGGACAAATCGATGAGGACGGCAAGCACCCAACGACGATCAAAGGCAAGCGTTTCGTGCTCCTGAAGGAGGATACTCGAAAGCAACGCTGCGACTTGATCAATCACTGCGAAAGTAAATGGAGAAAGTCCATGGCCGAAGTCATCGGTAGGTCTTTGTGGCCAAGATCCCGCGATAAGAATCAAACTCCCCTCGAGCCCAGGGACTGGCCGACTACTTTGCTAGAACAGATGTCCCAGCTTGCGGATTTCACCGCTAGAAGACCAGACATCGCGGCTCTTGCTATCCAGCAGGCTATCAATGAGCGACGTTCCTGGTACGATACCCAGCCTTGGCTCTTGTTTGTGGATGATGCGAAGGCTGCGGTGCAGTTGGCCATGTCTGGTACAGTGGTGATTCCGGTGGAAAAGGACACGAGAGTAGATTCGCCGCTTTTGGAGGTCGTCCGTATCCCACAGGAGTCTGAGCCAACGACTGGTGATCCTGATACTGCGATGTCGTTGGAACAGGACACCTCCGAAGACGAATTGGGCAACGCCAGCTGCCAAGATGATTTGTACGGCTGCACGCCACGACCGCAGCCACGTCCTACGGAGATACTTTCACCTATCCAGCCGTCGACCGCGACGGCTTTTGCCGACATTGTCGATCTGACCATGGATGACGCCAGCGATCAGGATGTGAAGAGGCCTGCGGCCTGGTACAATGGCCAGCCAGCTTCCAACCGAGGTAGTGGCCGCCCAATAAGTCTCGAAATGATCATGAACATTCAAGCTCCCGAGGACTTGTCCAGCTTCACTTTTGCCGACATGTTGAAGATCTACGCGGCGGCAAGAGAGTGGCACATCAAAGCCAATCAAGAGTTATCGTCCGAGGGCCGGAAGCTTGATGATTTCGCGAATCAGTCTCTGGGTTATGTTTTTAGGATTTTTGATCATACTGACGACGTTCAAGGCTGGATTCGAGAGGAGAGGGTTCGAAGAGGAAGCGGTAGCTGAAATTACGAAAGAGAGAGGACATGCAATTGGAAGAGGTGGTCGTCGGCTGCTGAGAAGAGCAACTTAGGAGGAAGAGTACAAGAATGGAACACAATAAAAGCATGGTCATAAGGATAAACATCATAAGGGTAAATTGACATTCCAATCTCAAACAGTACATCTTGTTTTTCAATGCTCATACCTTCACGTTTCCCTTCGCTGCCATCGGCATGAAAGGGGTCTTCAACATGTCGGGGGTATATCTCGCGATCGGAACAGCAATAGCATCAATCGCTGCGTAGGGGTCGGTCCGCAGACCGCTTTTTCGAGTGGCTTCTGCGCTGCGGCCTCGGGAGAGAGGTGGCATGTGACCGTTTTCTTGCTCAGGTGTCGCTCGGTTCGCATATGAAGAGATGATAGATTCCGACAAGGATCTCAGAGTCTCTGCTCGATTCAGATTGGCGACCGGCGGTGCTAACGCAAGGTTCGGGCTTGGATCCCTAGACGCAGATGGCGGGTTGGGTAATTTCTTGTCAAGCTCAAGAGGTGTATTGTTGTTGGAGGGCAGGCTCGCTATTGTTCGGCGTTGTTGTTGCGGTGTCGACAAGCAATTCGCTGGTGACCTCGTGGGCGTTCTAGATTGGTACAGAGAGATGCCTAAGCCAGACGTGGCTCGAGGTCTTCTCTGCGGCGTCGCAGACTTCTCTTTGAGCGGGTGTGTCTCCATACTGTCCGGTGTACCGGGACGATTGGGCCGGTTAGACTGCAAGGTCTTGATGTTGGCGTTCGCGGCCTTGAGGTCACGCCTGTATCCTCGAACATCCAATTTATACAGTATGATCTCCGAAACACAGTGCCTGAGTTCTTTCTCGAGGAACTCGCACCTCTTCTCTGGGTTCTCGCTTCCCGGCTTGGATTTCAGCTTCTCGGCTATAGTAGCTGATGCTTCTTCTTCTRCCTGGGGTGTCCCAGCATGGATGTTCAAAGTAGCCATCTTAGACTGTCGTCGAAGCTCAGCGTGTAGCAGCGTATTGTACTGAACGCGAACGGCCTCTGTGTCAGCTAGTTGCTTCTTTATCCTGCACATTTCGACTTTTGAAACGTTGGTCCTGCGTTCCAACTCGAGCTCCCGGATACAAGCATCTCTCTCGGRGAGGAGTTGCTGCAAGTCCTCTACCTGCCGAGCAAGTGTTTCCAGATCGGCAGATGCGTCACCGATTGTCTCGGCCGCACCATGGGCTGGAGTAACATGGTCAGGCGAATTTGCAGGCTTTGAGTGTCTTACTACCTCGCCCAATTTCTTGATCATGACCAAGTTTCTGTCATGGAGGCCGCGTATCTGCTCGCAAGCCTCATGATAGCCCTCCAGCACATCGATTCGCTGGACATTCGCTGCCAGTAAGGCAGCCTCCAGACTCTGTACTTTGTTCATCATCGCCTTTTCAGCATCTTTGCTCTTCCGTACAATGTCCTTGAGCTGTGCAATTCGACGTTCGCTTTTCTCATTCGTGTCCCTGAAATGATCGCGCTCACGTCGAATGTCGCCAATCTCTGATTGCGTCTTACGGCACAAGCTGAGCTTTCGTTTCAAGGCTTCAGCTTCTGCGTTTGCGGATTCGATTGACGTTCTCCTTTGTACGTCCAACGTCGATTCGAGAGACTGCAGCGATGTTGAAGCGCTTACATCCAGAGATCCGTAAGCTTTGCCATTGATGTGGGAAGTGTCCAAGGTCAGGCCTTGCTTGGATGGTCTCCGCTCTGCAGAGAGATTCACTGAGCAGCTTTCCAAGAAAGCAATGTACGCTCTGTGTGAGTCGACTTCACGATCATGTGATTCCTTCAAAGAGGAGACATGGGCCTCGTGCGATCTGCGCACTGTGGAGATTTGGTGCAGTAGGGCGTTTGAATCGGATCGTAGAAGGGACTGGCCTTGCCATGTCTTGCTGATCGGCTGCACGGATGGGCGAATTTCGGTGCTCTCTCTACCATCAAGAGCAGTGGCACAAGCGTCGGGAAACTTAGACTCCTCATAATAAGGCCCGTGACCGATGTCTGATGTAGCGCAAGATTCTGTGCTCTCCGGCGCTAATGAAGATGGTCCACAAGTTGTGTMTCGTTCGCTTGCAGAAGTACTACTATGTCTCGCGTGCTGAGCCTGGGCCACCACTGCGCGTACATCTATTGCATTACGGGTGGCAACGAGTGTTGGCTGTCGATTGCCATTATGGAAGGTGTATGAGGAATTCTGTGGGCTACTGTGTGAGCGCTCCATCGAGCGACCCGTGGATCCGTGCCTCGATGATGCCGTAATGTCCATGGATGAGCGAGCACCATAAAAAGGCTTTGGCCACACGGGAAGAGATCCTTCCAATTCAACTGGCTCTATACCAGGCGCCTCAGACAAAGGCGTTGGAGGTGCTGTATGGGAGCGCGGTCTGCCTCGTACGGGTTGAGCCTCGCCAGATTGCTGCGAGAGAAAGTGTGCGTTGAGGTGTGGACTCTTGAGAACGTCGTTCATGACAGCCATAAGGGTCGTTGCAGATCTGATAGCGGCATCATGAAGGGCGAAAGAGTTCGTATTGCTATGCTCTGGCTTTTCGAATTCGAGCGGAATCGGCTTCCGCTTCATTTTACTTGATCGCTATCGCGGTCGTCAGCAGGAACGCATCGTATCAGGGGAAGGGCTCTACCTTATCGCTCCGTCCGTAGTCCACTCCTTTGATAGAGATGTATTCGATTGGGATCGGGACTGTTCCAGACGACGCATATTTCCTGTCCACCTTGCTCGAATACGATTGTCCTTTGGACCATGTAAGGAACTTTGTAGACATGCTCAGCCGAACACCAATGGAACACGGTGTCTTACATGCCAGAATGCGCAAGATCGATAAGGTGAATGAAATGTTAACAAAGTCCTCGCGGACGGGAACTAGGATGATGAAGACGCTCCATGGTCTTGGGACTGAGATATCAAGGATTCGGTCGGGTATTGCCGACTATGCATAAGCGCTGGTATGTCCACCCTTCATCTTACTCTGCCAGCTCATGCGCGGCGGCATGCTAACAGGACCACCTGACTGGCGGTGCAGAACTCTTGACGTGACAGAGCGTTCCCTCACGATCGCTTGCGGCTACACTAGCATAAACGGGCGGATCATATCCACATGGCCAGCTTAGAATAGGCATGATGAAACGTGGAGATGCGGCAGTCGAGACGTGGCTGCAGAGAACATACGGGACCAATGGTGGTGAGAATTAGGCGCTGAGCCAGGAGGATCTCGTTTTGTCATATGTGTGTTTTCAAAAGCCCTGGTAAATTCCTATCGGACCCCGTCGAGACGTGACGAGTGTGCCAGAGGAGCTGTCCGCCGGCGTGGACAAATGAGGGATGGCGAAGCACTTGATTTGCGATGTTGTTGTAGGAAATAAGGCAGAGGACAGGAGCTTCAACAGGAAATGGTGACCAGGATCAAAGTTTTACCGGCGCGGGCAATTTCTTCTCGCTTCCAATAACAACAACCACCCTTATTCAAAACCATCCCGAAATCATCTACACCTTTACCAGGCAGAACATCAAGAACTCGATCCATGGTATTGGCTTCAGACCCATCCAAGCATCTGCAATCGGAAAATATGGACTCGAAACCACCCAGGCGAGAAAATCACAGCGATGGCTCCGACGTGGACTCTCGCCGGCCAGAATCATCGAGGAGACGGCGAGACACATCTCGGTCTCGAGATCGTCAGGAACGCAGGCCACGTTCAAATTCCAGAGACGGCTATGCTGATCAGCGACGAAACCGGAAATCCCACGCGGCCGGTTCTGATGAAGAACCATCACATCGTCGAACAACACATCGAAGGGATCGACGAGATCGGTCGGCAGATAGATCCGCCGACGAGGACAGGCGTAGACGAAAACACAGAGACCGCTCCCAACCGCGAGACCATGGAGAGCTTTCACGCCGGCACCGGTCGAGATCTCCGCCTGCTAAAAAGCGAAGAGAAAGGTCGCGTAGTAGATCAAAATCACCAGCAAAGGCGCCAGTACAGAGATCTCGTGCAGCCTTACCGTCGCAAAATGACTCCTTCAGAGGTGAGGTCGCTCCGGGAGAGGCACCGCCGCCTGAGAAGCAGAAGCCCAATTTCAAACCCACCGGTCTTCTTGCAAAGGAAGCAAATACCGTTGCAGGGACTACGACTGTGTTGAAATATCACGAGCCGCCCGAAGGACGCAAGCCATCTTCCAGGGACCAGTGGCGGATGTACATTTTCAAGAAGAAGGATCTGCTTGATACGATATATCTGCACCAGCGGAGCGTATGGTTGATGGGCCGCGATCCCAAAATTACCGATCTTCTGCTCGAGCATCCGAGCATTTCAAAACAGCATGCGGTAATTCAGTTTCGGCACATGACATCCACCAATGAGTATGGTGATAGGACTAGCAAGGTGAAGCCATACCTCATTGATCTAGAGAGCACGAAGGGAACCACACTGAATGGGAAGAAAATTGAGGCAAGCCGATATGTTGAGCTAGTAGATCAGGATGTTCTCGGGTTCGGGGACAGCGAGAGAGAGTATGTCATGATGTTGCCAGTGGCAGACAAGTAGACAAGAGAACATTGATGATGCAAGTATTTTGATCTCCTTCACACTTTAATGTGCTTGTGTTGGCATTAGTTATCCTTCTGAGCGATTTACAACATGTTCACGCTACGTTGGCCACGCAGACGTTGTGCCTGAAAATCCACGATGACGATCTCTTTTTTTGACTGGCAGTTGACTTGAGCGATTTCCCCGAGACGTTTGTTTCGCATCATCAATCCCCGTCTGAAATCAAATCCCCCATTTTCATCATCTCCAATGCAATGACAATAAGCAAGTGGACGAGCAGCTGCTCGTAYGCTGTCTCGAGAATCCACACCTACCGACTTGCCGGCACCCCGTTGCTCGCTTTGCGGAGAGCTGGCTTCGCCCAGCACATCCGACAGCAGTCCTCCAACCACGGCAGAACACCCCAACAGGAAGAAGATCTCAAACGGCCGGAAAAGGCAGCATTGGTGGAAATTGGAGGCTTGCGCAAGATTGATCCAGTCAATCCGCCGAAAAGTACCCTACCACCGCCGCTGAACCTCCCAACCAAGGGGAGTGAGAACATTGCGCTGTATTATTTTCGAACTGGAAGAGCATACGGCAGTTTCTACTGGGTGGGAATTAAGGCTGTTTGGAATAATCGTCGGGCATCCAAAGCGCTCCAAGAGCGGGTCACGAAAGATGCAGGCGCAGCTAGCTTCRAGAGCGTGTCTACGGAGAGGAAGCTTGCACTGCTGAACAGATCAGAGTTTCAGTTGCTGGCGCGCAACAGCTATGATATTGGAAAACTGCCTCTATTCGGATTGCTGGTCTGTTTGTTTGGCGAATGGCTGCCGTTATTGGTGCCGTTCATCCCAGGCGCAGTACCTGGGACATGTCGCATTCCCAAACAGATACGGGGAATGAGAGCCAAAGCAGAGGATCGCAGGCGTGTGAGCTTCCGACGAGGAATCAGTGAGCCTTCCAAGAAAGAAATGCCGGATCCTCAGGAAGACACACCGACTGGACTGGCTCGTGCAGAATGGCCTCTGACWCAACGGAACTACGCGGTATGGATGTTGAAAAAGTTTCGTGACGACCAGCTCTACCATCTGTCCTCGTCACTCAATCTTCACAACCGCATGTGGGATCGTGTACAACTCCCTCCGCCCTCTTTCCTGCTTCGCCGGGCCGTCTCGAAGCACCTTGCGTACCTCACAAGCGATGACAAACTCCTTCTTCGTGATGGAGGGGTGCAGAAGCTGGATGTCGACGAATTGAAGATTGCCTGTGAGGAGCGTGGAATAGATGTACTCGGAAAGCGCGAGGAGACCTTGAGCAATGAACTATCCTGGTGGCTGAAGAGGCAGAAAGAGGATGCAGGCAAAGGATTCGCCATGTTCATCATGCTGTTCAGACGGTTAGCAATGCGTGACTGGGTACAGTTGAATCTGAAAGCTAATCAACCATTACAGACCCAACGCGTGGAAGACCAAACTCCCAGCTGATAGATAATCGCGGACTGTACAGAACTTGCTACACATGTAACTATAGCAGTCTCAACTTATTGCATTCGAAACAACACACGGCTCCTACCGTTGAGGAGTCACGTCAAGGTTGGACGATTTTCAGCCAACGGACTTTTCTGACGGGACATRTTTGTGCTAACGGGATGTTGGGATGTAAGACGAGAATCCGGATATTTGCTGCCCGCCACGATGTGAATGGCAGACGTGCCACGTGCAACGGGCGACGACGTTGGAACTGCGGGACGTTGCAACGGTGAGAGATGTTGGGTATGGTTGTAAGTTGTGGATACGGCCACGACCTCCTACCGAGCTCGTGGATCCACAAGGTCGACACGGTGCATACAGCCTACATGTCTACTCGTTTGAGTCATCCACGGTGGATCAGCACCTCCAGTGGAGCTGTATAGTACCCTGATGACCATCAGTCAACTCCCGAGAGGCTGACTCGCGCATATTTTCTGCGATCATAGATCCCAGCGTACGCAAGTCATCGCCAGACTCATCGGTATCTTCCACAGAGATCTATCGCGATTCGTTTTCGCGAACCGTCCGCATGCCCAGCCTCCGTCGTGGAGGTCGCGCCGATGCGACTGTTCCTTTGCAGCCATTTTACACCTGGGACCACCATATTTGCTTTATCGTCCCTTGCAGTATGCATAATAAGCTAATGCATCTTCAACCAAATTCTGCACACAGCGAAGAGGTCGCTCGGAGAAATGACTGGCTCGAGACGCAAGCTACCGCATGCTGTTTTAGACCTGCAGGCCGCGAGTGGACGGGACTCGGAAAGGGATCCGAAACGGAGAGCTCGGCAGGACTTTTTCGGTATCTCCGTCGTCGTGGGTCGGTGGTAAGCTAGAGATGCTTAGATATGGTGCCCCCTCTAAGAATCCCAGACGACCACTTGCAATCAAAGATGGCTGCATGCACGTTTGTGCAGTGTGCCTGCCAATGGCAGGATGTATGTGTTCCAGAGGACATGTCTTCTCGCTCCTCACTTAAACATCGTCGGTGGCGCTCTGCTGCCGATCGATAGCTCAAGTTTTACTTTGTGCCTCGATATTAGTTTCTGCGCTGGAAGTCGTCTAGAAACCCCTGAACACTGTGTCGACGATACGCGTGCCTCGTCTACCCTTCGTGCATGACTTGCCATTGAATTGTTTGGGCGAGCGCGAGAGGAGATGTGTTGTTAACCTTTGCAACGCCTCTCCTGCAGACTTCTTCCTGCTCGTCTGTGCCGTGTGTCCCTGACACGAGCATTAGCCTGGAGGCCAGCAAACGATCAAACGATGGACTCTCCACTCCGACACTCTCTCGGCACTACTAATGCACCTCCACTAAACGATAGCCCGCGGATAATCCCCAGCGCGCGCTCGTCCTCGCGAGGCTTTCAGAATAATGCAGGTGCAAGCAACAGCCCGCCCTCGAACGGCATGACTGGACAACGAACTCGCGCGGGAGCTGCATCGGCAGCTGGACCAGGGACTGGAACAGACAGCCCTCCGCGCACACCACCGCCACGACACGCTCGCGGCGCAAAAGGCAAACAGAGGCGTGTCGAACAAGTGACTGAGGAGGACGAGTCCGACAATCCACGCCATTCGCATGGCCTGAGCTGGAACTCAAACACACGCGACTCTGTCGTCGACAATCTTCTCTTCTCCCTGGACAACATTGCACGAGGGGAAAGCGAGGGGGATGCGCAGGACGACGACCGCCACCGCTTCCTCAATTCACTGACGACGAGCGCCTTCACCATGTCTGGAACGGGGCGTCCGCGCGGGCATACGCACTCTTCATCGGCTTCGGACTACACAGCATCACCAGGGAGCGATTTTTCAGCGACTCCCAAGGGACGACGCAGTAACAGCAGCACGAACTTCTCCCTTCATACGGCACGAAGAGCGAATGGAAACGGAAGAGTCAATGGCATCCCCGAGGCACAGAGCGAGTCCTACAACCCTCCAGACATTCGCCGGGAGGACAAGAGCAGCATACAGCAAGCCTTTGGCTCTGCGCTTGAGGGCAGCAGAGCTGCTTGGAATGGGAAATCTGCGAGCATGGACAGCCTGCACCTGAACGCGGATGGCACGTCAGTGTTGACACGCGGCCGTCCGGTCCCCTCTGTGCACAGCACGTACGATGCAGTCCTCGACGCCGATGCGGCACCCGAGCCGATAGTCGCAGCAGGTCCTCGCAAAATGGAGAACCCAAACGGAACTGGGCCGGTCTACGTCAACCAACCGTCAAAGTCCCAACCACTGTCCAAATCCGGTACCATTCGGAAAGTTACAACGCAGACGGATCTGCGATCGGCTAACAGCACGCAAAGTTCCCTGATACCGCAGGACATCAGGAACCAGGCGGCGGATTTTGTTCGGACCAGCAGCATGCGTGGTTCCGCGAACGATCATCCCGTTTCCGTGCAAACCTACGCTGCGCCAAGCCCAGACGTGACCCGGAGACGAGAGCCGTCTCCTGCTCGTGATAAGCCTGGCTTCTTCAAACGAGTTTTTGGCGGCGCCTCTTCTCGCGCTGTGTCGAGCCCAGTAGAGCGGCCCATGTCCAAACAAGTCGTGCAACATCCTGGTGACATGCCTGATGCAACGATCCGTTCCACATCGCAAGCCTCYGCGGGCACCCAGGTCAAGAACGAGACGAAGCAAACAGCACCTGCTATGGCCTCGCATCCTCCACCTAGCTTGAACAAGAAGCCCTCCTCCTTCTTCCGACGAAGAAAGAAGTCGGCGTCGGACTCCATTGCACCGCCACCGCTACCGCTCCCTCCGAAAGCCAATGTCAGTGTCAACTTGGTTCCCAGTAACAAAATCGCGGAACCCAGCCCGTCGATTAGCAGTCTGCGAAAAGTAATGGATCCGTTCCTAACACAGGAGTCTCAGTTGACCCCTACAACAACACAGCAAGAAGAAGTGACCCGACAGACAAGCAGTACAAATACTGAGAATTCCGAAGACCTGAATCTTTTCCACTCCGGATACACCCCACCAGCAGATTCATCGCTCAACCTGCGTCATCCACTTTCCCGTGAACAATCCATGGCGCAGATATCGGACCCCGAAGTCAGCCCAGTACCAAAGATGAAACTCAAAAAGCGGAGGCCAAACTCTGCTGAAACATCAAAAGCCCAATCAGGCGACGTCAATGGTTACATCCAAGATCCCAGCAGTCAAACTTCGGTCGGGACCCTTCAAGACCAAGCCAACGCTCGCGTCAAAGTCTCCCCCATTTCCACCATCTTCCCCGCAGACGCGAGACATGCCGATTTTGGTAGTCGCCCCAGTACTGGTGATCGAATAATCGCATCCCTCGAGAGCAGTCCAGTTGGTGACGCGGGACAGGATATGAGAGATTTCAGCGCCGGGACCAATGTTAGCTTGGAATTAAACGACGAGCCATGGGGTGTGGTATCGCAAGCCGCGCCTGTTCCGCGACCGGTTTCGAAGAAGTCCGAACGCCTGTTACTTCGACCGACGACATCAGAGGAGTGCATACAGAAGAGCGTCGATGCGAAGATCTCGCCGTGGCAGAGCGCCGCGACCACTCCGATCATCTCCAGCGATTCAATCGATCCTCCAGCTGCCGACCCCGCTGCTAATGGTCTGACGCTTCCCGTCGTGCAGGTCGATGGTGGGAACATCTTATCAAGAGAGACGAGCAATTCTTCCATGGTGAAGATTCCCACAATGTTGGTCGATGATGGAGCCGAATACAGAGCGCGCGCTCGCAAGATCTTTGAGGGAGATGAAGAGGATGTTGTCAAGGCAGAGGCCGCCGCCTGGATGGGCGAGAGAAACCTGCTGAGCGCCAGGACATTGGAAGCGTACATGCAACTCTTCGACTTCTCTGGGATGAACATTCTCACTTCGCTGAGAATGCTCTGCAATAAGTTGGTGTTGAGGGGTGAGACACAACAGTTTGATCGGATCATCACGGCGCTGTCGTCACGATGGTGCGAGTGCAATCCCAACCATGGCTTCAAGGCGCAAGATGTGATTCACTGCATTTGCTACTCGCTGATCCTCCTCAACACCGACCTGCATCTGGCTGATATCGGAGAGAAGATGTCACGCAGCGCATATGTCAAAAACACACTGCCAACGATCAAGCGCGTCGTCAGCGATGCTGCGCCAAACGCCTTTGATGATACCTTGCGCCCGCACACAACGCAGAATATACGGCCTCCAATGCCGTGGAGTGATTCGAACTCGCCCATGCCTTCGCCTTCACCTATACCATCGCCAATGTCGCCGATGTCTGACATATCGTCGGAGCGCCCAGATTCGTTTGGCATCGAGCCGAGCACACTGGCCGCGGTCAATACCAACGTCAAACGACTGTCAATCAGACCAGGCGTCTTGCGGAATGATTCCGATGCGCCAGACTCTGCGACTTTCAACGCATCCAACATGCTCGTGAACAACCCTTGGATGGGCACCATGCGAGCTTGGGAAGCGGAAGTTGAGACTGTGTTGAAGCACTTCTTCACATCTATCAAAGCCGATCCTCTTCCTCTGCATGGCGCTATCGTAACAGATCTTCCGCTGGGAACCAACCGCAACTTGTCGGTCGTGGATCTGGCCGGTAGTGTGAGGCGGTCGGGATCCATCATCAGCAAGGCTCCTTCGGATACCATGTCGTACCGCTCCAAAGGTGGAATGCGATCCATGACCATGGGATGGCAAGCTCGAAATAATCGACCTCGACCAAAGATCTACCCCGCCAGCACGATTGGGTCGTCGAGAACGAGCTTCGATGATGCGAGTGGTTTCTGGTCACCTGCGCAGAGCAGCAAGTATTCATTTAACAAAACGCTTACTTCTGCTTCGGTTGCTAGTCTTGGGTACGCGGATCCTTTCAAGCACTCGATTGGATTTGCCAACGCTCTTTCCGAAGCCATCATCCGGGAGGAGAACACAAGTACTGGAGATATGGAAAACATTTCCATTCCAGGCGGACTCTTGGAGGATGAAAGTCTAGCACTGGAAGGTGCGCCGTGGGCGAAAGAAGGCTTGGTCAAGCACAAGCATCACCTGGAAACTCCATCTCGAAAAGCCAAGGAAAGAAGCTGGAACGACTGCTTTGCCGTCGTCAGCAAAGGCAAGCTTACCCTCTTTGCCTTTAACACTTCCACCAAATCACAATCATCGGCGAGGAAGCCTTTCTACAAGAGCGGCAAGGCTGCCAGCGTCACTGGTGCCCGAGTCGGCGGTGGTGATTGGATGGAGAATGCCGAGCAATTGGACGTGTTTGTCCTCCGACAGACTATCGCCTCAACACTGCCACCGCCTGGATATAGCAAGACTAGACCACATGTATGGGCGTTGAGTCTACCTTCTGGAGCTGTCCATCTGTTTCAAGTCGGTACTCCGGACATCGCCGAGGAGTTCATCACTGCTGCCAACTACTGGTCTGCTCGTCTGAGCAAAGAGCCACTGTCGGGTGGTGTCTCCAACGTTGAATATGGCTGGTCCGAAAAGATCATCAATCCCGCTTTGCTGGAGCGCGCAGAAACTCCAAGCTCCCCGCCAATCTCAACGCAGAACCGCCCGATGGGCCACACACCTAGTTTGTCCACTGAGCGTGCTAGAGGGAGCCTACAATCTTCCATCAGAGGTAGCTTTGACACTGGGTTTGGGAGTATGAAGTCCAAACTCCCCGGTGACAAGGCTCACATTCTTGAATGGCAGCCTCCTAGTCAGTCGATGATGGCTAGTCAGTTGTTGGAGGTTGATCAGTTGAGGCAGCTTACTGCCTATGTTGCGGAGAGTGAAGCCGAGTTGCAGACTCATCAGGAGTTGAAGCATGCTATTGAACTTGCTGTAAGTCACACTCTTCTTGGGAGTGCGCGACTTTTGGAGACAATTACTAACGTGGTTTCGATGACAGTTTTCCCCGCGCCACCCGAACCRTGTTAAAGCCATGGCCAACTGGCAGCGCAAATCTGATTATTTGCTCCGCGAGACTATAAAGTTCAGGACGTATATAGATAGTTTGACAGCCGCGAATGCGGCCAAGGAGGCGCTTTATGCGAGGAAGAGTGAGGGGAGACCGCTCTCGCCTGTTGTTAAGGACGACGACGAGGGCAACTTGATCGCAAAAGTGCTACCACGGGTTATTTACACCTCTGGATAGTGTGCGGTGGTTTGATGACTAGATTTGGAGGAGATGGCTTGAATGAAAGAGATGACAATGTCCTGTATGATTGGCTTTGGGTTCTGATGTTTGGGTAGCCGCGCGAAGAGCGTTGAAGGCTTTTGAATGGCAAGAAACTGGGTGATATGAGAGATGATTGATCGTGTATACCCGAGCGGCGGCGATCATTTCCAGGGAATATGGTTTTGTAATATACATACAGAGATGGTGACGAACACAGATGGTTGGCGTTTGGATCTTTACTCGCCTCGAGGTCTTGGATCAAGTACCTTACCATGTGATGAGTTTCCACCTGACTTGCTCCCACGTGAGCTGCTCAGCAGGCAAGATAGGTGATTCGTCAACGTGTCCTGATTTGTGAGGTTTGTGCAAGTAGGTTTGTCTTGTCTCGTACTCCAGTTTCCTGTCCGTCCCGTTCTTGATCAGCCCCGCAATTCCATCGAAGCTGCCGCCGCCGCTGTAACCTCACGTCCCTCAATAACATCAACATCAACATTCGGCAATAACCAACATCACCCTTCCGGAAGACATTTCACTGAACCACATCAAACAAGCGAGCGAGGGAGAAAGAACCGACGCTCCGAGAAAGGAAAGAAGAACATCATCTACCAAAAAGGAGCGCGCGACGGAGCGACATGATTCTCGGCTCCTACAGAAATCCACCTTATAAATCCCACCGGTCACCTAGGCAAGATTCTGCTTCTGTTAGTCCGCCTCCAGCTCCAGGCCAGGAATATTCTTCTCCAAACTCATCACCGAAGCGGAAAAGGATTGAGGAACTTCCTGGAAGTGGATTGAGAGTTGAAACGGGCTTTGGGAGTGGTGGTCCGGATGCTCTGTTGAGACATGGCGGTGAGAATAGTCCGAGGACCAAAGTCGCTGCCAAATTGGAGGATTTGGAAATTCATCAGCAGGGAGTATCTTCGCAGTCACCGAGGAAGAGGGTGAAGCGGGATGCTGTGGGGAGAAGTGAGGTGGTGACGCCTTTGCAGCGGCGAGAACCGGAGAGGGAGATTCCGGAGAGTGGGAACGCGAATGGGATGTTGGAGATTGGAGAGACTCCGCAGGTTGATGGAGAGGAAATGGGCGTATCGTCAGCACCATCGATCTTGGCTTCTTCGTCACCACCTGCTTCGCCTACGGACCTTCAAGCGTTGAGGAAGTCTTTTGGGATGACAGATACTGGACGAACATCCTCTTCTTTGTTGCATCATAAAAGAATGCCTTCTCCTCCTCCACCAACTCCTCGGGCACCATCGTCATTGGCAACAACAATCTCCCTGAAAGAATCCTCAACTTTCGCGCCCTCACTTCCACACGTCAATCTCTCCAGTTTGACATGGCAGGACAATGAGATTACAGGCCACGAACTCGATCCGACGAGTCCGGATGATGATGGGGAAGGGATCAATGGGGTGGGATTCCGACCTACGGCTGCGATGGCTTGGGCCAGGAGTCAAAAGCGGAGGATGCAAGTCGAAGGATGGAAGAATCGGGAGGCGAGAGAGGCAAGGGATCGGAGGAGAGAGAGGAGAAGGGGTACGGAGGGGGGGTCTTCAGGTGGAGAGAGGGAGGAAATGCGTGGGAGGCGAGTGAGATTTGAGGGAGAGGGTTAGTCAGGATTGGGGCATAGGACAAGGGTTGTGATGGCAGATTACAGAATGCTGTGGCGTGGGCGGAAGTCGATGTGATTTATTTATACGTCCGGTCTGTTTTGAAGATGAAGATGAGTTATGATTGGTATGGCTTTGAGACGGCTTTATTATGAAATATGAATTCTATTGACTTGCTGCAACGACTTCGAGATGAGAGTTTATTTCCGGATCAAATTGCACTGAACAACGCGACTGGGATTTAAGCCACAGGTATGGGCAAGACTTGAACGAATAGCATCTCTTTGCGTCGCAGGATTTTGAAATCCATGAAGTCTCCTCGAGCACCCTGGCGCTCATACGTTGGACGCGAAATCGATTCCTGCAAAATATGCACGAAAGTGGACTTTGAGATACCTTGTGGAGAATGACTTCCAAGACCATTGGATGTACTATTTGCCATTCTGAACTTTTCACTTGGTCTTGTAGCATCAGCGTGTACAATTTCATTCCAACAGACTTAAGTGATCAAATCATGACATTGCTCCTCAACAAGAGACCGTGGCTCGGAGTGAGTATCTCGAAATTCAGCGAAGTGAAGACCGGCTTACGTCCTATTCCATTAACCCCGAGGTAAGTGTTCAATCACACTGGATAAGTATATTCCTACATCTTCGTCCCACTTCCCAATTCTGCAGTAGGATCAACCAGCACGCGATCTCCAATCGCCGATAATTCCAATTCCCAGCTTTCAGGTTTAAAAGGCCATTCGAACCAAGCTCGGACCAATTCCTCAAACATCCGCTCGCTCACCATTCTCATCACGACATTTTTGGGATCCAATCTTCCTCCTCTCCGGGGGTCCGTCAGACATGGGACTTTGGGGATCAAGTCCTGCGCGGCGTTTGGAGCGGCTCGGTCCAGTGCGACGGGTAAAGGACTTGCTTTTAATTGGTAGAGGATTTTGGATAATTCGTGGGCGAGTTTCAAGCCTTCTTGTCGCTGAGCAATGTCCTCGACGTCGAGATCTGCGTCTGTGGGGATGCAGTCGTACAAAGCCAAGGGTGCATTGGGCCAGAATTCTGAGCTCGAGGCGAGAAGAGGCTCATATGTCCTTCTATCGTACATCAAGTTCTGCGGGGAGGAGAAGTGGATCTGTTGGTCTTCTACTAGGGTTATGCACATGTCATGAACTGGTTTCATGAGTTTCCGAGTGATTTCATCGTCGAGTTTGTGGAGTCTGGACTGCAGTTCGGTGATGGAGAGTCCCTTCTCGCGGAGCACAACGACGTGTGTTTCGAGATTTATCATCCGGAGCATGGTGTCGAGGTAAATCGCTTTCCGCTGAGTGAGAGATGTGAGGTGATCGGCTTGGCGTTGGGAGAGTGTTGGGGCGTGTGCGATGGCGGCGGAGAGGCATTGTGGATACTCAATTTCCTCTATAAGACTGTCCACCACGGGTTGGTCCCAATTGGCTTTGGATGCGGCGCGAATTCGATCGAGATGTGCATCAAAATCCGAGATGGCGTTGCCGACGTCTTCAACTGTGTGGTGTTGGATGATGAATGGATTCTTGGGTCTTACTTCTCCTTCTGCATCCTCACCAAACGTCTCTTGTTGGGCGTTCAATGACTGCCTGCCTTCGGGAAGGAACATGCCCGCAGTGTGCATGCGCAGCGTCACTTGGTGCTTATTTTCAGCATCAATCTGTGCATTCCTCGCTCGGGAATTTKACATGGCGGATTTCGTTCCGCTTGCCGGTGGTCTTGTGGATGAAGTGTCGACACCGACGACCTGTGTGATGTCTGCTGCGAGCGCATTCATCACAGACGTGCTCGACCTACCCGTCAGAACTTGCGGAGAAATGGAGACTCTGTTCTTGAAGGTATCAGGTAGCCACCACAGCATTCTGATCACTCMGTTGCGATGGAGACCAGTATTGTCCAGGGCGGCGAGCATTTCCTTCATGAACAACAAGTGCGGTTGCTTTTTGGGATATAATCGGGAGAGGTTTCCCGTCACGAGAATGCGGCCATCGACGAGTCGAAGTCGGACATCATCGTATCGTCGTGAGCTGGGACTCAAGCTGGGAATCTTTCGAGAACGAAACTCGGCCCGGGCATCCTCCAGTGCTTGGGCGTAGGGATGGGTATACGTCCAACCATTTGGCGCGAGAAAGGGCAGGGGGGAGTGGAAATACTTGGAGTTGGCTTTCTCGACCAAGGGTTTGATGAAGTCTTGCGTGTAGAGGTCATCGGGCTCCATCAAAATGTGACATTTCGGACGGAGATATTCGTGAAGTTTCGTGGACCAGAGACATGCTCCAGGATGGATGTCGAGAATGGTGCATCCTTGGTAGGCTTTCAAGGTCGGCGATAGATAGGCGATCAAATCATCGCACAACTTTTCCGATACAATTTCCGTCCGAGAATACTGCCTGAGCTTGGGGTCTTTGTCGATATCGATGGGGTGGATGCGGCCTCTGCTGGGTCGAGTGCCTGTCGCGCCGACAAGAACGCGTCGGAGAGTCCGGATGAGGCGTGGCTCGGCAAGTGCTTTCGCTGCACTCACTGACAACATCAACTACAACCCGAAGGACAGAAATCAAGGGATTTCTTGTGGGAATGAATGCATGTAAGGTAGGTGATATAGGTATCTTCTGGTGGAGTCTTCGTACCTAAGGTAGTGGCGGCCTTCACCGCGCACCTCCACTGTTCTCGGAGTTTCACGACTTCTGCCGCTTCGGCCCGCGCATCCGGATCCCGCTGATTCTCGTCTGCTGAACCCAGAGTATAACAACGACAGGCATCAGGTAATAACATCCAACAAACACCAACAAACTTGAGACTTCCACATGACCGACCCGCCTCCTTGCAGTCGATCGAGTGGTTGTTGACAACCCCACATCCCACAACACCTTCGTTTCCAAGGAAAACAACCCCAACATGGCCCTCTCCCGCCATCACGCCGCCTTCTCCAAGCCGCTGAGCGTGGAGGATATCGTATCAGAGGCTCAAAACTTTGAATTCAACACTCGACGCTCTCTCCAGCAATGGCTTCGCTCCGCAAGAATGCTGCTGACAGAAGCGGCCATTTGCGAGCAAGAAGCAAACTTGGCCCAGGCATATCTCTATCTTTACCGTCACGCCGAGCTGGTTTTGGGGAAACTGCCCCAGCATCCCGACTACAAGGATCCCAAATTCAAACCAGAGTTGTCTCAAGCGATGAAGTCGTTGCAGAGAAATCTCGTCAAATTGGAGCAATGGAAACCAAGAATCAACCAGGAGCATCAGCGTTATGTCAAAGCTGTGGAGAGGAGGAATGCGGAGAGGCAGAGGGTGCAGGAGGAATTCAATGAAGCGGGAAGGCAGAGGTACTCTTATGATGCCTCGCGGAGAGGTTCCCTGGCTTCGCAAGGCAGTGCCAGTCCCACTCGAGCACTTGATGTTTCGGAGCATCGCGAGTTTGCTGTTAACCTGGCTCAWCAGGAGATCCGCCGAAGGGATGCATCCAGAAGATCGACCCACGAGGCAGGAATATCACCTGCCACCGTGGCTCAACGACGCCAGGGTTTTGTCAATGACGAGGATTATTTTGGTCAGATCGACGAAGCCAATCGTTACTTCCAACAGCGGGAGCAAGAATCTCGATATCGGGATCAACCTCCTTCACGTCCGCAATCTTCGACAACGACACATCAGTACCACTACCCTTCAGTACCGCGGAGGGAGAGTCGGAATGATTGGGAAGCACGTCCATCCTCCCATCAATCCACACGCCCGCCCTCCCACCGTTCATCACACCCGCCCGCCATTCCCGCAAAGGAAGCACTCAACCACTCTCAAGATATCCCGCCACCAATTCCAGCTCGGCCTCATCAACAAGGACATCATCAGGGACACGAACCGCAAACTCCTCCCACCCCTGCCGCACCACCCAAATACACATTCGCCCCAACAACCACGACCGAATCCGGAAGCCCTTTGCGAACCGTTCTCCTTCCCCCCACCCTGCGAAATTCTTTCCTAGACCTCGCCCACTCCAACACACTCCGCAATCTCGAAACGTGCGGAACCCTCGCAGCGACCTCCATCTCCGGCGCCCTCTTCATCACCCACCTCATCATCCCCGATCAAACGTCCACTTCCGACACCTGCGACACCACYGCCTCCGGGGACGCCGCTCTCTTCGATTTCTGCGATACAAACGAGCTGTTGGTCTGCGGATGGATCCACACCCACCCCTCCCAAACCTGCTTTCTCAGCTCGAGAGATTTACACACCCATTCCGGGTATCAAGTCATGCTTCCCGAAGCAATCGCGATTGTTTGCGCACCGAGAAGTAATCCCGACTATGGGATTTTTCGATTAACGGAGCCGCCCGGATTGGATGCGATTTTGAATTGCAAGAAATCGGGCATCTTTCATCCGCATGATCAGGATCATTTGTACACGGATGCTGRAGGTGGGAGGATGGGAGGCGTGGGGCATGTGGTTGAGGGGCCGGGGTTGGGGTTGAAGGTGGTGGATTTGAGGAAGTAAAGGAGAGGGCTTAACGTCTTGTTTGAGTTGACTTGACTTGACTGGTGAGGTCGGCTCTTGTGGTGATGTGATTACATGGGCTACCTATGTATGTATGTGTGTATGTACGAGATGAATGTGATGACGATCAATGAGGAACAGCATTTCTCTTCTTCGGTGCAGAGGAGGGATGCGATGCTGCCACTTAAAGTAGAATTATCTTGAAAAGACGCTGACGGTTCGCTTCCTTACTTCACTAATGTGTTGAAATCCTACTCTCCAACGAAGTAGGAGGAATAAAGATTGATTTCTGAGGGAATAAGACTAGATTTCCAAGGGAGTGAGGCTAGAGCTAGAGCTGGGAGACAAGACCACACGCGGACGATTTGTGCTTCATCGTGGGAGGTTTCAAGAAAGTGGACCATGATTCCAAAGGAGGGCAGTGTTTCGTATTGGCGAGCTAGATATTCGGCTCGAAGAATAGAGACACACCGGTCTCGCAAAACATTCTTACCTTTCCTCCGAGAGTTAGGGAATGGAATAGTAGGTATGGAGGTAGATAGCTATCAGTATAGCTACGGTTCAATCATTGGTATCATTCATCATCACGCCCTTCTTTCTCCCTCTGCGTCTTCATCTCGCTTGACGCCACCCTTTCCCTCTCCAAATCAACCTATCCATGGAACAAGCCCGTCCATTCCAAAAAAGCACCACTCTACTTCTCTCCGCCCCTACTAGCCGGAGCACCCTCCACAATATGAGACGTCATGCGATCCTGACTCGTAATCTCCATGCCCTCCTTCCTATCCCCCCTTCCCAACTCCGCCCTCGGCGTCCTCACGGGAGTTCCCCCTCCATACGTACTCAACCTCGCCGGAGTCCTCGCTCCCTCCCCAAACGCCACGAGACTCGGTGTTCCTTCTTCACTCATGCCTCCCATGGAAGCGTCGTCTTCGAAATTGAAATCTCCTCCTTGAGTGGATTGTTCCGACATTTTGTCCAGGTCGTCGYTGGTGAGATCTGTTCGACCTCCTACAGATCCTGTCGCAGAAGCGGAACCTACAGTCGAGCGTTCGCGGTGGATGGCGGGGTTGCCGGTCGAGTCAAAGTAGGATTGTACGGGTGTGGTTTGTGGCTGTTGCATTTGCTGCTGTTGGTATTGTTGGTGATTGGGATGATTGGGGTTGAAGGGGGATTGCGTCGGGTTGTTCCTCGCCGTCGTGACGCGTTCCAGGCCCGCCAGGCGAGAAATGCGATCCGCGCGCTCGGCGTCCGAGTGCGAGGAGGGGTTGTTGTGATGGTGGGGGTTGTGACCCCGGTGGCCGTCCTTGATTGCTACCGTGCTGAGCTCGGACATGGAGGTTGCTGTACTGTTGGGGGTGCCGGATCGAGAACTAAACGAACTTGTCATCAGAGGAAGCGTGGAGCATGCGACCATGGAGATGTACTCACGGGATATCAGAGGGGGTGATGGGGTCCTGGGGTGGTGGGAGATTGATGAGCGTGGGGTTCGACATGTCGGCGGTGGTCTCGAGTGTTGTTGAGGAGGTGAATTGTGGTTGTTGGCGCGCGTCGGAGTGGTGGTTGTTGGTGTGGTGGTGAATCTTGTGAGGTGCTGTGTTGTCGTTGTTGGACTAGGCTTTACTTGTCGGCTTGCTCCCGTGGATTGTGATTGTTGATTGTCGTCGGCTCAAGAAGAAGGAGAAGGGCAGGAAAATGTTGGAGGTTTCCTCGATTGTCTTCTTCTTCCCGTCTTCTTTGTTCAACAACTTGGAACGTGGGGATGAAACCGGAACCTGACCCTGACCCTGAAAACTGATCGGCATACGCTTCGGCAGACCAAGGTGGACGTTTGAAGCCTAACCTAAAGATCATGGGAAGACGCTGGTTTTACAACATGAATCATATCTGGGACGTATGAGGGTATTTGTAGAGCGGCACGCAAGACGGCGTGTGAGATATAAAACGACGTGCACCAACACATGAGATCATAAATGGAGGAACCCATGCAATCAATCTGGGAGTAATCCTCATCATTCCATTCCTATTCGTCCAGGGTATCATCGCGGACAGCCAGTTGAAGACCGCCAACACCCTCCATGTACTCATTGTCCTCTCTAACTAGAAACCCCAAACACCATCGCTGACAGTTGAAGTCATTTTCCCGTTTAACGCCCCGTAAATGCAWCCCATTCCTTCACATCAATCCTCGTGACATCGTAAGAGATGCTTAGACGGGAAGAGGGAAGGTGACGGCCCACGCGGCAATCTCCTTCTTCAACACTCCCAACTCAGGGACGGATTCGGCACCACCGGCGACCTTGGCCTTGAAGTCCTTTTGCTTGTTGGCCTCGGCAGGAAGCTCGGCCTGCACCTTGGTGGCGAGCTTGATGCACTGATCGATGTAGTCGGCGATTCTAGCAAAGTCCTGCTCACCCATGGAGCGAGATGTCATGGCGGGTGCTCCGATACGGATACCGCAAGGTGTGAGGGCGGACTTGTCTCCGGGGGTGGTGTTCTTGTTGCAGGCAATGTTGACCTGGTCCAGAACAGCCTCCACACGAGCACCATCCAGCCCGAGTGGCTTCAGGTCGAGAAGGACCATGTGGTTGTCGGTACCGTCGGTGACGAGGCGGTATCCCATCTTCTTGAACGAGTGCTCCAATTGCTTGGCGTTCTTGATGACTTGCTGCTGGTATTGCAAGAACTCGGGAGTTTGAGCTTGCTTCAAAGCGACTGCAAGTGCGGTGATGGTGTGGTTGTGAGGACCACCCTGGTGACCGGGGAAGACGGAGAAGTTGATGGGTCCCTCCAAATCATAGAGGACGTCAACCTTCTTTCCTGCACGAGTCTCGGTCTTGCGGACACCCTTGCGGAAGAAGATCATGGCGCCACGAGGTCCACGGAGAGACTTGTGAGTGGTGGTGGTGACAATGTCGCAGTACTCAAAAGGAGACTTGTTGACACCTGCGGCGACCAGACCGGAGATGTGGGCCATATCCATCATGAGGTAGCAGCCGACCTTGTCCGCAATCTCCCGCATTCTCTTGTAGTCAATCTCACGGCAGTATGCAGAGGTACCAGCGACGAGGACTTTCGGGCGGTACATCAGGGCATTCTGCTCGAGCTGGTCGTAGTCGATCAGGCCAGTCTCGAGGTTGACACGGTATGGGAACGTCTCAAAGTAGGTGGAGACGGCGGAGATCTTCTTGGTGGGRGTCTGATATCCGTGAGACAAATGACCACCGTGAGGGAGATCCAGACCCATCAAACGCTCATGAGGACGCATGATGGCTTGGTAGACCTGCAAGTTGGCGGGCGAGCCACTGAGAGTCTGGACGTTGACGCCCCATCGCTCGGGGTCGAGGCGGAAGGCTTTGAGGGCACGAGCCTGGCATGTGAGCTCAATCTKGTCGATGATCTCGTTGCCGCCGTAGTAGCGAGCACCGGGGTATCCCTCGCTGTACTTGTTGCTCATCGGGGAGCCCAGGGCATCGTAGACGGCGCGCGAGGTGACGTTCTCGCTGGCGATGAGGAGGATGGATTCACGCTGACGCTTGATCTCCTTGGCCATCAAATCGGCAATCTCAGTGTCGGTCTCGATCAACGACTTTTGCATGAGATCCTGGTGAGCTTGTGGCAGCGCAAGGTGGGAGGTGCCATTGGCGGCCATGTTGACGGCGTGCAGTGAGTGGTGAGTGGATTGGAGGGGATGGGGCTGGTGTGGTGTTGGTCAAGTTGGTGAAGGAGAGAGGGGTGGCGGTGAGGGAAGGGAAGGGGAGAAATGCGAGGCAGAAAGAGGTTGAGTGATGGTGACTGGACTGCCTTTTTCAAAAATCTCATGCTCATGCTCTCCGCCACAAAGCTTCACTAGCTCTGCCTAGGTAGTTCTAGCTCTAGAAACAGAAACAAGGGTCACCTTCTTCGGTGCGGTCAATAGCGGGGCAACGACAATACCGCCGAACCAAACATACATCTCTCCGCCCTCCTCTTCTCCCACTTCACCCCACCAGACCATACACATCCTCAATGTATCCGTGTATCATCTTGCGAGAGCGGATGTGACAGCTTTCATTGCCGCAATCCCTCCCTTCAGAGCTTGTTCTTTGTTCTCCCCGCTTCCAATCCGCACCCTCTGCGTGTGAAATCGGAATGTGACCGATTGGGGGCTGACATTCGACCAGACATCCACGTCCGATGTCACCGAATGCTCCCGATGCTGCAATGCAAGCAATATACACCACCCACGTCCATCCTTATGGCCGATCAGGCTTGATCCGATGATGACGGATTCGTATTCACTTCACTGTTGCATGCTTCTCGGCAATGGTGAGACCTCGTACATTGCATGGATGAGAGGAGAGCTGGTAAGTTGTACTTTACAGCTCGTCAAAGTCGATGAACAAGAGGAGATCATCGTCGATTTGCAGAGGCTATCGTGAGAGATAGTGTTGCTACCCAGTTTTGAGAACGCCAGGAAATCAGCCGCACAAGGTGGTATCACAGAAAAGCACAAACATCTCCATCATCTCCCTTTCCGCTTCTCGTCCACTCTCCTCATCTCACTCCACTTCGCATCACTCTATCCCGCAGAGTCGCTCGCTAGTTGCTAATCTTGGGAGACACCTATCAAAGTCAGCTCCCTTTCCGCACATCCTCTCACCACCACCAATCCAGACATACCTTCTTTCCCGTAGCCTTCTCGTACATCTGTCTCAACTTGTCCGTAATCTTCTCGTTGCGCGCGCGGTTCTTGTTGGGATCCACAGGCTTGCCGGTCTTCTTGCCGCTGTTCACAATGTCAGTATCACGCGTGTGTAGGAAGAGGATCGGGAGGTTGGCAGATATAACTTACACCATCTTCTCGATGGCGTCGACGGCTGAGAGCGAGGACCAAAATTAGCATAGTCAAGCAGTGGTGGGATGGAGGAACACCCCACCTTTGTCGAGATAGTCCTTCTTTGGCTGTCCAGCGTCGTTCATACTTGCGATGGTATTGAGTGGGTAGGGAGATATGTTTTCGGAGGTGGAGTAATTGAAGAAGTGGTAGTCCCTTCGTTGAGAAATTGTTGTTTAGTGTGAGATGAAACTTGAATTACTTATCACACGCGTCCGCTTTTAGCAACAACATTTCATTCTCATTGTTCGTGTCGCACAGCTGAATCGCTGCCGAGGCTGGTCATTGACTCATTGACCATCGAAATGGGAGCCTCAGGCTGCAGTATCTCTTCCGCACTAGCGCCGGGATGCATTTGCTAGCGCAAAGTGGGAAGCACGCGATGCCGATCTACACACGGCCCTTTCTTTTGTTCGCATTGGACCTTTGACCTCACATCCATCTTTCACTCATTTCGAGGCGGATTGAGCAGTTGTCATGTCAGGCGCATTGGAAGAAGCCAATGTCGATGGCGGTGGGGGCAAAGTGCTCAAGGACTTGTTCTCCGGCGCTGTCGGCGGTGTTGCACAGGTTCTTATCGGTGAGGAGACATGACTTCAATTTTGTATGGAACGTTACTGACCTGTACTTGCAGGTCAACCATTTGGTTAGGAACATCCAAAGTCGATTCCAATTCATTCAATCAAACTAACTTTCAGTAGACATCGTCAAAGTTCGCCTCCAAACCACAACTCAATACAAAGGCGCGCTAGACGCCGCTTCCTCGATTCTCAAGAATGAAGGAGCATCTGCTTTTTACAAGGGAACGCTGACTCCTCTTATTGGAATCGGCGCTTGTGTTTCCGTCCAGTTCGGAGCTTTCAACTACGCGAAACGCGCATTCGAGACTCAGAATGCCGCCAAACTCAACAAACCACTCTCGGAGATTGCCAGTGAGCCGAAACCATTGACCTATGGTCAATACTACGCCTCTGGAGCCTTCGCAGGTCTTGCAAACACCATCTTGTCGAGTCCAATTGAGCATGTGAGAATCAGATTGCAAACCCAACCTCATGGCGCTGGAAAATTATACTCCGGTCCATTGGATTGCATCTCCAAGCTCTCCCGCTCACCTTCCGTTCCCATGGGTCTCTACCGCGGAACTTCAGTCACGTTGTTGAGAGAAGCACAAGCCTACGGATTCTGGTTCCTCACTTTCGAATACCTGATGAACAGCGATGCGAAACGCAACAACATCATCCGAAAGGACGTCCCGACTTGGAAAGTCGCTCTCTATGGCGGATTGGCGGGAGAAATGTTGTGGTTGAGCTCGTATCCTTTCGACATCATCAAGTCGAGAATGCAGACGGATGGGTTTGGCGAGAAGCAGAGGTATAAGAGTATGAGGGATGCTTTTGCACAGACCTATCGACAGGATGGTGCGATGGGCTTTTGGAGGGGCTTGGGACCGACTTTGTTGAGGGCTATGCCGGTTAGTGCGGGGACGTTTGTGGTTGTCGAGATGACTCTGAGGGCTATTAGCTGAAGTGTGAGGGGAAAGAGGCTTGATTGAGACGGGAGAATTCTCACGCTGAGATGTCTGGCATGCAGGGCTGAATGATACTGAAAATCCAGATAAGATTCTTGGAGTAGACGTGGGTGTTGACGAACAGAGCGTCTTCCAACACGACTGTTTAGGTAGGCGGCGGATCGAGTCGATCAGGAAAATGCAGCCTCAAGGCCGCACATCACCCTCATCGAAAAGACCACCCCGAAAGATTCTCAAACAACATACCTAAACTCCTTATTCTCCCTATCACTCAAATCCTCAAAAGCATGCACCATCCCCTCCCTCACCAACCCCACCGCATCCCGTTTCCGATTCTCCCTCCGAAGATACCACCTCAAAACCACCAAATTCAGAATCAAAAGTGTATAGCAACCCAAATGTGTGGAGAAGGCGATGAGATAGCGAGGCCCGTCCCACCAGAGGAATACTTGGGGTCCGATGGCGTTTCCTGTGGCCCAGGAGATGAAATTCATGGTTACTGCGACGGATTTCTTCGTTTGGCCTGCTACCTGTAACGCTTGTCAATGCCGTTGCCCGGGATTTAAAAAGATGGGAGGGATGGGTTTGGAATGGAGACGTACATTTCGACTCAACATGCTCATCCCCAGACTCTGTGCTGCCCAGAATGAGAGGACTATGTAGTAAGAGAAGAGCAGGCCTGCGGAGGTTGCTGTCGAGGTGTTTTGGACTGTCATTAGGACGATTGTACCGATGAAAGAGCTGGAAATTTGTTAGAGAGAATTTTTTTGGGTCTTTGGTGTTGGATTAGGGATTGATGTGTACGGGATGCAGAACATGGCCATTACGAGGACGTTTTGTTGCGTTTTCTTCGCGAGCCAGGCGGAACTGAAGAGGATTATGATTATGAATGCTCCGAGAACCATGGCGAGGAGTTGGGTTCTAGAGAATGGTGAGTGGAAAAAAGCGATTTTGAGATTGTTGTACTGACTCCAAGACGGTGAAGCCCAAGCCTGTGATGATGATCTAGGGAGCAGTCAGTCGTGTTGTTGCGAGGAGGATTGAAGATTTGGCAAGGAATCGATCGAGCTTACATTTGCAAAAGCACCTAAGCCACTTGTTGGTAAGGTTGTGCAGAAGGCGATTAAGCAGTAGCACCAGACTTGAATGTCTGTGAGGGCTTCTTTCATCTGCTCGAATCGAAACTTTTTGTTMTGCAGTCCTGTGGCAAGACTTGTCAGACTAGAATGTCATGGACGTTTCGGAGGACCATTGGGAGTGATACCTGTCTGGTTGGAACGAACTCGCTCAACCATCAAGTGCTTGTCTTCTTCGGTGAAGCATTTGGCACGCATGGGACTATCTGGTAAGAACCAAATGACAAACACGCCCCATAGGACTGATAGCACTCCTGGATCGGCATGTTAGAATTGCGTCCCGATCTGATTGAGAGAGTTGGGCTGACTTGCCATATGCGATGAAGATTGCTTGCCAGGAGTGTAGAGTGTCGTTCCTTGGAATTAAGGAGAAGCAGTAAGCGAGTAGACCGCCTACAATTTGTTGCCTGTTCTGCATCAGCCTCGATTCTTCGACTACTTCTAATGGAAGCAACGTACATCCCGTTCATACAGTACCACATACTAACCACGAGAGCCTGTTCTTCTCTCTTATACCACATGGAGCTCTACCAGGAACAAGCACAAGTCAGCAGTATCTTCAAACCCAGTCTCCCTCTACAAATACTCACCATAATCAAAAAAGTAGGCTGACAAACAGCCTCAAAGATGCCCAACAAAGTCCTCAACGTAACAATCCCCGCGAAATTCCTCGAAGCAGCATGAAAAGCGAGAATACTTCCCCAAATCATAATACAAACTCCCAGAAACTTACCAATCGGCACCCGTTGAATCAACCAATTTATCGGGTATTCCACGCATAAAATCGCTATGTATATGCATGTTGTTAACCAGGAGTATTGGGGACCTTGGAGGTTCAAGTCGTCTCGGATTCCCATTATGGAGGTGAAGGATAGGGTTCCTTTGTCGAGGGCTTGGAGGAAGTAGGTTGCTACCATGATTCCTAGGACTCGTTTGTCGATTAGACGTTTGAGACGGTGGTTCTCGGAGGGGGAGATGGGGGTTTGGGAGGAGTCGGTGTATTTTGCTACTTCGGCCTGTGATGGTATCGATTTGGATCAATTTTTGTGTGGAAAAATGGCGTCGCTGATATGCTCACATCGATGCGATTGTAGTCCTGTGCATCCTTTTGAAGTTCATCTGATGTCAGGACTCTTTCGATTCGTGAGGCTTCGATGGGTGCCTTCTCGGCGTCATGTTCGATGCGACTTGACTCTGCGGCCATGTTGATTTACTTTCGATTGATCTTGTTGCGTGAACAGACGAAGCTCGAGCTCGAAAGGTGGGAACATGGTCTCTCTCCCTAGCTCATTGAATAGGCTGCATCTCTTTTACAAGATCCACGCGAGGGTTGTATCAATTTCACCTCCTCACTCTCGAATCAAGGTCAGATCGACTGTTGTAAAAGACATTCATTGGCGGAAGAAATGCTCGGGTTGATTCATCCACCGAAGCGATGCATATGATTGCTTGGCTTTGGGGGTCAGAATGTGGAGAGCTTGTGGGGATATGCAGGGAGCTCGGGAGGAAATGTCGCGAGCGATTCCTTTGACAGTATTTTTCCATACCGCATTGTGCTGAGCATGTCGATGCAATCTTTGGGTAGAGTTGGGATATTCAGATACAATGCCGCAGCAGTCGATTTCAGTCCAGGGGCTGTACGCCGTTGATATCAAAGCCAAAATTGAGCTTCTCATCGATAATCTGGTCAACATTGAGGATCAATCTGGAAAGTTCTTGCTTCGCCTTGCGGATGGAAGAGTGATTGATACGAAGGGATGGAATGATTGGGAATGGACGTGAGTAAATTTATTCTCGTGTGTTATGCCTGGACTTACAATTCGCAGACATGGCATTGGTCTTTATGGTCTTTGGCAATATCACACCTTGGATGGATCCCCTCGAACTCTTGAAGTGATACAAACWTGGTTCAAAAATCAGCTTTCGACTGGTACGACGAAGAACATCAATACCATGGTATGAATCGTTCACGTCGAAGTATCAAGTGTTTGTCTAAACATCTCGTAGGCTGTTTTTCTCACTCTAGCAAATCTCTATGAAAAGACGGGAGAACAGACATACCTTCGTGAGTCGATACCAACCGTTATCGCAGAACCATCACTGACATCTTATTACAGCTTGGCTGGATTCCTGGGCCGAATGGGCAATGCACGATCTCCCTCGAACAACCTATGGCGGAATGCAACACATTACATACTCAGAAATCAATCACAATGAACTCTGGGACGATACACTCATGATGACCGTCCTTCCCCTTGCCAAAATTGGAAAGCTGCTCGGACGACCTCATTACATTGAAGAAGCGAAACGGCAATTTCTGCTACATATCAAGTACTTGCATGATCCAACAACAGGACTATGGTTCCACGGCTGGAAATTCGATACCTCTGCTCCGGGAGGTGTGGGACACAATTTTGCTCGTGCACGTTGGGCAAGGGGCAATGCTTGGATTACTATCGTCATTCCGGAATTCATCGAGTTGTTGGATTTACCACCTGGTGATGCTCTACGGAGTCATTTGATCGATACGCTGGAAGCTCAATGTTCGGCTTTGAGGAGTCTGCAGGATCCTGATGATGGGGCTTGGAGGACGCTGCTTGATGTGCCTGCCAGCGAGGGTAGCTATATCGAGGCATCGGCCACTGCGGGCTTTGCGTATGGAATTTTGAAGGCTGTGAGGAAGAGATATATTAGTAGGGAGTATGAGGCTGTGGCTTTGAAGGCTGTGGATGCTGTGATTGGGAGGATTGGTTCGGATGGTGAATTGGCGGATGTCAGTTTTGGTACGGGTATGGGGTCTGACTTTCAGCATTACAAGGACATACCATTGACTTCGATGCCTTATGGGCAGTCTATGGCAATGATGATGTTGGTAGAGTTCTCGAGGAAGTTCATTTGAGAAGGTAGTTCGTAAGGGGATGCTGCTGGATTGTGGTGAAACTAGTTGATATCAAGAAAGCAGAAGTGGAGAGTAGATGGATTAATTATGGTGAAGGCTGGAAAGTCGAGGGTCGGAAGATGGAAAATGGGAAAGTAGATTGATCAACAATGAGTGTGATTGGCGCTATACTACTTGTGCTGCACTGCTCATGTAGATGAGACTCGAGTTAATTACAATGCGCCTTTCCGACTGTTTTAGCAACTGTCCGACTGATACTCTCAAAGAGCCGCTTGTCAAATGCAGACGAGACCAAAGAATTATATGCTGCGGGCCGAGACCAAAAGCCTCCMCAACTCTAAACGGACCATGCCAAAAACCATCTTGCGTACTGCGGATGCCTTGATGTCAAACGGGGATGTTCGACATTTAGATGGCACCGAGGAGGTTGCCACCGCAGGTGTTGCCAACGTTGATGAGCCCGTTCTGGGTCTGGTGGTCACAGCAAGTGACGGACTGGCCACAAGATGGGCTGAGGATGWCGAGGGTGCAGCCAGAGACGAGGCCACCTGGGAATGTTAGTATGTTGGAGAGAGATGCGAGTGTGTAGTGYTTACCGAGGAGTCCAGAAGAGTCAGAGTCACAACCGCAAGCGACGGCCTGCTGGGTGTTGGAGCAGGTGTTGGCGAAAGAGCTGACACCGTCACCGTTGTTGAAGKGAGAGCCCTGAGGGTACTGGCCTGGAGCAGGCCACTGCTGGTATCCGTACTGGACTGGTGGTGCGACACCAACGCTGGTCCAGTAGGTCACTGGCTGAGCCTGGTATGGAACAGCCCATGCAGGAGGGGCCTGAGACCAGCCACCACCGTTAACAACACCGCCCTGGCCACCACCCTGAATGATGGTACCGGCGTTTCCGCTGTTGACTCCACCGCCTGTGAAGATGAATGTCAGTAAGTGTGCCAAGTCTTGAGTCGAGTCTCCACTGACTCTGGTACGAAGGTGGGTCAATGGGGTAGGCGGGAGCAGCTGGGGCCCACTGGCCACCCTGAGGGCGGCCAGCCCACTGTGGCTGAGGCTGTCCCTGCCACTGAGGCTGAGGCTGGCCCTGCCACTGGGGCTGCGGCTGGCCCTGCCACTGAGGCTGGCCAGCCTGACCGCCGTAGGCTGGTGCAGGTGCTGGGTCGTTGTAGGAGGCGGGCTGACCTTGGTGAGCGTTCGCCTCTGGGACAGGAGAGGCAAGAACGACGGCGGCAGAAGCCAAGATAGCGAAGAAGGTGGAGACCATTTTGATTGATTGGGTGGTTTGTTGTTAAAAAAGGTGGTTGAACGAGTGTGGTGAAGTTGGAAGTATTAGGCTTTGTTGTTGTAGTGAAGTCGGAGTTGTTGATGTTGATGAGAGATGAAAAGAGTGGGAGAGTTGAGGTGTTATATACCATTTGGAGCGTGGATTGATGGTGACCTGAGGCTCAGCAGGACTTGCCATTGCCACGTGCAGAGAGATGAGACTTCTGTCGTAATTTGCCGTCAAAGAGACTCACCGCATGGTGTGCACCGGATGGGGCTCGTTCATCCATGTCGAAAGCTATGCATCTCATCTGGCATTCGTTGCCTTCCCTGCGATCTCATACGAAATGCACGGCCCTTTCCAACCTTTTCCTCCGCGCATTCCGGGTGGTCCAAGTCCCTTGTCGGCATTGGATTGTATGCCGTGGTCTTGCTGGCGACTCCATTTCACTATTCGGCAATAAATCTCCCATACTTGCCCCTCGCAACACGATGGGCAAAGTCGAACAGCAGTACCAATCGCATGTAAATGCAATCTTACTGACAAGCGTGCTCCATGGCAGGTTGTGGATCCTTCGGTTCCTGATTAGGAAGAACAGAACTCTCACCAGAACTTACATCTGCTCATCCCCGCACTGTCATAACCTAGTCCATGTCTCCGTTGCTTTCCAGGTCGCGTCGACTGATTGCTCAGGATGGCCATTGGCACAACCTTACTTGGAAGCCTGTACACTCACTATCTTGGCCCAGTCATCATTTCCTGCAAGAATACGGACGGTGGATCCCAGCGATGCTGCTAAAATTGGCTGCGACATTTGTTTGATGAGACGGGGGACCACATAGAACACAATCCGACAGACCCTGCAACGCTTGATATTACACAGATCGGCGAGTGCAGGCGTAGAGCATGCGTAGGATGATGAAGACGTCTTCACCGACCAAATCTGGGCATTCATTGTCGACATTCACTTGYCGGATACTGGCGTGTGGTAGCGGCGAGTAGCGCACTCCGCCAGTTTGCAGATCAGATCATCGCGGCATTGCGGGCCTGGTAATCATCTGGGGTCCGGCATGGTCCTTGTTTGTTGAAACATGGTTTTGCATGGTTTCTGCTCGGGTTCGGCTCCTACACGTCAGTACGAAGTACCGGGGCCCATGACTCGATGGTGATTTTGAATCCTGGTTTTCGCCTGACGAGAAGACTGAAAATAGTTCCGCGGGGTTCTCGTCCGCCACTGCGAAGCGGCTAGAGCCTGCAGGTGCCGTGGACGGCCGTTTCAATGGTGAATGATGACAGGTGAATTGCCGATGGTGATATGCCTTCCGCCTCGATTTAGCGCATCTTGAAACGTGAGAGCAATGAGGATGTTCTATGTTGGTTGATGACTGCATTGATTTGGCAAGAATCCGGTAATAACGAAACAAAGACTCACCGCCGCTATGAGAATGACAGCAAGTCCGTCCAGCAAGGCGTGAGCACTGAGCAGGCGTGTCATGCTTGACGTCGTCTAGAAACTTTCGTATTTTCCACCGCAATGTTGAGCAATGCTGGCAATTCTCACCAAAGCTCGCGAGACATGTCAGCACACGCACTTGCATTGCACTGGCTTTMACCACGCCTCTTGTTCTCCTGAGGTGAAGCGAGCTTGTCTGATGTAACTTCGTATGATGTCGTGTCGTGAGTACCTGCTTGAGCTTGTCATAGGTATTCGTGTCGTTTGTAGAAGATGTACAGTTTGTTGAGAAAGGTAAAGAGGTCATTACGTCGACGCGACGGGGCGTGTCCTTGGCAAATGTTGAGTGTGGACCTCTATCTAGGGTTAGGGTTGGGGTAGTGTACTAGAGCTCTAGCAGGACGCACACCTGTAAGGCGAATGCCATATAGCTTCAGCTAGGAGCTTGTGATTTTTACTTAAATAGGAAGTAGTTGACTATGCTATGAAGCATTCGGTAGTCATGGTACGTCCGAGTGAATCATCATTGTCGCAATGCTACAATCCACATATCTTATGTCGATATTGTGTGTGGATACTTTCAAGGCACATCACCCTTCAACGCCACGACATTGTGAAACCCAACTTGAGCGGGCCTCGAATCACACATCTCTCCCAGTAGGACTTGATAGACCAGAAGGAAGTGTCTACATTGTTTGCCATGTGTCGCGAACACTGGTTCCTCAGCAGCGAGGAGAGCACATGACGAGGCTAATACGCACATGCGCGTGTACGGTTGACAACAAGTGATTTAACGTCACGAGAAGTGCAGGATGGTAATATCATAATCGTCTTTCAAACCACGAACAAAAAATCTAGATCTATACCTCATATCGTCGTGACACTTCTTCTCATCATTCATGCGTGCCTCCTTCTCGTCATTCATTCGTGCCTCCTTCTCGTCATTCATTCGTGCCTCCTTCTCGTCATTCATTCGTGCCTCCTTTCATCGCAAGTTACTTCAGCGCCTCGTGATCATCCTCGCCATGATAATCGTCATCATCACTATCTCCCTGCAAAGAAAAATCTCCCTCTACAGGTCCAACCTCTTGCGTCGTTTCATACCGATGAAGTTTGATATTCTTGAAGGCAATGAAAAGTCCCACATCATACGTGATCCGGAACGCACCTCCAGCAACAAATGCAATCCAGAAACGATCTCCTGCCGCGAGGAAACCGGTGACCATCGGACCTGTAGTAGCAGCCAGCGTTCGAAGCATACTCGTGATGCCCATTACAGCTGTTCTTTCCTGTGGCTTCACCACAGCAGCAATGAGAGCTGCTCGAGGAGCTTGATCCATATTGTTCAATCCAGCGCGAATGAAGAGAAGAAGTGCTGCCATCCAGAATATATTGGGAAATGGAAAGATCAAGACTGCTGCTGAGGAAGGGAGATGTGTAAACACCATAGTATTGACCAGCCCAATCTTCTTTGCTGTTGGTCCAGCAAAGATACCACCGATTGCAGTGAGGAAATAACTGACCGAAGTGATGTCTCCGAGGGTGGATTTCGAAGGGTGAAATTTGCCATCCAGATAGTAGGTTGTGAGGGAATATGGGACCATTCCGTCAGCCAGGGAGTCGATCGCCAGCAGAATCCAAAGTTTGTACACGATTGCTAGGGTTGAATTCGAAATTGGTCCCATCCATCGTGTAATCCATGTTCGGATTCGAGACTGTGATGACGGAGCGAGCGGAGCTTCCGGAAGGATATCCTGGGGATTGGTGGTGCGATGGCTACCGTTTGTCATCTCAACACCATCTTCGTGTTCTTCTGGTGAGGTTTGTGTATGTTCTTCTTGCGAGACTTGGGCATATGATTCTTCCTGCTTTGCATCGGCTTCGCATTCCTCTGTCAAAAGTAAGACGAGTCCCGCATTGACAAGTCCCATTACCGCGTAGATCCAGAAGAGAGCATGGTAAGCATTCCCCAAAGACCAGCCGTCTTTGCCGCGAAGATACTCGATGATCCGACCAGAGCTTTCCGCGCCAACCGAGGATCCCACGGCAGATATCGTCACATACCAAGCCAAGACGTCCGATCTCGTCTTGGGAGTGGTGAGCTGGGAGAGAATACTCTCCTCGATCGATCGAAATGGTCCAAAGTCTGCGCCCGTGGCACTCACGACTCCTATGACAGCCGCAAAGAGCAGTATCCAGAAGTTTTCAAAAGAGGCGAAGATGATTCCAGTTCTGGGGAGGAAGTCAGCATCTCATTCAACACTGCACACAGCACACAATCACTTACAGCACCATCAGGAAGCTTCCTCCAAACAGAATCTTTCGTCTCCCCACCCGATCCGCAATGAGGGTGAGAAAGGTCCCAAGAACAACATCCCCAGCTAGCGTCAGGGTCATGAACAACCCTATCCTGGAATCCGTGAAGCCAAGCTCGTTGAAGAATAATGCTTGGGAGAGGTGGTCAGCACCCTATCCCGCTCTACCCGCAACATACGGCTTACCAAGTATGAGCGTGTTCGTTCCATAGGCGAACATGCGCAAAGCACGGGACAGGATGATGAGATATGCCTTGTCATGCGATCAGCATGTGACTCAAACTTTCTTGGATATCAAACTTACATTTCGGCCTGTCGTGGCTATCGAAACCACCCCGAACTCATGATAGAACCAGGTGAATGGACGAGTGACGACCGACATTCAGAGGACGCCAATCTTGTTGCCAAGGTGGATGTTTGCTGAAGGTGAAGTGGAAGGTGAAAGATGCTGGATGTATCGGCTATCGCGGTCTGCCCCGATGTCGGAGGAGGAAGTACTTAACTCCTCATATCGCGCCGATGTTGGCGGAGTTGATTCTTTGCGATGCCCCATCACGCTGGATTCTGGCAGATTGTGATGATTGAGGAGGTGACTCGGTCTGAATGTGATGAACGAAGTCTGTCTGTCTGTCTCTCTCGTTTGGTGGCACTCCGAAACATCCCGCAAATCTCCCTCGACACGATTATCCCTGCACGAAGCACCTGGAGAGTACCAAGCCCCCAAGCACTCCATTGTGCCACAATGCCACTACTCGATTTCTTATTGAAAGACCTAAGACCTTCAATAAGAACTGGCGCATGCGACTGTGCGCCTCACCGTTCCCACCATGAGAGGCATGCCCTGGTCTTGGATTAAGAACATGCCGATGAATTTGCTGGAGGCTTGAGGGACCTGAGCCATTCATTCCCTACCACGCAGCTACTCGCAGGACTCACCATCCTGCTCTGCTGTGCGGCTATCATATTGCCTCCTACTGGTCACAAGGCTGAGACTTCCAAAAGACGCCAATGCTCGGCATCCAGGTCGGCTTACCGATGGAGGGAGGCTAAGGTAGAGCTTGGATGCGCAACGAGGGGACGAGGAGCACGCAACCGGTCCTTCTCGTAAACTTGCATGCGGTGTATCTCGGATCCGCCTAAGTTATGAGTTGTTGTGATGAGACTTTCGCCTGGAGATGCAACACTATTCTGGCTATGCGTTGACCTTTGCGGAAGATTATACATCAGCTGTTGGTCGTTGATGGTCGTGGATGGACTCGACCAGAAGAACGAATCGCCCAGCTGCACCGCCCTTTGACATGTTGAATCTCAACATGCAATATCTCCGCCCTGGAAGCACGGCCAAAATCTTGGAAGAGTCTTCTTCCCCACAATACCGTACACCTTGTCCACGTGCTAGACGAGATTTACCCCGGACTTCTCGCGCGTGGCTTCTCCATAATCCATGCTCCCCAGAGATTCCAAGACCCCACCCAAGCCAAGCCAAGGAGGTCTAGACTAAGCGCCTCCAATGCTGCACGTCGCTACAGTGTATTCCTACACTATCGCCCTGTCCCTCCAAGCCATCTGTCCTTGGCTGGTGGGAAGATGTTCGGGAGAGCCAATAGCTTGGTGGCCTCCATGCCTTCACTCGCCGGCCACCAAACGCCGTATCTTCCTCTATGGATCAATTCCCCTTGGCTTGCATCTGTGCTGCACTTCTCCGCAGCTTCTCCCCATGGTCCATGCAGGAGCTCCCTGGGCGGAAAGGCGCCATTGATCAGACCCAATTCTTCCGGCGTGCGGGCCTGATCCACCATGTCGTGTTCAAGATAATGTCCCGGGTGAGTCTATGGATAGGCTGAGCATGGGACGATGTATAAAGCAGGCCTGTCGTCGCAAGGGTAGGTGGTACAACTTTCTTCGTACCCTCATCTTTTTCACTCTCCCTCACTCCTTCCCTCTCGACACATCATGACCGACGTCAAGATGGATGAGAAGGCTGGCGTCTCACACCTTGAGGTGCTGGCTCCTACCAAATCAAGAGACAGCGACTATGCTGTCAAGGATGTCGAAGGCGAGCAAGTCGGGCTCGATTACTCCGGAGTCGCAAAGAAGAAGACAGACCCAGCAGAGATTGCTTTGGTGAAGAAGCTGGATCGATACATTATGCCAACACTGTGGATCATGTACTGGCTCAACTATCTTGATCGCAACGCCATCGCTCTCGCAAAGATCAACACCATTGTGGAGGATACTGGTGTGACGGATACACAGTATCAGGTATGTTCCAGTCTGCATGAGGATGCTTGGGGGAGAATATTAACACCATCACAGACCTGTGTCTCGATCCTGTTCGTCGGTTACATTCTTGGACAAGTCCCCAGCAACATGCTTCTTACCCGTRTAAGACCTTCATGGTACATGGCAAGCTTTGCGGCACTTTGGGCTATCGTCTCTGGTCTCACTGCCCTCGCCAACGATTTCAAAGGCCTGCTCTTGACCCGATTTTTCCTCGTAAGTCCTGTCCTCCTGTGAGGCGGCACACATGAATGCTGACATGGCTATTACAAAGGGCGTTGTTGAGGCTCCATACTACCCAGGTGCTCTCTACATTCTCGGAATCTTCTACACGCGMAAAGAGATTGCCACTCGCATTTCGATCCTCTACACAGGCAACATCCTCGCCACTGCTTTCGCCGGACTCATCGCTCTCGGAATCTTCGAGTTGGATGGCGTCGCCGGTATTGCTGGATGGCGTTGGCTGTTCATCATCCAAGGCGCTGCGACCCTTCTCGTCGCCATCGGAGCCGGATTCATCCTTCCTGACGACCCTACCAACACCCGCTGGTTGACTCCCGAGGAGCGTCTCCTCGCCAACGGCCGCATTGTCCGCGATACTGTTGGAGAAGAGGGCAAGAAGAGCCCATGGGTGGGTCTCAAGCAGGCTGCCGCCGATCCCAAAGTCTGGCTCTTTGCTTTGATGCAACACATGCATCTCGCCGCCAATGGTTTTAAGAACTTCTTCCCGTCCATTGTTGAGACAATGGGACTCGGCGAGAAGATTACCCTTGTCCTGACCTGCCCTCCCTATCTCATCGCTGGCTTCACCTCCATCTACTGGTCATACCAATCCGGACGCTTCAACGAGCGAACATGGCACATCACCTCTGCGAAGCTCGTAGCTGTGGTTGGTTTCGTCCTGGCCTGTGCGACTCTCAACGTGGGAGCCCGCTATTTCGCCATGTGTGTCTTTGCCATTGGCACCTACGCCGTCAACAGTATCATCCTCGGCTGGGTCTCCAGTACTTGTGGCCAAAGTAAAGAGAAGAAAGCAAGCGCGCTGGCTATAGTAAACACCTGTGCCAACGTATCATTCATCTGGACGCMATATTTATGGACCGACGCCAGTCAACCGCGTTACCTCCCCGCTATGCTCGGCAGCGCGGCTTTTTCCCTCGCAACGGCTCTTCTGGCATGGGTTATGAGGTTATGGCTGATGCGCGATAACAAGAAGATTCGACAGACTGAGGATGAGACGGTCCTGAGATATGCTTATTGAGAGCGTGTGGGACTTGTGTGTGTGTGTGGCTAGCTACGGCTAATGTGTATACATGATGATAATGACCATGACCACCAGCTTTGACGGCAGTATCAATGAACGCCCTCTACTTTCATATCTCTTCCATCTCTTCCATCTCTTCCATGTGTGAACTGTGCGAAGGGATCGATTATACGGGTCCTCTGTGATGGCGGGACGGCTAAACATTTCTCCGAGATGAATTGTCGCTTTCACTTGATTTTTGCCATTTGGTWCAGCACTCTGCCATAGACCAGCAACATACGCAAGAAGACCAGCTCTACCTTAGCTTCGACCGAGAGTAACCCAATCGTACCGACCTTGCAAGACAGCCGGACATTCTTTTTGTTTCCCACTGAGCTCCGACCCGCACAGTAAGTTATTCTGTGTGCTACAAAACAACATGAAGACCGCATCCATGACATCGACGAACGAATGTTTTAAAGCGTGGTGGTACATATGCCTCTAGCTAATTTTAAATGGAATGGAAATGTGAAGTTAGGAGCCATGGCTCTCCATGGACTTTGCTAAAGGTTGAGATTTCACTTGGCATGGCATGTGAAAATTAGTACATGTGCTCTACTCATCGCAAATTAAGCCGTGTACCAACTTTCTCCTTTTGTTCTGCTAGCCCGTCGTCTTTTGTTCTACGTTACAGCAGTTTGGATCGAGCTGTTGTTCTACAATCTATAGACTCTGCAGAGTTACTTTGCGGGATCATGCAACGGTGCTACGTCTTCATTTCGATGGCCTTTTCCTTGGATATACTTCTCCGTCACCTTTCCACCCGATTCCCCACTGCTGCTCGATAATAGGTCTTCTACAGCGCCGCTTTATTACAAGGAATTGTGAGACCAAGCGAAATTGCTAACCTTTGCTTTACTAAAAGACCATCGATCCCAAATTACTAGAAGAAGATGCTCTGGCTCTTTAGATGACGAGATCTTCCATCACTTTTACTTCTATATACCGGATTTTTCAACCACATAGTATATAAGTCGTCCTATCGAATCTCGCTTTTCTACGACTACGACAGCGTAGGTGTAGATAGGATACGGCAGTTTTATAGCGTCGATTATATGGAATGTGTCCGATGCTTGCTCGAGCAAATATCGGTCACCTCGTCGAACTATATGACACTTCTTACGCATTACTCGTACTATTCTAGTTTGCTTCTTCGTTTCCCCCTAGTAGACCAGCTGAATCTAGACGTAGCAGATGCTGGTTCAACCAGGGATCAGAATCAGTTATCAAGAACAACTTCAGACTCGTAAAGTAACCAATTCCCCTTGATTCCAACCCCTTTAGAAAAAAAGGGGATATCTCGCAGATTTGACTAGATAAGATACTCCCCTCATCCAACTGTTGCTCGAAGTCGCTACCTTCTTGAAGTGATCCAAAGTACTGACATTTGTTTTCTTCTAGGCTTGCGGCCATGCTGTTCGATTTCTCCGTCACGACACCAATTATTCCCATCGGACACCACCCACCACCACTCACCATTCTCCAAACCCTTGCTTATTTTGATTCACCGTCTGTGCCGACCGAAGCGGTCGACAAGTAAGGCCATCCGCAAGAAAGAAGTCATCGACAGTTCTCTCCATTACTTGACTCCCAAGACTCAACGACTCTGCGAAAGCGGACCGGATGTTCTAAGATGATAATTTCAATACGTATGGGGGTACTGTAGGGGTACTGTAAGCCGATCATCTATGGAGACAGTGCCATGTCATTCGAGTACTTTGGTCGGGCTGCACTTGGTTTCGTCGAATATGTAGCTGGTCGGCGGGTTCGGGGTGTACATTGATATCAGCCAGTCCATATACACGCCGTGCATTATACATCGCATCATATCGGCAAGAGCAATTGCGGGACATGCTGTCTTGGTGATCTGCCACCCTATAGTACACATGTACGACGATACCTTTCATTCCTTCCAGGGGATGTTATGATGATATGCAGGAAGGGAGTCATCTGTTCGTCCACCTTCTTCGACGACATTCCTCATCTCCCCTTGAACGTCGGCCTTCGCTTCTCCCCAAACGCCTTCAGGGCCTCCAATCGATCTTGGGTGGGGAGAATCATCTCATACGCCCGATTCTCACTCCCCTCTCCCGCCTTCCATCCATTGACGGCCTGCATGGCGGCTCTAATGGCCACAGGTCCGCCCTCACAGATGGTCGTGGCCATGTTGACCGCTTCGTCGAGGATTTTCCCTCTCGCGACGCCTGCGCCGTTTAGATCCTCCTCGTTGATCTGCACCAATCGATCGGCCAAACCGATAAAGTAGGCCTCTTCCCCGCTGACCCTCCGACCCGTCAGGATGAGATCTCTTGCGCGGGCTTCGCCGATGAGAGCGGGGAGACGGTAGGTGCCGCCGCCGCCGGGGATGATAGCCAGACGTGTTTCGGGCAAGCCGACGGAGGCGGTCGAGGCCAGGACGCGGAAGTTCGTGCACAGGGCCAGTTCGAGGCCGCCTCCAAAGGCGATGCTGCTCACGGCGGAAATGGTGGGGATGGGGAGGGTCGACAGGCGGGCAAAGGTGGAGCGGAGGGAGGCGAGGAAGTTCTTGGTGCTGTATCGCATTATCATCAGCCTGTATATCCATTGAATAGCATGACTGACTTGCAAGTCCACGCACTCATCCTCGGTGAATCCTAAGCGTTCCTTCAAGTCGGCGCCCGCACAAAAGGCCTCATCGCTCTCACTGGCGAGAATCAAGGCGCGGGTGCTGCTCCTCTCGCCTTCAGCGTGTAATTGCTCGACGACGCGACTCAATTCGCCCAGCAGTTGGGTGGAAATGGCATTGCGGGCTTTGGGCCGGTTGAGGGAGAGCACCGTGATCTCCCCCGAATGCGGGGCCGGGATGTTGGTGAGGCGGATGGTGGAGGAGAGGGAGCCCGAGGAATATGCTGCTCTCGTCGCTGTCCGCTCGATCGACGCCAACGACGCTATTGTCTGCCGTCCGGCGAGGCGTGGAGCGAGTCGGAACATGGGGAATTGATAGCTATTGGGAGGACCTACACGTCCCTCCTCCAACCGGATGGGTGAGGCGTGCGGATTGATGGCATGGCGTAGGTGGAGTCTGGATTGATGGGCCAATTAGCGTCGAGGTGCCTACTAATTCAAGCGCCCCCACCCGCTGATCTGCTCAAAGTCCATCAATATGTGCAGCCAATCGTTCGGCCTGCTCAAGACACGGTATCTGAGACAGACGACTCCCAGTGAGGACGTGTGGCGATGGGTCACGCCTCGAGGGCACATGACTGGTCACCACGTCGTTTCGCATTCCATCAGATCATCACTTTCCCCTGCATTACTTCCGAAGCGTAGGCAGGCTYGCAAGCATCCATCGCTTCCTTCCAAGCAAACAAGGCAGAAGACATTAGACTATTGTGCTAGCTAGCTAATTGGGCGGAAGATACCAACCGCTTGAGGAAGGTCACTCAAGCACAGCATGATGGACCAAACCCTACAAAATGTACAAAATGCTGCTCTGGTCCCTTCCGGAGAGACTTTCTTCGACACGAGCAGCAAGATGCCTTCGATTCGCTCCCTTTCCGGCCTCGCCTTGTCGGCGTTGGGTGCTGCACAGAATGTTCTGGGGTTGGGAATGAGCAGTCCCGTGGCGAGACAAGATGCTTTTGCTGCGTCGGCGAGCTGTTCTACCGATGGGCAGTTGAGTTGTCACAACAGTTCTGCCGTGGCGGACTTGTGGTGGGTTTCTTGACGATATCTCACCCTTCATCTTTGGTGGCAGTCAGACTGACGAGTGCATGTGAAATCTAGCTGCTTCAACTCCCCTGGTGGAGCTCTCCTCCAGACGCAATTCTGGGACACGAACCCCGTGACGGGACCGGACGATAGCTGGACCATCCATGGCCTGTGGCCCGACAACTGTGATGGAACTTATGAAGCCAACTGTGATGATGCCAGAGCATACACCAACATCACCCAAATCCTGCAGGCTGCTGGCCAGACCGACCTTGTCAACTGTGAGTGCACCAAACAATCATTCTTCGCCACGCACCCCACTAACACTTCTTCCATCACAGACATGCAAACCTACTGGACCAGCAATTCCGGCTCCTCCGAGACCTTCTGGGAGCACGARTGGGGAAAGCAMGGGACTTGCATCAGCACTCTCGACCCGGACTGCTACACCAATTATCAACCCACGGAGGAAGTTCCCGAATTCTTCAACCGCACAGTCTCCCTCTTTCAATCCCTTCCATCCTACAAATGGCTCTCCGAAGCAGGCATCACGCCCTCCACTTCGACAACTTACTCTCTGAGCCAAATCCAGAATGCTCTGGCCAAGAACCACGGCGGCTTCACACCTTACGTGGGCTGTCGATCCGGCGAACTGGACGAGCTGTGGTACTTTTATAACGTCAAGGGATCCTTGCAGAGTGGGAACTTCATCGCCGCAGAGTCGTTGACGAGATCCAACTGTCCCAGCAGCGGAATCAAATACAAGCCCAAAAATGGCGGTGCTTCTCCAACATCCACCTCCTCCYCTCCCGGCTCCACTCCTACCTCCTCTCCAGGAACCCCCTTCTCCGGATCCGGCTACCTCAACGTCCTCACCAACGGATCCCAAAAGGGATGTATCATATCTGCGGGAACATGGTATACTTCCGGCACTTGCGCGACCATCACAGCTACTCCTTCCGGGGAGGAGGGCTTCACGCTGAAATCTTCAAAGGGAAGCTGTGGCATTGTTTCGGGCAAGTTGACGTGTGGATCGAGTGTTGCTGCCACCGTGTTTGGAGCGAATGCGACGACGTTATTGTATGGTGGTAGTGGGGATTTCTCGGCCGACTCCACCGCGAGTGGGAGTACGCAGGTTGCTGTCTATGAGGGCAGTGCACATTCTGTGGGGTTGGAGATTCAGTGGCAGGGAAAGTAGATTTGTTGTGATATAGAGGGATGAGAAACAGACCGCAATTAGAGTGATGAAGATCATCGTCTCACTTCTTCCTTGCTATTCTCATGAGGATCCTCGTTTTCCTGATTTTGAACCGCTCTGATATGGCTGTTTCTCACCCTCGCTGGCACTCACTCGTATAAATAAGCTTTGATCACGTCATCGCCCTTGCACGACTGCACCTCGACAAAGTATCAGAACACGACATTCTTCCATCCATCAAGTATGGCAATATTCAATACATTCCTCCCCCTCCTACTGTTATGGGCTGGCTTTTCCAATGGAGCGGAGCAAGAACCTCTTGGACTGCCCAAGACGAAGAAGCAGCCCAACATCGTCTTCATCCTCACCGATGATCAGGACCTCCATATGGACTCGTTATCATATATGCCGCATTTGAAGAAATACATTGCCGACCAGGGAACGACCTTTCAAAATCATTATTGTACCGTGGCGTTGTGTTGTCCTTCGAGGGTGAGTCTGTGGACGGGAAAGGCGGCGCATAATACGAATGTTACCGATGTTAATCCACCGCATGGTAAGGACCGACTTTTCTCACAGTGAAAGGTATGTTGATTGATAATCGTAGGTGGATACCCCAAATTCATCTCCCAAGGCCTCAACGATGCATACCTCCCTCTGTGGCTACAAGAAGTCGGATATGGAACATACTACGTCGGCAAGCTTTTCAATGCTCAAACCGTCGACAATTACGCCTCTCCCCCCGCAGCAGGCTGGACTGGGAGTGAATTTCTCCTCGACCCATATACATACGAATACCTCAACACCACCTTCTCCCGAAATGGTGGCAAGCCCCAGTCCTACCCAAACCAATACAGCACCGACCTGATCCGCGACAAATCTTTTGCCTTTCTCGATGATGCCATGACTATTCAGCAAGAAACGAGCCAGCCCTTCTTCCTCACAATAGCTCCAACAGCACCACATACAAATGTGCACATCAATTCCAACGTCATTGACAACTTCACCGAACACTCCAACATCCAACTTCCTCCCGTCCCAGCGGAAAGACACAAACATTTATTCCCCGGAGTAAAAGTCCCTCGAACCGAACACTTCAACCCACAAGATCCCCACAGCGTGAGTTGGATCTCCCGTCTGCCTCATCAAAACTCGTCGAATTTGGAATACAACGACAACTTCTACCGCAAAAGACTCCAATCTCTCCAATCCGTGGATGAAATCATCCCAGAACTCATCGAACGGCTGGAGAAGTCTGGAATTCTGAATGAAACATACATCATCTACTCCACGGATAACGGCTACCACATCGGTCAACACCGCCTACAACCGGGAAAACAATGTGCCTTTGAAGAGGACATCAACATCCCCTTTCTCATCCGCGGTTCCGGAATCCCCCAAAACCACACCACAGATCTAGTAACCAGTCACACAGATCTAGCACCCACTTTCCTCTCCCTCGTAGGCGCGCAGAAGATGCGGGAGGATTTCGACGGGCAGGCAATCCCTTTGTTGGATTTGCTCGAAGCTGAGAGGAAAGAAGAGAGGAACGAACATGTCAATGTGGAAATGTGGGGGATTATCATGTCCGAGGGGAAATTTGGAAGTGTCTTGTACCCGAATCATACGTATAAAGCCGTGAGGGTGGTGGGGAAGGGGTATAGTTTTTTGTATATGGTTTGGTGTGGTGGGGAGCATGAGCTTTATGATTTGGTGGTGAGTCTTGCTGTCCTGATGATGATTGTTATGCTTCGCTCAACTGACTTTCAATAGCATGATCCCTACCAAATAGATAATCTCTACTCATCAAATCATTCCACCACTTTCATCACTTTTGAGTCCGAGGAGAATTTCACTGGGACATCAACCACCCACCTCCGCGAGAAGAAGAAGAAGAAGAAGAGGGAGGAGATTGATTCACCACCCTATCACGCCTCTTTTCCCCAATTTTTGGACACTCCTCCTCCTCCTCACCTTGGACATTCCTCCTCTATAACGCACCCCGATCCTCAGGCTCAAGAAGAGAAATATCCTCTAACAACCCTCCTCTCCCGCCTGGATGCCCTCCTCCTCGTCCTGAAGAATTGTAAGGGGAGGGAATGTACGCATCCTTGGGAATCTTTACATCCTCCCAATACAAATACAAATAATGAGGATGAACTGAAAGTCCCGAGGAACCGGGAGGGAGATGTTGTTGTAAGGAATTTAAGGGATGCAATGAGGAAGGAATTCGATGGGGTTTATGAGGGTATTGGGGAGAAAATTGGACGGGTGGGGTTTGAGAGGTGTGAGAAGGGGTTTATTTTGGAGAGTGAGGGGGTTGTTTGGGATGGTGGGAGGTTTCGTGTTTGGGGGTACTTGTTTGATGAGGGTGGGTAGAGGAGGAGGATGTTTTTTTTGTCGGTTTTTGGGACTTTTGGGGGTTTGATGGTGATTCTTGTAGAGGGCGTGGGATTTAGGGAGAGGGAGAGGGATTATGAGGTATTCTCTCCTTGTCACTGTGGATGTTCTTGTCTGATGATTGAAATAGACAAAGGCCTCTCCGCTTTCTGACTTTCTATTTTTCATTTCCCCTACTTATAAAGCATAAAAGGTGCCGTAAGTAAAGTTATCCTTCGCTACTGTTTTTTTCCTTCAGCCCCTTTTAAAGCGTCTCCTAATTATAATTCTCATGATACCTTACCGATTTCTCCCCTTGAACTAAAAAGAGCTTCATTCTATATCCTCTATTTATCTCTGACAATAAAACAAGGATATGTAATCCCTTCCCGCAAAGAAACTGCTTAAAGGTAGCGAAAGTATTTCCTAGAGATGGAATTATTTTAGTATCTTATCTTCGCTTTTGCTTTTATCGTTGTTCAATAAATGTTGCCCTAAGGAGATAGTCGGCGTAGTATAGGGTAATCTAGTCTCGGGGGAATCTTCTTATATTATTAGTTCTTTCGGAGAAGAGTTTAACTTTTTCGTAGAGGATTAGGATTTCTTTAAGGGGGATTTGAAGAGTAGGATAGAGGAAGGAGGGTAGGGGATATTTCGTAGGGCTTACGTTAGTATGTTTCCTATTTTCGGGAGTAATAGATTTGAGTAATTGTTGTTTTAGGGAGAGGGTGAAGGTTGTTTGAAAGAGCTTAGCGGGGAGGTCTAAAAAGGGGGTTTTAGGAGGAGGGGATTCGTTACTACTATCTTACGACCTTTCGACGAGTTTGCTATAAGGAAGTTCGGGTGATAATAAGGAGATAGTCGGGGTTAGAATGTTGCCATGATGATAGAGGTCGTGTTAGTCATTATGAGATAGTCGGTGATAGAGAAAGGCTGAGGTGAAATTTGGCATCCCGGGCCTCATTCTTGAATTGAGTGGAAATACGTTTTTGAACTTTCTACTTTAGTCTTACAATCCTCGTCACGATAATTGTTAGCGTTGAGACGGGGTGAATGATTTTTCTCGTCCGATAGATTCACCCTGTGATTCTCTGTATCAAGATCATTACCTCTTCATACCCCATTGGGTTGAGTATCCCCTGAGATCAACCTGCCTATGTAAGTTAGTACGTCTTAAAGTCTAACTTTCAGCGACATTAACACTTACATAAGTCTCGTTGATCTTCTTGATATCCCCCACTCCAATATTCGCCGCGTCGATAGCAACCTCCCTCTTCATGATATCAACAGCTCGTTCCACACCTGTACATCACCGTCAGCTTCACGCCCTCTCCGTCCAACCTTCCACAAAAGTTCACTAACCCGCTTCTCCATAAACATTAGCAAACATAAACGGCCTCGCCAACCCCCACCGCCTTAACCCCAAGCGCCAACAACTTCAACACATCAGCTCCATACCTAACCCCACCATCCGCCCAAACCTCCATCTGCTCAAACACCCACGGCGCAAATTCTCGAATTTCCATGGCAATTTCCAAAGGACTCGGACTCCCATCAACCGTCCTTCCTCCATGATTACTCAAATACATCGCCTTCAATCCCCTCTGCGCACCAATCACCGCGTCTTCCCACGTTTGTATTCCCTTGGGCAATGATAGGAAGTTGAGTCTGAGCTTGAATTTCATCCAGTTGATCCCATGTGAAACTCGTGTACGCATCATCTGCACTCCCAACTCCCATACGAATTGCTCGGGGACGATTACTATCGGCTGGGGAATCGACCGTTACAATTAGAGCATTGAAACCAAGTTCTTCTGCTTGTCGGATTTGTTGCATAGTTTTGGTGCCGTTGAGGGGATCGAGGTAGAGTTGTTGAAACATGATTTGTCCCGTTGCGCGAGCGGATTGGATGTCTGCTTTTGTGCGGGTGGAGAGATCGGAAGGGATGTAGAGGATATTACCTGCTGCAGCCCCTTGTGTCAAAGCCATCTCGCCATCGGGGTGAGCGTAGCCTGCTCGGGCTGCGGGAGCGATCTACGTCGTGTCGTCAGTTATGTCTTGCTACCTTGGAGGTAGATGTGATTGTTCGTACGAAGAACGGTGCGGAGAAGTTGAAACCTAAGATACGGGTTGGGAGACTCTCCTCGACATTATTGATGTTCAGCATCACTCTCGGGCGGAATCTTAGGCGTGGGAATGCTTCGAGGTTGTTGCGATATGACCATTCCCCTCCGGCGCCATTGCGGTAGTAAGTGTAGGAGGTTTCATTGAGATGCTGCTGCGCTACGTATTGAAAGTCTACCACCAACATCAATTATCAGTCTTCGTCCAATTTTCCCATTCGGATAAGGACTGAGAGATACCATATAAAGTAGCAATGTCCTCCAACTCTGGCAGCGAAGAAGTCTCGTTCGTAATGCTCTGGAAGAAAGATGCATGGCCCGTATCCGGTTCCTCGAGAAAGTGTCTTGCGGCATGTACCAACGGCCCCAGGACTGCTGGCAGCAAAACAAAACTTCCCCAAAACATTATATCATGTATCATCTGTACTTCCTGCAAGAGAAAGGAGAACAACCCTTCTAGAATGTCCTGTCAGGTACATCCTCTTATAGGCCACTGGCGGCAACCCGCCAAGTTTTACCCCTCTCAAATGGTAAGACGGAGCACGGATGCATACATATCCCGCGGATAGCATTGCCGTAAGCAGTCGCATTAAGTTTGTCTCCATAAGCACTTGTGGTGTTGCCCGAGTTCTTATATGGCAATGCCAAGACCCACGATGCCCAAAGCAGACATTGCAAAGAAAGTGAAATGTCAGCTGCGCCAAGAGTGTGAAGCAATACATATCATGATAGACCCTTGGGATAGCCCGTCCAAAATTTGGTCATCTCACATAAATGTAGAGTGGCTGTCTATCGTGTTGATGGGCAGTGCTGTATTGACCATATGGCTATCACTTAGAGAGGGAATGTGTGAAWTGTAGATTCACTTCATTTTCGCTGTCACAAGCTAGCTTTGTTTTCCGCGTAATCCTAGCCCCGTGATTGGCTCGCTAGACTCCGATCATTGTAAACTCTGATTGATACGGACCAGCGGATGGACCAACGGCTGGAAGCAGACATGAAAGCTTGAAGCCATGTGTGATATTTTTGCACAGGGCATGCGGCCATTTGATTCCACAGGTTTCTTGATCAGTTGAGGCATCACTTGTACGAATGTGCGTTTAGCTGACCGACAAGCACTTTCGAACCCAAGCCGCGCAGCTATACACAGATCAAAAATTCGAAGGTGAAGTCAACTCGTCTCGAACAAGGGTATGTCTCTTGTCTTCCCGCCATAGCTCTTCTCTTCATCCTCTTTTGGGAGCTCCCTCTCTTCCCCCTTCTCATCTTCATTCGTACCCTAGTGCGGTATTGGTACACGTCCTTCGCCATGTCTCCGCACACGCATCACCCAGCCAATTCTTTTCCACCCCCGAGCCTTTGAAAAAATCCATTGATTTCCGGTTCGTGGAGGAGATATTCTAGCAGGACTTTACGGCCAAAAAATACATGTATTCGACGCAGTCAATTTTGCACACAATCCTTTCCCAGCCACATAGTTCCCGCATCAAATCGAGAAATTCCCAAATTGCATCATGTGCTCACCGTAGCCAAGATCGAGTTTTACAGTCCCAAGGAGGTTTTGTCGCCCTCCGATTTTGACCAGCCAGGTAGTTCGCATGATGTTCCTGTGGAAAAAAAAAACAAGGTGTTGGCACCGTAAAGAATCGGACTGGCTTCTTGGTAGATTCGACGGCAGCTGAGGAGGAGGGATAGCGCGACTTTTTCGCTACAGGGCTCGCAGCGGCAGGGAAACTGGATGTCGATTTGGTGGTCGGTCGTAGACTAGGGAGAGGCGGTACACCCGGTTGCGGATTTCAGCGGGTAGGTCGAAGAAAGATTTGTTTGGTTTCGCTGGTGTAGCATTCTGAAATCCGATGGTGTAAGTTGTGTCAAGATCTGTGAGGTCGATGTTGATTGATATCGCGATGAGTGACAGGGTGGAAATGTGAGAGAGTGAACAGGTGATGAAGTAAGCGAAATGCGTCTGTGGGAAGGGTAGTATGTCATCTGTTATCTCTCCATGGTTGTTGAATTGAACTGTCATCTGTCATGTTCCGTTTCTATTGGACCAGCCCAGGCCGACCAAACCAGAATCCATCCCCACGCATGATAAGGAATCGAGTGACCAGTGCAAAAATTGAAGAGTTTTGTCTTGCACTAACAAAAGTAGTTATCAGTACATAGTATGCATAAACAGCGGACGTACATTGTCCATTTTCCGATTCCACATCCCCAACTCCACGCTGAAACATCATAAAATTTCCAGATCACTCCATCGCAGATCAATCTTCAACTCTGACCGGCTTTCTCAGTACCAGCAATGATATCTTCTGGATTCTTTCCATCCCTCTGGTTCCTCGYAGCATCCTGTGTCTCTGCCTCTTTATTACCCTCCTCACTCGCCGCCGGTAAACAATACTCTGAAAGTACCTTTTTCAACAAAGGTCTCTTGATCGGTTTTGAAAGGAAGTAATCCATGCCACTCCCATAGCACTCATCAATATTACTCTGATCTGCAAAAGCCGTTAGAGCCACAATTGGCTTTTTGTAGCCAGACTCTCGGATTAACTTTGTCGCGCAATGGCCGTCCATGTTGGGCATTTGAATGTCCATGAAGATAATGTCGTAGGTATGGAAGTCTCCCTCCCTGTTCTTGACCAGATCGAGAGCTTCTTTACCATCTGCTGCGATGGTGACGTTCAAAATCTTTTCAAGTTTGAGCATGCGGAGGATGACTTCTTGGTTCACTTTGTTGTCTTCAGCAACGAGAACACGAGCTTTGCTGAAGTCTTGCGGGCTAGTTTTGCTGACTCGTCTAGTCACCACCACCGGTCTTTGTGGAGGCTCCGACGACTTGGGTACCGACTCTGACGACTTGGGTGCCGACTCTGAAGGCGACGCCTCTGACGGCGATGCCACCTGGAAATCAATCGAGTCCGACATCCCTACCAGCGTGAGCTCGCTGCTCGGAGTGCGACCATTAGGGATTGTGGGCATTCTCGCCGTGGAAGGGATCCTCGAAATCGGCCGACTAAAAGAAGACCGGGGTGTATCGCATCCGTGTACAAGTCTCATCGGAAGCTTGACCGTAAAGATGGACCCTTTGCCAACAGTACTCTGCACGCCAATTGTTCCGCCCATCAGACTGACAAGCTGAGAGCTGATGGACAACCCCAAACCAGTCYCGCTATGCTTCCTGCTCAATCCAGCATCGGCCTGCACAAAAGGCTCAAAGATACGATGAAGCATTTCCTCCTCCACTCCAGGTCCTGTATCCCTCACTTCCAACTGCATGACCATGTCCCTTCCTGGCGGTGGTGATTTCGCTTGCGGATGAGCAGCAAGCTGAACGTCGAAAAGTTCTCGCGGGTTGATGAAGTTGGCAGTCGCATTCTCAAGAGGTGTTGATGTGCCCTTTTCGGCGATCCTCCTTCCTTTGAGCAGTGATCCATTCCTCGTCGGCGGTTCCGTCAAACATTTGATCGTCAGCGTGACAGAGCCTCCCGGGGGTGTGAACTTTAGCGAATTCGATACGAGATTGATAATCACTTGCAGTATGCGATGAATGTCTGCGTAAAGGGTCATATCCTTGAAGGTTCCATTGCCGTACGAATCTCCAGATGATTCTTCGAAGATGACTCGCAAGTCCACCCAATTGCCTTTCGCTTGCTCTCCAAAGATGGCAATCGTCTGTGTCTCCAGGTCTCGCACAGGAAACTCCTTCTCGTCCAGGGTAAGAGCTCCACTTCCGAGTTGGTTCGAGCTGAAGTTGAGCAGATCGGTCAGTGTCCTCAACAGCAAATCGCCGCTCTTGTAGATCGTGTTGAGTGAATGCTTCAACTGAACGGGATCTTCCTCCTCCATGCATACAGCCGTCATCCCAAGAATCCCATTGAGAGGCGTTCGGAGTTCGTGCGAGCACATTGCCACAAACAATGTTTTACTTTCATTGGCAGCCTCAGCGGCCTTCATGCTTTGCTCCAACTCGACAGTCCTCTGCTGCACACGATCTTCAAGCTTGGTGTATTGTGAGACAAGCTCATCACTCATCTCGTTGAAGGTGACCACCAAATCATACATCTCATCCTTGATCCATTGTTGTTTTCGTAGGGGCACCTTTCCAGGAATTCTTCCGCGAGTCTCTGGTCTTCGTTCGACATGATAATATGCCCGTCTCTTCGCCTTGGCCTTCTCGACGCATGTGGTGATGAAGCCTTTGTTGCGATGATCGGCCAATTCGGGATCGCCTTCAGTACTGTCGTCCTTTTCGCCGAGAGAATCAGAACTTCCGCTAAAGGAACCGCCTCTCGGAACTATCGTCTGTGCACTTGCAGCTTGCATTCGCACAATCGGAAGGACAGCCCAATGTGCCAGAGGAAAGGATACAATACACATGAAACCGATGACACCAAACAGACAAGCGAGAATGATCTCCCTCAACCTGTCGATTGGCTTCCAGACCTCGTTTCGTGCTTGCTCAACTACAATCACCCAATCCACCAGTATAGTGGGAGCTGTGGAGTATCCCACCGAGACCTTCTTTCCCGCCTCGTTGTGGGTTTTGATCAGACTTCCGACGTCGTTGACTCCACGGACATTCTCAATTATTGCATGCCGGACCGCAGGAAAATCGTCGGCTGTGAAATCCCGATTGGGTGCGCCTGCTACATGGAGTGGGTGTCGAGRCTCGGCTGTGATGTTGAGTGGAAGTACGTAATGCACCTCCGCGGAAGCCGCTCTGCTCTCATTCCCGATGATGCCGGGAGCAAACAGATTGTTCGCGTTTGAGGGTCCAATTAATAGTGTCTGGCCGGAATCCCCGAGGCCACGCTCATCCTGGAAGACTTCCCTTATGAGTTTTGCATTGGTCACCACTGTGATCCATCCAACAAGGGATTCGGTGGAATTGTTATTGATCACCGGCACGGTCATGGAAAGAAGCGCAAACGAAGAATTGATGCTGGTCGGTCCCAGGACGAGTGTAGAGTAGAGGTCAAGTTCCACACCATCATAATTGGCATGTCCGTCCTCTCCGATAGTCAGGTTGGGGTACAGTGCAGCTGGATAGCCAGTATTCGGTTCACCCAGGTAAGACTGCTTTCCATCTCCGTCCAGCCAGGGCAGGGTGATGGAATCAAAGTCCGGTCCCGTGACATTCATCACACTCCTTGTACCATTCGGCCCGTCGGGATTTGCCGCGAAAACTTGACACTGCAAGACGAGTGCGCTTGATATCAATCCGGCATTGCTTAGCGTGTCCTGCAAATGGCTGGTCGCGGAAGCCCAATTCTCAGCAGAGGTATTGAAACCGTTATTGTATCGAACCAGGGCATTCTGGATACTGCTTCTGGCCGCTATGAATGTGGCGGCAATCTGCATGAGCTCCAAATTGTAGGCGATTTGTGCCGCCTTGAGTGACGCCGTGATTTCGAGTCGAGAGGACGAGACATTCAGAACAAAGTCATAGTTGACAATCCATGTTGCAACCGCAAGAACTGCAAGTCCAATTGCGCCGGAGAGCACAAGCAGGAGCGCAAGTTGCTGGCGAAGTTTGATCTTCATGCTGATGGAGGTTTCGCAATCTCAAATGGCTGGATAGAGAAAGGTGTGCCTATGCCAACAAGGGCATCTGTGTCATACATTCTGCTCAAGTGAATGATGCTTGGGCCAGCATTGTCGTCCAGATGTTGGCTGCGCTACCTCTGAATGGTCATGACAATAATGAGGAGCTGTTGTCGTGCTTCGTGTGGCGCTGACGGCTTGTCGAAGATCCGGGCTGTACGGAATCTGTCTCCTAGACTGTCTCGCGCGAGTATTTGTGACTTCTCCCGTCGTCCGTCGGCCGCCGTCTTCCAGGTGATGAGTGATGGGTGAGATTGTAGGCAGCAAAGGTCTCGTTCATCTTACAGCCTCAACGAATCCTCAGGAAATCAGGATGCGGGCGGAGCTAGTCCAGGTACGCTATGTCCCGTTCGCCAAGGCTGACTACTTTCGAAAGCATATCGTGTGACATGGTCGGTCAACGATTGGACACGACCGAAATGAGCAAATGACTTGCAACTTATTGTTTCGTGTTCGCAGCACCTTGTCCTTGTGGTCGTTCCATAACTGACCAATGATCAAATGATCGCGAGTTTAATGTAGGGCTGAACATGGCCTACGGCTTGAGAGCAGAGAAGCTCAAACAAAGTTGATGCTTTCGGAAAGGCGCGGAAGACGTTTGTGAAATTCGTTCTGTCCAAGAGAGCCTAGACCGGGTCGCGGATCACCCCCCCGGATCGCAGCATGGCATGTGCTCAGCTTTCGCAGGCTGCACGGTTGCACAAATCTGACCGTCGGGTGCCACTTTTGGATGCTGGGTACGGCGTGTCTGTTGTCAGCATCGAGCTGGGAAGCGTCAATTGAAAATTGAGATATGGCGGCAAAGGAAGCATGCGCTGTGAAGAGCTAGCACAGAGTTGACTCGAACGCAAGATCTGGTGTGGGAAAGAGATACCCCAGGCCTGCGTATCGCTGCTGTGGGATGATGCAAAGAAACATCGTTCCTCCTGGTCGTGAGCATAGCTGGACATGGAGGCAGGACACACTAAGCCATTGGATGGAGAGTGTCTCGGAGGGACGACGCGGAGCAAGAGATGGGCGCAGAGATGTCCTGACTGGCCGTGATGAGACAGGACAATGATACTGTCACCTCAATGGCAAGCAGGTGAACATTGGGCGTGCCGATCGGTGCCGATGGAATGGTGCAGGACAGTTCTGAGCTCCATGTGTATTCAACTGCCTCGCTCAACATTCGAGGCTGATACGAGGCGTGAGCGACGGACAGGCCGCATCTCTAGAATTGCGCTTGCCTTTGCTACGCGCAGGTCCTTGGGGTATAAAAAGCACTCCTTGCGATGTCGAGCCTGCAAAATTGTCGGATGGGTCTTCATGGGATTTTGTCGCAGAGTGCTCGTTCTGTGATAGAACGTGAGCGCTTGCTTAGACATGACGAGTGACGCGCAGCAACTGAAGCCATTCTTCTTCCTTGCCAGCGCCTTTGGTTCGTGGATCTAATCGGTGCTCGTGCGGCTTGCCATCTCTATTGAGACGTCCAATTATTGGCCATCTCTGAAAGACTCGAGCTTCTGTTCGCAGCAGATGTCTCCTTTGTCTGATTTTGCCACGCTGCTGCTGCAAAGGCATCTCGACACCAACAAAGCTGTGCCATGAGGAAGGACTCCGGATGGCCTCCAGAAGGAGGAACGCAGACTCAATCTGTCGAAGCTCTGTCTATGTACTGTTATCAATGGGACTGCGTCCTTTTCGACATGCGTCGTTGATCAGTCTAGACTTTGCTCCTACTAGGTCTCCCCGTTGTCTGGCTGGGCAGTCTGCTGCCGCAAACGTCTTTCGTCCACTTGCAGTTAATCACTGGGTCGAGAGAAAGCTGTTCGAGTGGTATCAACAAGGAGAATCCGACACCCAGTTGGTCGAGGCTCTGTCTCAATTTGAAGCTGCTGTTGACCAGAATGCGTCCTTTGTGGAAAGAGACGTTGATCAGGCCAGGTTGTATTCCAAGCGGGCTCTTCTGTCTCCTCACCGGGCGCTGTGCTGGCGCGAAGTCCTATTACCCAACAGACTGCACCAACTGCGTCGAGGGAGCTCATTCTCAATACCTTCAACAAGGAGCAGTATTCGCCTGTTGTATCGTGAGAGGGGGTGTCCTGATCATCTCAAACCCGCATCCACTTCAATGGAGATGAGGTACTTCGTCTTGAGAACCGCGGTGCATGATGTTTGCTCTTCCGGTAAGTAAGGTGGGTCCAGTCATTGAAAATGACGGCGCTAGTGAGCTTGTCGCTTTTCCTGTTGTTTCCGCCTCACTTTCCTCTTGCTCTTCCTTCCACACACTCTCTGCTCTACAACACCGACTCACCACCATCAACATCAACATCAACATGGACGTCGCCGCGGACATACTCGCTGAAATGGCGCTCAATGCGCCCGAAGAGCCGACCTGCCACTTCATGCGCCTGCCTCTGGAACTCCGAAAGCGCATCTACGCGCTCCTTCTCCTGCCACCTCCAGTCACGCGGGTCCACTGCAGCATACTTCCAGAAATCAAGCAATGTAGCCCCGGTGGACGTTTCCTCGCCAGCACCTGCAAGCCAGCACCTTCCTCAATCCGCACAATTGGATGCGGCACGTGCGAGTGGCGTGGAGGCGACGTTCATACCGCGATTGTAGCTCTCAACAAGACGATTTATGAAGAAGCTACCGACGTCCTCTACGAGAGCAGCGCGGCGGTCTTCTACCACGGAGTCCCAAATCAATGGGAGCAGTTGAGCGATACAACCAGATCCAAGGTCAGGAGATTGGTTTTTGTGATTCCGCTTTTAGAAAATTACAATTATTTCAACGATGTATTCTATACAATCAGCAATGCGAAGCTCATCGAGCTCCATTTCGACGTGGATCTCACAAGAGTCACAGGACGACCGATTGCTGCACAGGAGCTCTTATGGGTACCTGAGGTTGATGGGGCGGAAATAGTTGTTGATGTGCATATTGTCCGCGCTTGGGATGAGCCAGGCAGTGGGTGGGAGGAGCCGATTACCAGTCGACGGAGTATCAGCGAGGCTCGTGCCCTCGAGTTGGATGAAAAGGCGAAGGAAATGAGATTGTGGATCATCAAACTTCTGACAAAGGTTTTCAACGAGGAGGACAGAGTTCTGGTGATTCGGGAGAACTGAATGCTCTCAGCGGGCGCCCCCGGTGCTGAAAAGCAGGACTGAGCTCTCGCGGGCACCGATGTACGTATGAACATCGATTGTGGAGATGTGGTATTCGAGACAAACATGATCTTTCAAGATGCCCGTTTGAAGCACGCAATCGAGGATACATAACCTCCCACGTATGGAAGCTTCGATGACCGGGAGATCTCATGTTCTGGAAAAGATGATTCTCTGGAGACGACCTGCTCGAACTAAGCATTGCCAGTCCTCTCCACATACTAGACGTGTTGATTCCGAGGAGCGATCAGGATTCCGTCTCTTTACACTCCTTCTATACTCCCGCCCTTCTTGACAGATGCCTGTAGAGAATCCAGATAATGAAGCCCATCACTCCCACCAAAGATACAGGAAGTCCGCCAACTCTTCGCACGAAGAGAGAAACGATCAGACTTCTCCTCGGCATCCTAAAGGCGTTGTTGCTTCCCCGGATCATCTCCATCTGGGTAATTCTGCGGTTCAAGACCTCTGCGCTTATTCTTCATGGTAGGTGAATAAGGAAGGCCAATGATTAGAGCGGGCTGAAAATCTGCAGTCAAGACGTCGTGATCAAGGGGAGTGAATGGCATCGTGACGAAACTGTCCCCATCGATCAGTTCCTCCGCTCCCGTAGGACTTCAAGTCCGCAGTTTGAGAGGTACGCTCTGTCGACTGCAAGAAAGACAGGATCTTGGACGACATAACAAAGAATCTCTCCAATTGCATCCACGAACTGCTTGTCAATCAGCTATGTTTTCCAAAGTTATGCTCTTTTGTGACTTACTGAGATATACCACATCCAGGAATACTGCCAACTGGATCAAACCGCGAGGACGGGTATCGGGGTTAAAAATATCGGGATAAAGACCATCAGTGCCAACCAGATGACCGTTTCTCATTTCTCCTCCGGTTGCGATACTGCCTAGGCGAGCATTAAGCCCTTTTGCATCTTTTAGCCTCCTGCAGCAGAATGTTCTTGTAGCCGCTTCTTGAACGCCTTGCGATTCTAGCCAGCGTTTCTTCGCCAAGGAGAGCATGTCCGTGATCATCTCGATCGTTGCTTCGCATCATCCTGGAGTTTGGGTAGAGTTAAGGTCGACTGTCTTAGAATAGTATACTCTACCAAAAGCCAAAGCCCGGCGAMATCCCGTGTTTGCCAAAGCGCAGAATTGAGATTTTATCATTGAGCTGTCAGGCGAGGAAATATCCCGGACCCTCAAGGGTATTGCCATCAAGTTTTCATCTTCATGCCAATGAAGTGTATGCTCGGGTCTTTGCACTTTGCCGGCTCTGAAATCCATTTGTAGTGATGATTAGCCTCGTTTTAAGCACCGTGTGAAAGCTTTGAGTTTTCGCCAAAATCGCTTTATAACTGGTGACTTCCGGTATCTTCGCGGTCCTGCGTCACGAGGAAGTGGATCTATAGACCCAATCGATCCCTGGATTATCCTGCTATGCGGAGATAGGCTCTTGAGATCCATGGATGCTCTTGAAAAGTCAAATTCGCACGTGAAAATTGGCAGCGAGTCCGTGCTTGCTTTGTCACCACCAACATCTATTTAATCTACAGAAAATCCCCCTCTCCACTGCATCACCACATACTCGGCGATGACTTGAATTCCATAAAAGTACTGCAACTCGATCAAGCCCCTCTCTTCATCACATCTTCACTCTCGACTGCTGCCTCTATCCTACGACCGTTCCCCTCAGCCGCTTATCTGATCATGGCTACCATCACCGAAATCAATTCTAGTTTCTAGAAGCCTGGATGAAGCAATTCAAGCGTTACCACAGGAGCTTCAGGACATCATCTTTGGGCTCACGGTCGCTTTCGTAACGCCGGCTACAATCTCCATCGACGAGGCCTATAAGCCGCCTGTTGGTCTACAGCTGAACCGTAGGATCCGTGCGCAGTTTGCCAGAGAGTACTATGGAACGGCTATCGTGAAGTGTAACTTTACGTCCGAAGATTTCAAGTTTCTTTCGGACTGGCTGGTGAAAATCCCGCACTCCCATCTCAAGGCCGTCCAGACTATTCGCATCACGGGGAGAGAAAGACCCCTCCGCACCCATTTTGGGTCGACGCACATATTTTTTGCGAAGCTCGGCCGGGTAGCGTTCAACTACCTCGTGAAACTTCGGACGAAGGAAGGAGAGGATGCAAGGGGTGCGAAGCTCGAAGGCCTTCGGCTGGAGTTTGACTTTATCAACTCAGCTGGCGATGCGGTCAGAGCGTACGAAGGAGATTACAGTGCCTTCCAGGAGTGATATGGTGGCGTGTATCGTTGACAAAGAACCTGATTGACATTGACTCCATACTAATCGTTATACCAGAGCGAAGTCGTTTGAGACATGGCTGCGACCATGTCCAGGAGAGATGTCTAAGAGCGAGCAAGGGTTGTTTGAAGATCACATCACCATCACAGCGGCCCGCAGCCAGCAAAACTTCTCTTACGACCACCATACTCCGCAGCGCCCTCAACTGCTCTGTTTATCGTACAGTGGGCCGCTCTGCTATCGTCAAGGGTTCTTCCGATAGCTCTAGCGCCGCCGATCATGCTAAGAGCCAGGTGCAAGACGGTACGAGGATGAGCAAGGGTATCTCATCTTGATGGAAAACTCTCACATTGACAGCATTGCAACTTGCTGGAGATTCGGTCAAAACCTGCGCGGCTGGGCTTTTAAGTAGACGTGTCCTAAGATCCGATCTGGCTCCCGCAAAAGTAACCTCTTTCCCGTGGGGATCCGCATTGCGTCCATGGTCCGTATCTCCATTCAAACTTCCCGACGGACCATTCATTCAAAGTTCCCAAGTGACCAATGACTTCAACTTTATCTCTTTCTGCATACGTGTCCCACTGCCACCTCGCTGAAATCTTTCCCACCGCGATCTTTTAAGGATATCATACCATCAACATCAGCTTCTTTTCTTGTTCAGCCATACCGTGCCAGCTCCGTATCATGGCATCCATCGCCGACCTCGACGCGCGTATCCAAAACCTCCCGCAGGAGCTGCAAGACATGATCCTCGGATTCACAGAAGCCTTTGAGACTCCAGCCACCATCGCATTCACCAAGGACTATAAGCCACCTCTTGGTCTACAACTAAACCGTACGATGCGTGCCGAGTTTGCGAAGCGATACTACGAAACTGTCGTATTCGAGATGTCAATTTTTTCTTCGAGCCCTACTTATTTGCAACAGTTGGAGGCCTTCAAGCGCTGGCTATCTGTCCTCACGTCTTCACATCAGAAAGCCCAGCAAACCGTTCGTGTGACGCTCAGGGACCCCCAGCATTCGTCATGGAAGAATGTAGGCAGATCGATCTACAACAGCTTGTTCCTGGCCGTCGTCAAGGTAGATCTCGCTTGCTCTGATAAGCTCGAAAAGCTTCATTTGGAGTTCATCTACGTCGATGAGGACGGTGGTGTGAAATGCAGCCACATGGGAGACTACGCAGTCTATCACAAGTAACGAGACCTTGGCGAGGAAGACACAGAACATCTCCAGCATGATTGGGCTCTGACGGCAGATTCTCCGCGATCATCGGGGAGGACTCGGACCAGATAGGAGCTTTGCAGATACCAGCAGCAATCTCATACATCGGCCAGGAAATGTATCGAATGGAAGATCTTCTCACGAGTATAGTGGCAACCGGAGGACGAGACAACTCTCTCAAGCATTCTCGTGGACAGATCATTGCGAGTAGAAGACCAGGCGTCTCAGCTTGCAAAATTCTCTTGTTGACTACTCCAGCATGTGCATGCTGTATTTCCCGTCGTACCGGTGATGCAGCGCGAAGACACCCATCGCATAATATAAAACAACCCAGCCCAGACGCCAGATAACTTCGAAATAGCATGCAAACGAAGGCACTGACCTTGTGCATGCCCAAGTCAACCTTTCATATGAAAGATCTGCATGTCCCTGTGCTTCATGTTCTTTCTCCGAGTGCCCATCAGCTTTCACTTCACTTTTTCATGCCAAGAACATCCATCACTGCACGCTTCCATCAACGCACTCGTCAGAACGACACTCCACGTCACCACCACCACATCATTTCATCACTCCCAAAGCTCCCGAGGTAGCACTTCATCATGGCAGCCACCATCACTACTTCGGTAGGTAATGCTCCGCAAGTGCAATAAGCACCCCAGAATTTGAGGCAGCAGTTACTGATGGACTACAGGACAACGTCCTCGATGCGCGGATCCAGGACCTCGCACAGGAGCTTCAAGATCAGATCTTCAAGATGGCTTTCCTCGAGATCCCCGACACCGTCGCCATCGTTCCAGACCATCGTGCGCCCGCCGCTCTGCAGCTGAACCGCGCTATTCGAGCCAAGTTCGCGGAGGAATACTATAGAAAAGTCGTCTTCGTCGGACAATTCACCAACGCAACCCCTATTCTCTTGCCAGCCTGGCTTTCCCAGCTCTCCGAAGAGCACCAGAACGCGATCCGCAGCATTCGCATCGCCGTATCGGATGTAGCGGGATTCACGGTATCAAGTCTGGGACGGTGGATCTACGACAGCTTGGAGGACGTCCGAAACGGAGCGGAAATACCTCGTGGCACTCTTGACATCCGCAAAGCCTCCTTTGCAAACCTCTATATCGCGGCMAAGCTTGTCAACACCTGTGGAGGCATCACTTGGGCCGCTGAAGGATCGCATGACTCCTTCAAGATCCGGCGCACTGCACATGTGCTGTAATGCCCCCGCCCATCTGATGATGCCCTGATGGTGAGCAGTTGGTAAGGAGTGAAGTTGAGCTCCATATACCTCGCCTCGGGTGTGGCAAGAACCCCAAGATCAACGGACGCTGTGGCGCGACTAGGCAGCTTTTGCCAATCAAGCGAGGCTCGCTGTCGCCATCAAGTGCAGAGAAGACGACTCGTACGAGCGAAGATCTCTTCAAGCTTATCGATGGAACGTCCGTCATCAACTTTGCATGGGCAGCCAAGTCCGTGTGCATGGCCAACAGCCGGATGGTGAAGGTCAGGCAATTTGTGAAGGACTGCAGCGGGATTACAAGTGGAAGGGAGTGTGTCTCGGCACAAGACAGAGTCTTCTTCGTATCTGCAGCCATTGGCATCCATTGGTCTCATAGCGATAAGCCTCCTCTATTCGATCTCTTCTCGTCTCATCTTGTACTGTCAGTCCACATACACTTTCCATCCACTCATCTTCCCGGTCCACTTCCTCGCTAGTTTCGTTCCAGCCGCTGTGGGCTGTGAGAAAGCCACATCCTTCTTCTCAATGACCTTCGAAGTCCGCATCCTTTCTTCGACGATTGCAATCTTCTCTGCAAGCGCTTCGCCGTTCAACTTCTCAGACCTCCACTTCAGCTTCAACTTTGGGAAGTCCTTCTCGATGAACTTGACATGACCATTGTGCCACTCCACCGCAGCATCCAACAGAGCTACTGCGATGCCTTGACCTCGGTGCGAAGGTAATGTCCATATCCGGCAGATCCCCAGGACCGCAGGAGATCTTACCTTGGAGAGCACAAGAGGCTTCTTGGCTGCGGCTTGGAGTAATGCCTCCTTCTGCAAGCGGGCGGCCTCTGCTGCCATTTTTCGTGCTTTGAGGGCAGCCAATGCCGAAGTCTTTGCTGTCGCCAAGTGCTTGTCTGGTGCCGGAGTGTGTCTTGCAGCCTCTTCGGATGGAATGGTAGGGGGCAAGACTTCGAATGCCTCGCTGATCCTCTCCACCAACAGAAAACCGAGGCATTTTCCCTCTCGCACGTACATTAGAGATCGAAATCTGGGCTCGGCAATGTCATCTTTAGGAGCCTCCCAGATGTCCGCTTCGGCAATCTCCACCGCCCCCAAGTCTCTCTGCACAATGTCCAGCACCTCCTGTCCTTTTCTCCGTCTCGGCTTCTTGTCGAAGCAATCCACCATGACAATCTTGTCTCCCTCTCTTCCTTCCACACCGTCATACAACCGTCGTCCCATGCCACCCGGCGCATGCTCCACAAAGGTGATTCCCACATCCACACCTTCTGTATGTTGCTTGTGGAACTTTGCATGTAATTGTCGATCCTCATTCGACGAAGCAACATACTGCATCCCGCACTCTTTGCATCTCTTCTGGATCTTCTGTCCCAGGTGAAGCTGCATCTGTGTCTTTCCATCATCGCTCCTCTTCGTCTTCCTCGCCGCGGTAGTAATGACATTCTCACTCATCGCAGTGAGTTTCCGCTTCCCTAGCACCGAGAAGACATTCCTCTCTGGGGCGTGATAGGTCTGTTGCATCTCTTTTTCCAGCTCCCAAGGAAAGGCAGGCGGACTGCTCGGCGGAGTGGATGCATCGACGGCGTCAGAAGAGGGCGCAGCGGTGGCGGGGGTGGAGGGCGGCGCAGCATTCTCCGTCTCGATCGCCCTGCTCTCCATCATCTCAACACGTCCAAAAGACGGCGAAGCAGTCGATTTGRACCAGGAGATCCCAGACGCGACGCGTCACAAAGTTGGCGAAGTTGTTTCGCGTACGATCGGCGCTAAACTCACGCCGTTGGAGCTTAAAGAGCGGATGCCCCTCCCCGCCGCCGCCTGCATTCGCGCTTACCTCTTGCCGACAAGATCTCCCCTCCTCTTCTTTCCCTCCAACATGCCAACCAGAGGACCCAACTCTCCAACCCAAAACAACTGGTGGCGGAAAGTCAAGAATACCTTTCGAAAGAAGAATATTGTGAGAGAATCGGCGTTTCTGGACGACGACGAGTACGCAGCCACGGGATACGCTAGCAATCGCGGCAATGGGCGACCTTCCAATGGCCGTGACGACGAGCAGAGTCATTCGAGCTTCAAAAACAATTGATCGTGCGAGTTTTGCTCCCTTTGGAGAGGTGATTGAAAGACCATCGTCGCCGGCGAAGAATTCTGCTGTGAGACAGCTGCGGTCGGTCAAGGCCAATCAAGGAACTGCCACCAAATACCTCGACGTTACATATTTGGACAACCACTATGCCACTCATGCATCAAGTGGTAAACAGGGCAACAGTGTTGTCAACATGTTTGATTGTGAGCCGAGAGATCTGCAAGCCCATTCCGGCACGGTAGGCAAGGTCTTCCCGGTGGAGATTCTGGAACGACATCCGTATACAAGCCAGACGTTCATCCCGCTTGGAATCGCCGCGGGGGATGCTGAAACCAAGTATCTCGTCATTGTCGCGCCGACTCTTCTACCCACCAAAATAGAGACGGTGCCGAAACCATACCCCACACCCCCAACCCCACGGAGGAGGAGAAGCTTGAAGGAACGCTTGATGGGTGCGAGGCCGAATCCGTTCACCAATGATCATGCTCCGAGAACCACACCTGCTTCAACGCTCGAGCCGGAGAGGAGACCTAAAGGTCCAGGGATGCCGGATCTCGAACGATTGCAGGCCTTTATCGTGAAAGGCGACCAAGCCGTCACGTATGGACCGGGAACATGGCATGCTCCGATGGTTGTACTGGGAAGTAAGTCTATTCCATTTGTTGTCGTGCAGTATGCAAATGGAGTTGGCGAGGAAGATTGTCAAGAGTGCTTGGTTAGGAGTGAGGGTGGTGGGGAGGGAGTCGTTGTTGATGTCGATGGTGGTGATGGTGGTGATGAGGATTCCTCGGCTAGTGGAGCGGGAATCATGCGAGCGAAATTGTGAGACCTCAATTATGTATAAGGTGGTTCTGGCGTTAAGAAAAGTTATGATGCTTTCACGCGGGAGTTGGGATGTCTCTGGCAGAGTGTTGATCAATGGACTTTATGACTACCATCGCAACATGTCTTCCACCACGCTCGAGTTGGCTACTATCAGCTAGGTATTGCATGTCAACTCTTGATACCTATGCTTACGGTACTTGCGAGGTTGCTTCGTCGCCGGGCAATCATTCAAGCGAGCTAGCTTTGATACGTCATCATCTGCACAAGAGTGAAGACTTCAAATCTGCGAACTGTCCTGGACGCTCACTGCTTTCCCATCAAAGCATCAAAACTGCGCGTTGTGACCACGGTACTTGATCTCCATGGCTTATGGGCAAGCTAGGTATGCGGTCGACATCCGGTTCATGTTGTCTCTAACATCGAGTCCTGAGAAGTCGCCATGGAGGTGTCGTCTGATGTCAACGTCCTGAAATGAGGCCTTGATCGACACTCATCGCTACAATATCAGACTGCAACGCCCAAGCTGGGATCAAGCTGATGGAATCGAGGAATGAAGACTCACGAGGTTGGAAAATGATTTGCACAATCTTGCATCGAAGTCTTCCTCGCGACTTCGGCCTTTTACTCGGCTTCCACCGCGACATCGTACGAAGCGATCAACTCCAATCGCGGGACTACATTCTGCACTATGGACAATCCTTGCATTGATATCTGAAGATCCTTCGAACCATTGCTGCCAACGGTCAGGTCCGCTCCGTTTTTCCTCGTGATGGACCCACTGCAACAATCGGCACAAGGATTAATGACGCCCTCGGACATCGCTCGGTGGATGTATACCACTGACATGTCTGGTGATGAGAAGAGTGTGGGCCGCTTTCTTTCCGCTCGGATCTTTTACACAATTCTCATTGCCCATGCACGAGGCATGTATATATACTGTCCATGGTGGGTACGATGGAAGTCTTTCGCTCCTCTTCCCTAGCGCATGTCCTCGATACCTTGCCCAGCCATGACTTCAGAAACTCGAAAGATGTCTTCCGAATCATCCAGCCGAGCCACATCCATCACCGAGAAAGACCACCTTCCACCCACCAGCCATGACCTCCAACCAGAAGACCTGCTCAACCTCCCCTACCGAACCCTCACCTCCGAAGCCCGCATGACAGAATACACCCAAGAAACACCTACAGGTCTCCAATCCATCCACTCCAACAGACCCAACAAACACTACGAACTCGTGACATTCAAGCCCAACGACCCCGACAACCCCAAAAACTGGTCCAAGGCGTTCAAATGGTGGTGCACAATGGTCGTAGCCATAACCTGCTTCGCCGTCGCCTTCGACAGTTCTGTCATCACAGCCGGAATCGCAGGTCCCAGATCCCCCATGGAGACCTTCCAAATCAGCGAAACGGTCTCTCTCCTCGCGATAACATTCTTCGTCGTGGGATTTGGAATCGGACCGATGGCTTTTGCTCCGCTGAGTGAGATTTTGGGAAGGCAGAAGATTTATATCAGTACGCTTCTTGTTGCTGTCGTTTTCGTCATTCCTTGTGCGGTTTCGGAGAATGTGGCGACGTTGTTGGTCTGTCGAGCTATCGATGGCATTGCGTTTTCGGCACCCATGACGCTTGTAGGGGGGACTCTGGCGGATTTGTGGAAGAATGATGAGAGGGGTGTTCCGATGGCTGTCTTTTCTGCTGCGCCGTTTATTGGGCCTGCTATTGGACCGCTTGTTGGGGGGTTTGTCTTTGATTCTCTGGGTTGGAGGTGGTTGTATTGGATTCAATTGATTTTGTCAGGGTTCTGTTACTGTTTGATGGCCTTTACGGTTCCGGAGACTTATGCGCCAGAGATCTTGGCGAGGAGGRCGAGAAAGATGAGGAAGGAAACCGGAGACGACAAGTTCGTTACTGAGCAGGRTTTGGACTTGAGACCTTTTGGTGAGCGGTTGGTGGTGTTCCTTCTCAGGCCATTCCAGCTTTTATTCAGAGAGCCGATTGTCTTCTTTTTGACGCTCTACATGACTGTACTCTACGGTCTACTTTACAGTAAGTCTCCTTTGGGGTGCTATTGGAAAGAAGGTGATCTGGGAGGCTGACTTCTCGCAGTGTTCTTCGTCGCATTCCCCATCGTCTACCAAAACGGTAAAGGCTACTCCGCCTCCACCACAGGTCTGATGTTCATCCCCATGGCGATCGGGGTGCTTCTCTCCGCAGCTTGTGCCCCTTTAGTCAACAAGCATTACATGAACCTCGTGCGCAAACACAATGGGAAACCACCGGCCGAAGCACGTCTGATACCTATGATGTTCGCTTGTTGGTTTAGTAAGTCAACCTTCTCGTCCGTCCGCATACAGCCCTCAGCTAACTAGTCCTGTCCCGACAGTCCCTGTCGGCCTCTTCATCTTCGCCTGGACGTCCTACCCGCACCTCTCCTGGGCCGGCCCAGCAATTGGCGGTCTCCCAGTGGGCTTCGGTTTTATTTTCCTTTACAATAGCGCTAACAACTACCTCGTCGACTCCTACCAACATCAAGCCGCTAGCGCTCTGGCTGCCAAAACCTTTTTGAGAAGTCTCTGGGGTGCGGCGGTGGTGTTGTTCACGGGAAGAATGTATGAGAGGTTGGGCGATCAATGGGCCAGCACGCTGTTGGCGTTTTTGGCCTTGGCGTGCTGTGCGATCCCATTTGTGTTTTATTACAAGGGAGCGGCGATTAGGAGGCATAGTAAGTATGCTTTTAGTGGAGATGAGGAGAATATGACAGAGGGAGCGCAGTGAGAGGAGGGGCTGGGAAGGGTGATTAGATGGAGTGGGCAGAGCTGTCGATACGAGGATTATACATCGGGGCAAGGCATCCTCGGTCAACCCACAACGTCCCAAGGCCTCGCCTTTTGCAGGCTTAATGATTCTAGGCCTGCTAGAATCCTTGCTACTAGCGGAGTAGCTTATCCATCAATCGAGAGAGCAGTTCAGGGCGCTGGTGTTGTTGATCATGTTTCATAGCGACAGCTCTGGGAGTGGAACCTGTTTGACGATTACGCTAGGTGACCGATGGATCAGTAGATGGGGCTCTAGCAGCTCCAGAACAAGCAACTTCGCTGGAGATGATATGAGCATTCCCCTAAGAGTCATGTTTTGGTGAATAGTTCTCATGTCGACCGCTCTGATCTAGCGAGACTTGCCACTGAGAATCCTGGTCTATCGGAGGATGGCTTTTTCGAGGCAACCGTAGTGTTGAACCCCCCTCGGTCAGATTTGATGTGTGATTTGCTCCAAGGCTTTTGGATGTATGCGGTTCGCTGTTGGACCTGAGATGCTTGTCCTACACACGGCACGTCTTTGCGAAGTCTCGTCCTTGAGAGAGAACATTCCCACATTGTCCTACATACCCAATCTTACACGGCATTCCCAGCTCTCACCTTTGCGTCCTTCTTGGCCTTCTTCCGCTCCTCTTTACTCATCTCCTTACTCGTACTCTCCACACCCTCCATTGCATCTCCACTCTCCCTTCGTGACTTTTTGGGCTTCCTGCCCTTGCCAGGCAACTTGAATCCCTCTTCCTCGTCGTCACTCCCAAGACCCGGCTCCCCGAGTCCGAACCCGGGTGGCTTATACCTCATTCTCATGCCTTTGGGTTGCGGTCTTACGCCCTCCTCGACCGGTTTCCAGACATCTGCAGCGATCTCTCCTCCAGTTTCCGTCTTGGCTTGCTTGCTGGTCAGACGCGGCAGATTGACCTTTTGCTGCAGATGCAAGGTTCTATCCACCGGCGCGTCTGACCTTCTGTATCCCTCCTTGTCGGGAAGGAAGACGGTGAATGTTTTGCTACTTGTGGATGTGTCTTGAGCGAGAGTGTAGTCTGATCCCTTGTGTGACAAGACCGCACTGCCAMTCGCAATGGCGTCTAGTCCAACGCTCTTGATTTCCGAGATGGGCAGTGCCGATGGTGCCGTAATATGCCAGATCTGCTTTCCTTGGAGATTGCTGGGAAAGGTCGAGTGTAGCTTGGCCACATCGACCGGCTGGAAATCTTTCGGTGCGGCGAACGATTTGGTGGGGATTGCAGAAAGTGGCGCGGATGCTTCACGCTTCTCCGGAGATGCCGCCTTGGGTTGTGTTTTGGCCTTTTTGGCCGCGGGTTGTGATGTTTCTGCCAGACTTTCACTCGAACTGCTGGATTCCTCCTCCTCCGCAGCGGTGACATGGYCCACCTTCCGCTTCACTCCATTGGCCTTGACTTTTGCTGCTTCTGCCACTTCTTCGCTCTCGCTCGCCGTGGATTCATCGTCGCCGTCCAAACCATCGCTGCTGATCTCCGAGTCCGAGTCTGAGTCCGTGTCACCGTCGCTGCTCTCCACCTTCGCCRGCGGTGGCGGTGGAGGGGGCGGGACGACAGCCTTCTTGGCGGATGCCTTGCTCTTGCTCTTCTCCGCCTTTCCCTTTTCCTTTCCCTTTTCCTTTTCCACAGCCTTGACCGGAGTCTTGGTCTTGGTCTTTTTCTGTTCGCTCTCGCTGTCCGAGTCCACCACACGATCCTCACTCAGTCCCGCCGTCTTGACCTTGACCGTCTTCTCCTTCTTCGACGACGCCTTCTTGGTGTCTTGAGGCTTAGCCATGGTGCTCGTCTTGTGATGTGGAAGATGTCGCGATGCGCCGATCTTCAATCGCAAAAGTTTGGCGACTTCTGCCGGTTAGCTTCGCGCAGTACCTCAGAGTGGAAGGCGGTGAGCTGGCGTCGCGGGGACTGCCGGCGGTGGGTCGGAAAAGAAAGGTTAAACTTTCAACCTCATCCTCCACTTTGAGTATCCATCAGGACAACTTCATGGTACAATGGCGCAGAAGAGGTCGGCCAAGGAAGCCTTTGGCTCGACAAAGGGAATGAGTGCGGCCGCCGCTGCTCGACAGGCAAGGCAGTTGAAGGAACAGCCACCACAAACCAAGACTTCRGATAACCTGATCGAATCCGTGGTAGGAGCTCCATACACTGCTTCCGACGATGATGCTCTGGAGTCTGCGGCCGATGCGAAGAAACTGGTCCTACCAAGAATCACACTTTCGATAGTGGAGAGGACTGCTCTCACCGACGACGATGACGAAAATTACGTGCAGATGGCCCTCTCGACAGATCAAAGTGCGACATTTATCGGAGAGTACGATTTGAAAGTCRTCAAGGGGGTCGTCAACATCTATGGTGCAATGATTCATCCTGATCTTGGACCTCAAAGGGTCTACGCTTTATCGACGCATGCACTTCCATCCATCACCGCGAGAAGCGACTCAATCATTCGTATCATGTCCGTCAAGTCTGGCTTGCTCAAACTTGCTAAGCTCTCCCCTCTTTTCCGCAACATTGGAGCCGTAGCATCGCAACGGAGCTTTCAATTTCTGAAGTACAACACTTCTGACCCCCTAAACCGTCCCCTCCTTCCACTCGAGGTCGACGAGGGAACAAAGCGGGTTCTATCTCGCATTAATGCGAAATTAGATTCATCATCCACCTCTGCGATTCTTACTGTTKGACCGAAATCCTCTGGAAAGTCAACCTTCAACCGCCTACTTTGCAACATGATCGTCAGTAGGCCTGGTTCATCTCGCAAATGCTGGTACTTGGACCTTGATCCTGGTCAACCCGAGTTCGGACCTCCCGGGCAAGTCTCCCTTGTAGAGGTCTCGGCATCCATCCTCGGTCCTCCTTACTCTCACCCTGCATCCACTGATTCCAAAACGTTCCGCCTCGTGCGCTCACACACGATCGCCGCTACAACCTTCAAAGACGACGCAGAGCACTATATAGCATGCGCTGAAGATCTCGTCATACAAGCAGCACACAGGCAATATCCCATGGTTATCAATTCTTGCGGCTGGACGTCTGGTCTAGGCGCCAGTGCTTTGGTATCCATTATTGAGAGACTTGCCTCACCGCCGGAACTTGTCTTGCTGGGAGAATCTCCAGAATCAGAACTTTCAACGTCCCTCTCAATAGGCATCCCTCAGCATCTCATCGCTCGACGAACCAGAGTTCAAGGCACCCGAACACCAGCCGAGCAAAGAGCCATGGTGACCATGGCTTACTTCCATCACAAACCCACATCAAAGAACGAGAGGACTACAAGCTGGAATCCGAAGCCTCTCAGTACTCTGCGTCCCTGGCTGCTTTCATACAAAGCAGCTGCCAATCCTGACTTGACCGCATTCCGTTCTTACGGACAAGCACCCCACCCGGACTTTCTCGCAGAAACCCTAGATGGAGCAATCGTTGCCATTGTGACTGTTGACTCGGCCACAATTTCTTCGATCGATGTGCAACGTACTAACGTTGGAGACTTCCCGTACATCGCCGAGACTGAACATCCGTTTTTGCCATCCACCTGTCAATGTCTTGGCCTTGCTCTGATTCGCGGGATCGACGTCGCGAAGAAAACTCTTCAGATCATCACGCCTGTTGATCTAGAAGCTGCGGAGGAGGCGCACCTGGTGTTGGTCAGAGGAGGGTTTGATTCACCTGATTGGGCGTACCTGGAGGATTTGTATCATGATCCCGAAGACAAACAGGACCGACCCTGGGTGGCATTAACTGGGGATAGCGTCGAACATGGAAAGGTGTGGAGAGTAAGAAGACCGCCTCTTGCTGGCGGTGGGAAGACATAGGTAGGCAGAGCTGTCAGTAGGGCAATCTCTAAACAGCTGTCTCCGCTACTCGATGGGTGTCGCTCCAAGTAAAGAGGATCCTAGCAGCAAAAATTCCGTTGTCTCCATTGAGAGTGAGTACTTGATATGATCTCAGCATGGCTTCCAAAGCTGTATCTCGGCGAACTCTGCTGGAGATGATGGCTTTACTTGTTACATCTACTCGAACATGCCGATGAAATTAGATTCTGGCTACAGCAGGGCGCCGAGGCTAGTACTTTCAATACAGCTTGTGGGCACACTCAGATTATGCGGTTGATTCCATGAGACTGTACCCATTCGCTTACGTAGAGAAGCCACTGTGCGGATCATTACAGATGGGCGGAACCGGACGCCACATCTTCCAACTTCCCAATATGGAGTTTTTTCAAGCCAGAGCTCTCAAAACCCGGTTATTGATGCAATTAGCTGCAACGACATATGCAGCCACTATTCCAGTAGTGTAATACGGGAATCATCGCTGTTCAATGACAAGGGACGTCGGAGGGAAAGATTCGAGAATCCTCACTTTCGGGAGTACGTGAACCCGATGAGTTAGAACCAGAAGGGTCTTGTTTTGTTTGTGCGCGACCTGATGAACAGCCACTGTTTCAACAGCCTACTTACGCTTTTGAAAGACGATATGAGTCGGTAGTTTAACAACATGAACGATCACATGAGGCAAATTGAAGGGAACATCAGATCAAAGTAATGGGCAGTAGAGCAGGAATTTGAATCGTTTTGTCGTCAGCCAAGTTGGAGCTTCATAACATTTACAGTGGTGAATCAACAAGTCTTGTTAGTGCATCTCGGGACTTACACCCGTGGACGCATCGTCGCCTCCATGTGCAACGATATCGTTGATAAGACCGTGAACAAAGAGAGATGCTCGTCCGAAAGGAGCAAAGTTTCCAAGTGCTCGTTGCTGCTCCGGTATTTGAAGGTTCAAGGTGGCTCATCTAGATCTGTATCGACTGCCTGTAGCTAACTCCCAGTGGAACTTCAACGCACTGACATGTGAGGCAGATGAACGTAGGCGGGAGCATGGTTTCGCAAATATGTGTACATGAAGTAACTAGCTTCAATTACGGGCGTCGTTATGCTAAGAATATGAGGCCAGCTCGTTGCAGATCATCTCGCACCAATGAGCTGAATCTTGGCAGAGTACATTCAACGTCATGAGACTCGCATAGTGCTGTCGAGCTGTCAAATAACTCGATMTAAATATGCAGCGATGGCTGGCTTGCCCACATGAAAGGTCCAACACCCTTGTAGTCATTCACCGCGAGAGGAACTCCGGTGTAGTACTGTGGATAGTCAGCATGCACTCATAAAAAAATGGTCTCGATCATCACTCACCTCAAACGAAGCATTGCCTTTCAAGCTTCCAACAGCAACGGTTCCCTCCCATCTCAAGGTGCCGTTCTCATTCCTCACAGCGAATCGGTCGGTCAGCAAATGGTAGCCTTTCCTTGATGCCGGGTAGTAGTCATCAGCAATGTGGCCATCTTCAATGCCCTTAAACATCCCGTAGGTGAACATCGCACTCGCAGAGCTCYCAATGTAGTTGCCTTCCATTTCTGGCAACTTATCGTTCATCAGAAGCCACCAACCTCCGGTCTCTTCATCCTGATGGCTCCGAACAGCTTCAGCAAGAGTGATGTAGTACTCTAACAGTCTGGCTTTTCCTGGATGGGAGGATGGGAAGACTTCCAAGACCTCCAGCAGAGCAACGAAGTACCAGCCTACTGCACGAGACCAGACGATCGGCGCAGCTCCTGTAACCGGATCGGCCCATACTGCTACCTTGCTGTCGTCGTAGCCATGGAACAGAAGACCGGAAGTGGTGTCGCGGCAGTGTTCCTCGATGAGGTCGAATTGGAGGACGATTTGATCCCAGGCTGTCGTGTTGGAGGAATCGAACATGGCAGTCCATCTTGCGTAGAAAGTGTCGGCCATGAAGATTCCGTCGAGCCACATCTGATTCGCATAGATGGGAGCTCTATGCCAGAATCCTCCTTCCGAGTTGACCGGGTGGCGATCAAGTTGGCAGCGAATAGTGTCTGCGGCTGTCTTGTATTTCATCTCACCAGTGCGTTCGTACCACCAGAGGAAGTTGACGCCCATTCGGTAGTCGTCGAGGGAGTAATAGGTGAGATTCCAGTCTGCGATGCTCCCATTGTCGAAGACAACGGCCTCATCAATCTGCGATTTGTACCAATCCACGAGCGTTTGGTTTTGGGTCAGAGCGATGGCATCCTCATAGCCTGTGTAAAGGACGGAAGTTGTGTAGTGGTAGTCCTTCTTGACACCTTCACGGATGTAAGTGTCTGCGGCCCATTCCAGATACTGCGCTGGGATGCCGGAACGGGCGGCCAACAGCCAACCGAATAACCAACTGAAAAAGTGATTCATTTTGACGGAGAGAAGGGAGGAATGAAAATAATGAACATTGAGACACAGGACCATGAGAACTCCTACTTTGTACCTACGATCCCTGAAGGTGTTCGTTGCTGTTATCGTGACTAGTCTCCATAGATCTCCAGTGCTTAGGCGGGTCTGCATGTTTCGGGTAAAGAGTCGCCAAGCGAACCCACCGTCAATGCTGTTCGCATTGGATCGCTTCACACTCGTAATGTAAGGTGTCAATGTCGGTGTAAAGGCGCAATGCTGAATCGTCAGTTATGCGATATGAGATCTCGCATGGAAGAAAGGAACGCCTGTTCCGGGTAGGGCATTATGTACAATGCATGATCGAATCCTTGTGATCATGCCTAGCTGTTTCTAGTGAGCAGGCCGCCAATTGGAGTGGAGTTGAGATGGATGTAGACGGGGACTGTGAGGAGGATGGAGTCCACTGGGTTGAAGAGTGAGGTGGAAACCTGGGAGTGAGCGAGATCTTTCCACCATCTCGCCGTCTTCGGGATCCGTTGACCCGTGCCGGAACTCAATCTCGAGTGCCGAGTGCCGACAAACGCCGACGTCACCTCCCCATTTGCCGAAATGAGATACTTCCATTTTCTCATGAACGACATACACAATCGCCATCAAACAACAGCACTCCTACACACGACCAAGATGAAACTCCTCTACCCAACCTCGCTGGAGCTCGACATTGATTCCTTTGCCGGATTTGCGACTACATACCATGCCTACGATGTCAAGAAGCCCATCCCGGATGATCTCGTTGATGCCGAAATCCTCATCACATGGACCAACACATCCGACAACCTCAAAGATGCAGCTTCACGGATGAAGAATCTCAAATGGATCCAGTCACTCGCAGCGGGACCAAACGATGTCCTTTCCGCCGGCTTCTCCAAGTCCGTGGTGGTGACCACAGGCTCCAGCTTGCACGACTACACCGTGGCCGAGCACACCCTTGCTCTGCTTCTGAACGCTGCGAGACGTTTTTACGAAATGCGTGACTGCCAAGTCCAAGGAAAATGGCCCGCCCATCTTGGGGGACCACAGCCTGACAGACCAAAGGGCAAATTCACCTCACTACGTGGCGCAAATGTGACTATCTGGGGATTCGGCAATATCGCAAAGACACTCACTCCTCATCTCATCAGTTTGGGTGCAAACGTCACGGGTGTTGCGAGATCAGCGGGAATCCGCGATGGAATTAAGGTCGTTTCCGATCAAGACCTGGCCGCTCAGCTCCAAAAGACCGACGCTCTTGTCATGATCCTTCCAGGAAGCGACAGTACCAAGAATGTATTGAACAAGGAGACCTTGGCTTCATTGCCGAACCATGCTTGGGTGGTCAATGTTGGTCGTGGGACAAGCATCGACGAGGAGGCTCTCGCTGATGCACTGGAGGCGGGAAAGATTGGAGGAGCTGCGCTCGATGTGTTTGTCAAGGAACCTCTGCAGCAAGAATCAAGACTGTGGAAGACTCCCAACACGATCATCAGCCCTCATGCTGCTGGCGGAAGACCGCAAGGAAGCGAAGGTCTGATCTCCGAGAATCTCAGGCGGTTTATGGCTGGGCAGGAGCTGAAAAATGTAATTTGACTCCCTACGGTCAGAAAAAGAAAGTTGGAGTCGAAGTTGTGAGGTGTCCTTTTGCCATGGCAAACCCCACGAATGTGATCATGCTCAGTAGTTTTGAGTACGACAGATGCAAGGGTAGCCGCTTTAGAGGTGAGCCTCCCGTTGCCATGCATCTAGTTAGCGAGTCAAGGTAACGAACGCGAACTTACATCTGTCAATCGAATTGCGGCATCACATTCACCAACAAAACAGTCGCATGGTGACAGTCTGTGAAGGGCCAGCATGGCCGTATCTCCACCGTATCGACGACTAGCTTTGCTAAGGATGAAGACCGGTCTGACCTTGAAGCGCAGGGATCCTCTTCTCCAGAATCAAGTGCAGAGAACCTGCATCAGAAACCAAGGACTTTCAGACGACCGGCACAACCACAAAATTTGCATTATGACTACCAACATAAAACAGTCGGGGGTGTGCAATGTATCGCATGGAACAGATTACCAAAATTGAGCTTATGCGTATCGAGGCAGGTGTATGTGTTGATCGAGGAGATCGGACATTTCTGGGAAAGTGTATGGCCTTTAATATTGATACCCTGAACTTTCTCCAAGAGAGCTTTGAGGTAGGAGTCCGAGACTGAGCGTGGTACCGCTCCTCCAACACCAGCAACAAAGGCGGTCGCGGCGCTCGCGAAGACAGAGCRATGTTATTTCCGCTGCCACTTCTGCGGGCTATGGTTGAGCCGGAGGTGTAAGATCTTGTAGTACAGAGGGTACTCACTGGAAAGAGTGAGAAGCCATTGAAGCAAGCGAGGTCTTTCCCACGTGTCTCTTAGAACGTGTGGGCCTCCTTGACACTTCGGCCGCGCCGCTCTTGGCACTTGGCACCACCTCCAGTGAATGTAGCTGTCATGGCACTGTCGGGACCGAAGACATCATAGAAGTGGTGATCGCAATGATCTTGCTTCGATTAAATTGGAAATCTATACCTTCGGGACCGAGGGAAAGTGGATATCATGAGCAAGACCACAACTGTCTTCCTACGATCCAGAGGACAGAGCATGGACATCCCCACTTAAAAACCTGCTACCTCCACGATCTCCCTCAACTCGGGGCCATACCAACCATTCGAAGCTGGCATGTCACGGAGAGTGTGGAGTTGGCCGGGGTATTTGCCAAGAACTGACCCGCATATCAATCCTCTAACAGCACGAAGGATTCGCCAAGGCAATTGAATTCCTTAGCCAAGAAGGGCAGTGTAGCAAACCAGATCAACTCGAGAGAAATACAACACCAACAATCAACCAATGCCGCTACCCCGCTGAGCTCGGGGCCGCCGAGAGGAACAATGAAAATGGCCCGGTGATCGGCGATGTCATTGATATCACTAATACGCCTGGCCGAGAGACATATATAGAGCTCTCTGATCCCACTGATCCAGTACTCTTCAGCAACTTGCACAGAGCAACATCCTCCACCAAGCAAAGAGACAATCTATCAGCCCTTTCCACCCAACAACGAAAATGCAGTTGTGAGAACCTCAGCGGGATCATTGCGCTTGCTCTCATACTAACAGGCTGTTCAGTAACGCCGCTGTAATCGCTTCCCTGTGGATGGCTCTAGCAGCTACAGCATCCGCCAGAGAATGCAAATTCGCTGCCTCAGTAACCCAGAGCCAGCGCAACGGCTGCGCCCGCTGCCCACCAGCAACCAACTTGTGAGCAAGCGCTTCTAGAGTTCCTCTCGTCTCCGTATTCTAACTTATTCAATCCAGTCAGGGCACAGCCTCTCTCAGGATTGACGGTGTGCGAGTTTGGGAGGAGATCGGTGGTACCGACCAATATGGAGCCCTCAGCAATGGTGATGGATATGCCTGGGAGGTCGATGGTGTGAGCTTTCATGTGCGAGCTCTGGGAATCCCGGCATTGGCTAGTGAGCCCAAGTGTACTCTGACGAGATTGAATGTGGACTATCCGGGCGTCGGCAGGAAGGAATCCGGCGGGGCTACCTTGAGGGATGCGCTGTACTGTGATTGGGAGTGGGAGTGTTAGTTCATAACCACCTCACAATTGACGTGCTGCACTGTTTGGAGGTTTAAAAAGCGCAGGACTCCGACAGGGAAACGTGCGTCAGTGTAGCCTCCACCTTCCTGAATAGGAAAGCCAAGTTCTGCAGCTGAATGCCAAGAGAATATGTCTCAAGCGTCAGGTAGGGCTTGAAATTGAGAACAAATCCTTCTTGTATTCGAACATGTCCTCCGCTTGCCACATGTCTCCTTGACCAAAGTTTGTGCTACATGATGCGGAGAGTTGAATAAATCAGATATATGACCCCGCTTTCTACATCAGCCTGTTGGTATGTGTAGAGATGTGCGAAGACTTGTGGAAATTTCGTGGCTCTAAGAAGTCGGGCTCGTGGACAGCTATGGCCGCTGCAGAATGTGAGTCGGGCTGGAGAGTCTTTGACGGCGAGCTCAGCTGCGAAGATATCATCAGCAACTCTAGAAGCTTCGGCGACTTTTCAGATGTCTCTGAATACGCCGGCATTCAATGCAGTGGGTATAGAAACGACCCAGACGTCACTGAGCTTGGGATAAACAGTGGCACCGATTGGGGTCACCATGCTGTTGACAGTATGTTGCAATGCCCTCGTAGTAATTCCCACGTTTCGGGTTACCGACTTATCAACTGAAGAAGATCGGGATTATGTTCTTGAACCCGCGGGTGTTGTACTTGTTACTGGATCCGGCACACATGACACTGGCGATACGGCAGACTCGGCCTCATAGTAGAGGAGGACTGAGTCTCCACACAACTACTGTTTTGAGGATGTGAAAGCCCTCTTCGGCTGTAGGGAGCGCTCTCGCGACAATGGAGATGGTCAATTCTCACTCAATATATATTGTGCGTGTTGCGGGCGATATTGGCGGGAGAGAGTAGCGATAGACGCTGACTCCAACGGGGCTGTCTTTGGTATCGAAAAGATTGGAGGAGGTCCGCGTAGGTTCGTTTTTCGCAAGGAGATCCTGTCTCCGGAGTGCTTGATTGCGCGTCTGCGATGCTTGGAGGGAAGTATCAGCGGTCTCGTTTTTGTAAAATTGACTACATTTGTGGTAGCTTTCGAAAATGGTTTACTCGGACCCCAGAACTCGTTCATTTCGGCAATGGCTGCGGTAGAATGGATAACGAATGGACCTGAATGCGAGGTCATAACGTCGTTTGTCACTTGTGTGAACAATGGTGCGGCACCCTTGGCTTGAGCTGGGTCGAGGCATATCGATACCTCCTGCTTGACGGTTTCGAGGCTTCATTGCGCGCCGTAGGAGGCTACTGTCTCGGTCTCCTGCGCGTGACAGAAGCCGTTGGTGTCTGAATCTTGATTCGGGATTCCCGAAGGCGGCTCTGTCTCGATCGGTGATGGCAACTTTGCTGTCTGGATTCTCATTTGTTGGAGCAACATGCTAGTCTCCATGACGAAGGCTGTGTTGTCAATATCAACACCCATGGCGAAGACTTTGTCGTCAACGTCAGTATCCATGAAATCTCTGCACTGAGCAATGGTTGTGGCATAAGGTGGCCGTTGTTCGAAAGTCGAAGTGGTGACACATTATTTCCCGCACATTAAGCATATGAGTGTTGCCTTAAGGTGCTCCATACAAAACCATGGTCCAAAATTCTTCATTGTGATTTATATTTCTCATTGTGTTTTATTTCCATTGACTACCTTGTAGGAGAGGAAGGAGTAGTGGAGCGCCCGTGTGTTTCACTGGTTCTTACTTCATCACTGCACATTACATCAACATCAACATACGCATTATCCACCATCCACACCGACATCACATTTCACCTTCGCCCGAGCCAGAAGATCCTCAAARCTCACACGAAAGTGTTGGATCCCCGCGCGCATCTATAACTCGGAGGAAGTCGAAAATGGGTTTGGAAGAAGATGCAGCAATCGCGCGTCAACTGCAGGCGACCTTGGACCGTGAAAGTACCCGTGGTACCTCCGAGGCCGCACAAGAAAATGGAGCRAAGCCTGCAATGACATCACCTCTCGAAGACGCAGATGCGGATCTCGCGCGGCGGCTCCATCAAGAATGGTCGAAATCGGACGCCATGAATCGTCCAGACAGCGGAGGGGTGGAGAGTGAGCCGACTGTAATGGAAGCTCAGGAGGTACAGGAGTCCGTCCGCAGTTTCGCCCAGCCAATCATCAAAGCGAAGTGCGAGAAGTGCAGGCAGATGCTGTTCAAGGAGGCCGACATTCTTGCATACGCTCGAAACCTTCTTGAACATGCAGATGGCACAAAACTCAACTGTCTCTCCTGCGGCACACAGACTGCACATCCTCACTCTCGAGCGACTTTGATCTGGATCGTTCTCTGCTTCTTCGACAGCATGTCCAAGCACAACCAGGCTCAGAAGAAGAGCAAGAAGGTCGGCTGGGTAGATACGGAGCTGGGGAGGGCAGAGGGCAGCTGGGGCGGTCACCACAACGGCACAGGATACGGAGGTGTAAGGGAGAAAGCTCACAAAGCGCCAAAGATGCCCAAGACTACCAAAGAGCTCAAGATGCCCTCAACAGCGCCCAACCTCGACACTACCCAGCCCGCAGGGTTTGAAAGCGAATACACCCACACCGACGATGACGACGACTATGAAGACTACATCAAAGAATTTCTTGCCAAGCAAGCTGCTGAACCTGCCGTAGATGCTTTTGCGGCTCATGGTCAGCCACGCTCGTCAGAGCCGCGACCACTGAACGAGGACGATAGCATGACGCAAAAAGCGATGCATTGCTTGATCAAGCTACTGCCTTCTGTTGAACGTGTAGAAGCTTGTGACTTCGATCCACCTCGCAAGCAAATACAATCCCTCCTACTCTGTAGCTCGATTTTGGAGCGTACAGCAGATCTTCTCCGGAACAACCATCTCGATGATGTGATCAATCAGGCTGCACTGTACATGTCGCTCATTCAGTTTCTCGAGATACTCGCAAAGCATCCATCCACGAGTCCACTAGTTTTTGGTGAGAGAATCATTCGTTCCCCAGCTGCAAACATCTTGCAGATCTCTCTCGGAGAAGCAGAGCTTGCATCAGAAGCCGCAGATACAACCTTCCCTCTTACCAAGTGGGCGAGCGAACTCGCTAGTGTGGCAGATGTCATGTTGAAAACACCGGACGCTAATGCCGATGATGTTCGACTTTTCCGCTCCATCACCGACCTTCACGGCTTCATGGCTGCCAACGCAGGCTTCGTCAAGAAGACGTCAAAGCTCGAGAAAAACCACTGGCACAAAGAATTTGCCATTTCGGAAGTCCCAGACCATTTCATCATAGATCGATACGGTCTGATCACTGGGACGCCGCAAGAAACCCGTCCAACAGGGCAGATGAAGCGAATCATGCAAGAGCTTGGCCAGCTCAAGACAGGTCTCCCACCGGGTATCTTCGTGAGATACTGCGAAATACGCCCAGGCATCATGAAGATCCTCATCATCGGACCAAAGGATACTCCGTATGAGAATGGGCTGTTCGAGTTCGACCTTTTGTGTGATGCAAGCTTTCCATGGTTGCCACCAAAGATGGATTTTCGGACCACTGGTGGTGGAGTTGTCAACTTCAACCCAAACCTGTATCAGTGTGGACAGGTATGTCTTTCTCTGCTCGGCACATGGCCTGGTGAGCCCTGGGATCCAAAACAGAGCACTTTGCTGCAGATCGTCGTTAGCATCCAGGCCATGATATTCTGCGAACACCCGTGGCAGAACGAGCCCGGACACGAGTACTCCTCCTACTCAGGTGCAGTTGACGGGAGCAAGGCATACAACCGCAGCCTCTACCCGCATACGATTCAAACTGCCATGCTTGACTGGTTGGAGCAGAAGAGCTTCAGCATAGCGCCCCATGGTCTCGATAACCCTGATGGCCTCGGGGAAGAGAAGATTGAGCCGAAAATTGACACACAAAACATCTGGACTGAGATTGTCAAGAGACATTTTGACGACAATGCAAAGGACATTATGGAGACGGTTCGGAATTGGGTCAAAGAGGGGATTTCTACGCCAGCGTCTCGTCCTGAARAGGCTGAATTCGCGAAGAAAGGCACTATAACTGGGGATGAAGTAGAATCGGCTATGACTGGTCCACATCTTCCTAGTAATGCACCTCCGCCGTTACCATCCTCAAGCACCAAACACTTTGCGCCAATGTTCTCAGCGCCCGGCTTCCCGACCGGCATTCTCTCAAAATCGTACGCTGCATACCATGCCAAGTTGAACGCCAACCAACAAGCTACGTCACAGAATCAGTCACACCCTCCACCACATTTTCCCGTCGACCAAACAGTATCCGAAACCATGTTTGTCTCGCAAAAGGTTATCGGCCTCGTGCCATCCGGAAGTCCTTTAGGTACTAGAAATCAGGGTAAAGTCCTAGGAGGGGAAGATCTAGTTAAGATGCTCAAGGAGGCCGTGGTTGAATTAAAGAAGAAGCGGGAAGAAAAGGAGTAATAAATTCACATTCGTCTCTAATTCGGCGATAGGAAAGTAATCGTTCGAGATTAGGTACACGTTACGTACGGTTAACGGTACGCTCGTCCTTCGTTAAATTCGCGAATATACTCGGTTTTCGTCGAATTCGCGAATATACTCGTTTTTCGTCGAACTCGCGAATATACTCGTTTTTCTTCGAACTCGCGAATATGCTCGTTTTTCGTCGAATACGCGAATATTCTYGTTTTTTATCGAGTATACGAATATACTCGTTATTCGGAACTCGCGAATATACTTATTTTCTAGCTAATTCGTAGATATTACTACTACTACTTCTATAAAAGTCTAGTATATAGTCCCGGATTTAGGATTAGACCTTATATATCCGAACTATATACTCTATCTTATCTTATAGAATATATAATAGAAAAGCGGATATAAGATATACTAGCTAGTATAGGACCGTATCTCTAAAAACACTTAGCGAACGGTTTAGACCTTTATATAATTAGAAATAACTCCTTATAATAGGGAATACTTTTTTATCTCTCTATTTAGTAGAGATTATATAAACGGAATAGTAACTCCGAATCTAGATCCGGATTAAGAATAATAAGTATATAGTAATTAGCCTAGGTACTTATATTCTTATCTACCGTATCGAAGTTACGATAAATAGAGTAGTAGTAAGACTAAGACTATTATTTATCTTTCTTTTATACGAAAGGTAACTAAGTAACTATATCCGACTATATATACCTATTCGATTAAAATACTCTACTAGCTAGAGAGTCCCTCTTAATAAACGATATAGAAGGCCTTCCTTCTATTAATCTAAACCTCTAGGTACTAAGGGTCCTAGCTAGTAGGATTCGGAGGGGGTAACTTACCCCCTCCCCGAATTTAGTTTAGCGGGCGTCGCGTATAGGCTAGAATATATAGCCCCTAGTATATAGCCCCTAGCATCTTTCTATACCCCTAATACCGCTCGAAATATACGTAAATACATATATACTACTCTTATAATACTCTTAGGTCGTCGTACAATTAATTCTTATATTTAGATCGCTTATTTTAGGCGCGTAGGGCGCTCGTAGTCGGTCGGTCGTATAGCGTCGGACTCCCGCTTTACGCTCGGCGAAATTTTATATACGGGCGATACTCGATAGTAGAGCGACGATAACACCGTCCCGGTCGGGTATAATACCGTTCGTAATACGCTTTAGTATCTTTATTAGATACTAGAGTACGGAGTCGTTATATATAGTATATACGGCTATACTATTCGTAGTATCGGCTAGTATCTAAAGGACTCTTATCCCGGCTTAAAGAAAGAGCGGTAGGCTATTCTCGATAGTCTCGTATATATAATACTACGAAAACTAAGGGAGGTACTACTTCCGCGTCTACTAGGGGCGCCGTTCGATATTCTCGGTAAACCGCGTTAAGTATATATTTACGAGGAGCCGGAGTATAAGCGTATCTCCGTTAGTCGCGATAAAATCYGTAAGTACTATAATAAAGATTATAACTAGCGGGCGATAAAGGAGTAGCGAGAACATTAGTATCGAGTATAGGTATAGACATTCTTCTCCGCCGCTAGGCTATAGCGATATTTTACCGTCGATTATAACGACGAAGTAGAAACGTAAGCGGAAGAAGGACGTAGAGAAGACGGGAATAGGCGTAAAAGGTCGAATTCTCGACGGAGCGTAGGCGATAACGGTAAGCTATTAGCGGTACTCGAAGAATAGAACGCGATACTCGAGCGATACGAGAAGGACACGGACGTAGTCGAAGCGAAGGTCGTAAAGACCGACTATACGATATAGTTTAAGAAGACTTAGTAGCCGGAATATCTTAAGAACTATAATCTTAAGTATCTTAGTTATACGAGTCGACTTCCGGATCGTAACGAGACGGTACTTCGTTAAGCCGTAGAGGTAAAGGGTTAGGGTTAGGGTTAGGGTTAGGGTTAGGGTTAGGGTTAGGGTTAGGGTTAGGGTTAGGGTTAGGGTTAGGGTTAGGGTTAGGGTTAGGGT